ACAATAGATTGTATTTTTTCTATTCAGTTCTGCAGCTCGTATTATTTTATCCACTAACAAATTGATGAAATCGCCCGATAAAGAATCACTTTCTCTAAAACCTCATTGGAATCGAATAGCTCGGAGAGGTCCTTCTCAATTCTGACGAAGCTTTCAGTGTCAAGGTCAGCTTTCACAACCGAATAAGTTTTACTGTGGATACTGTGCTGCCGAACCTTAAATGCAAGGAGGATAGTCTAATTTTTTTAATGTTTCATTAGATCAGAAAAGAACAAGAGAAAGGCTAATGACTGCATGACAATGCCCTGTCAGATAAATTTTCGTAAAATGTAGGAAGCTTTATCAGAATATTAATATTTTTGACAGAATCTTTTATTGAATTCATTCCAAAAATACCAATAAAGTCTATAATGTAGGCAATTAGTTTTCCGAGCTTTGACTACCAGGTCCGTGGTCTTCCGAATGGCAAAACGCAATTCTAACTACTCAAATACCACGGCCGTTGAATTAATCCAATATAAACTTAACTACGTGACTGCATGACGGCCATCTCTCTGCACTTCTCTCATTGTAAAGCACTCCCAGTCTGTAGGAATTTTCATAGTTATACCGTTTTGCTGCTCGACGGAACCATGATTTTTACTATTGTCATAGCAACTACAAGTAATCACAGTACTGTTTAAGCAAGTTGTAAATAAAATTTTCGAAAACAGTTTGTTGAAATCACACAAATCAAACAACTCTGATGTCAAAGAGGTTATTGGATTCGATTTCTTTCTCTGACATACCTTTAAAGTGTGGTTCTTACTTTTTTGCCTTAGAAGTCATCAGTATTGGTGGTATTTGGCGGAGATCTTTTTTATGGAAACTGTCTGAAGGTTGTTTGTACTAGTTTGGCTGTAGGGCAGCAGCTCATAGTGGACTTGTGCCAGCTCACTGATCTCCGGCCAGGACCGTATTCGCTTGATATTCTGAAAGTGATCCCTTTTTGCATCACCAGTCACCATCTGCTGGGTTGGTTTTTTTACGATTCAGCAACAACAGCAAGGAAGAATGGGTAGATAATTACAATAATCCAAGGGATAACCTGGAAATATACTCCGATGGGGAAAGTTGGCGGAAGTATCTTCTCAGAAAACCCTCCAATGGAACCCTCGTTCAGGCTACCTGACCACTGCAGAGTTGCGGAGACGTCTGCTATGATGGAGGCTACAAATCAAATTGGAGTCAGCCTTAAAGATAAGGATATCTTCATTTTCAGCGATAGTCAGGCAGCGAGTGCTGTTGGGCTCGCTTACGCTAAACTGCAAATTAATGCTAAACTATCGCCGACCTTTACACGATATGAAGCTGCATATTGTCGTTGTAGCAGCTCGCTAACCCCGCTAAGGGACAGGCTAATTAATCGAAATCACCGAGGTTTTCTAACAAAAGGTCCAAGAAATGTTTTGTTCAGGATCGGACCAGATGGAAAGGGGGGATGAATAGATGGTCAAGGTCCTGCGGAGACTCCCTACATGCTGCACATACGTTGGGTATCTTGGGCTCGAGTCTAGATAAGGAGGAGTTTAACCTGCTACAGTATCCAGACCTAAGTTGAACCAGTATCACGTGTTTCTCTCGAGGCAGATTGAGCTCTTCGTCTACTATGGGTGGTGCTTTAACTCCCAGTGCGTCATTCAGGGTAAGGGAGTCTTTGAAAGTGTTGACCCTTCTCTTCTTGATGTGCCCTACGATAGCATCCCAATAGGAATTCCTGTCACAGCAATGCATTATGCTCTTTAACTCGTGGCATAGATGCTTCACTGCGCAAGTTATGCTCTGGCGAGATCAGGAGCTTTTCTGTCGCGGTCCTCGGGGCGGTGTTCTGGCTAGCCTGTAGCTTCTTCATCTACGTCTGTTTCTTCCCCGGTGCCCAGATCGGTGCAACAGAGTTAATGACCGGCAGGCCAATTGCTTTGTAGGTTGCCAGCATGGTTTCCTTAGCTTTACCCCAAAATCTGCCGGTTAGCGCTTTGAGTATTTTTTTTTTGACGCTCTGCAACCGCGATTGCAGTCGTATGAGGAGTGAAGGGGTGCAAGCTGTCAAATGTAACTCCTAATATCTTTGGGTTATTTATGGTCAGAATTTTCACGTCATTGACGTTCACATCTAGTTCGAAACTGCATTTCTTCGTCCAGCTGGTGAAGAAGATGCCGTTCACTTTGGAACAAAGATCATCACTAGCAAGACGCTAATATCGAACAATCATCGGCACATGAGATCAAGTAAATCCATCTGGTGGAGGAGGGCGTTTCGAGATATAGAAGTTAATGGGAGAGGACACCACCCTGAGGAACCCCTTGTTTAATCTTCCATAGTTTCCATGTTTCGCCTCGAAATTCTACCGATGATTGACGACCACTCCGGTAGCCCATGATCCACCCCTTCAACCCTGGGGTAATGAGGATTCCGCAATATCTTTTAGTAGCACTGACGGTTTTGGTTAAGACCCTTGACTATCTTAGTGTTTATGACGTTAAGTACTGTTGTGATAGTGAGCACTTTGTGGAAGCCATGCTGATGTGCTGCTGGACTCAGATTATGAGTGAAGGTCGGGAGCTGTAAGGCGTCAAGAGTCTCCGCTAATGTTAAGAACTGGAATTAGGAGAGATATCGGCCGATATGACTCTCCTTTGTTGCAAGGTTTCCACGGCTTGAGTACCGGGACCACCCACTTTCCAGTCATCAGGCATCTTTAGGGTGGTCAAAGATAAATTGAGGACCTTCGTGAGAAAATCTGCCCCCGCTGGTCCAAGATATTTTAGCATCAGCATGTTTATTCCGTCGGGACCGATGGATTTGGAGGCATTCGCTTTCTCAATGACGGCGTTTCATTAGACTTGACGGTAGCCTAGAGCTTGGTTGCCCCAGTAGAGAGCGTGCAGGATCTTAAGTGCTTCCCTCACTTTTTCCGCTTGTTTATTTACAATTCACCGAATCTCCTGGTTTAGATCCCTATTTAGAGAATGTCCGGAGACAGCGTTGTTAATGGTGTCGCGCCTTGATGCTAGTACCACTGCTTTCGTGACGAAATTCGGGCGGATTCTTGCGATTCGGCCAGCCGGGATGAAGCGAGTGGCAGCCGCCGTTCCCCGGCAGCGACGTTCGCAATACGGGGGGTGAGGGAAGGGTTAGAACAGACTGTGCTGCTGGGCAGGAGGGAGATCTGGTTGTGGGTAAAGGTGGAGATCGGTGGGAGTCATGCTGCGGGAACCTCCGTGAAATTGTGAAGGTCTGTGGTTGACGGGGATGAAAGTGCTGAAGGCTCTGGCATGTAACCGCGGGCTCATTTGACCAGGCCTTAAGATGACTCCAACCATTGTACTAGTTACATCCAACCGAGATATAGGAGTGGTGGAGTCTTTTAGCAAGCCCTGATAAGAAGCATCACAATCAGCCTAGCTGCGAGGTGTTGATCCATTGGTGACCTTATATTAATGTTACCTATTGACCTAAATGGGATTAGGTCGCGGAAAGGGTGACAGCCCTTGGCCGGATAATATCCTGGTCGACTCCAGTGTTTAGAGCCGGCTGTCATGAAAGTAGATTAATTTTCCATACTTTTTGATGCTGGTTCGGCCAGCACTTCAACCCAGGACCTTACGCACCGTAGTACTCGCTGGTTATCAAGAGGACATCAATTGTAGCTATCCGTCTGACTTAGCCAGCAGCTGATTAAACAGCTTATTCTCAGAGGATAATAATATCTAAAAAAACGGAAAATATAATTTTTATAAAACTTATCGCAATCAATTTTTTATTAACCTTGAACATCGTTCACAGAGACGTTTTGAACACTTACAACAATAATACGTTATTTTATTTAATTCATAAAATTTTAAGCTAAACATAGTTATTATAACTTGTCTGCATAATCTGTTGTGTATAAATACATATACATAAATATCAATTATCCACTGCATAGAGCATAAGAAGACTTAAAATGTCCCGCAGTAAATATAATTGAAATTACTATTGCACAAATATTTGTTATCAGACGGCAAAAGCGGGTTGCCGCACAGTAATCTAATGCCATTTGATAAAACTAGCACAGGTGTGGGACGAAAATTCGATTTCAATTTGTTTGCGCCACTAAATCCACAATTCGATTCATATAATCCAATGAGCAGCAATAATTATCAAGCATCAAACGGGACATTTGTTGTTCCATGGAATGCATTCCCATACATACATCTACTCGTTCGATCGTAGATGTATGTATGAGAATGCATTCCATGGAACAACAAATGTCCCGTTTTTTCTCTGATTAAAATTTCATTTAATATGCACCAAAGCTTATTAAATGGAAAAAAAAAATAATAATTAGGTCGCATGGCATAGCAATTATGTGACTGTCAGCTTTACTAGCCATCAATGAAAGCTTTACAGTATATGTATGCCGGAAAAAAATATTAATTATAATTAACCACACAATGGAAGCCTTGGTGCTGAGCCATCGCCATCTACGCATTTATTTGCATACATACAAGTTTCCACCAGCTGTAAGCATACATCCATATGTATGACTACACGGAGCCTCTATGGTCTAACTATAGCAACAGTTATTAAAATATGAGTCACAGAAGAAACACACACAGAAGTAATTATAACTTTTGCAAAAAATTACAATCGAACAAACAAAGTATGCAGTGAAGCACCAAAAATTATCAGTTGTTCTTCTGACTACCTCAATTACGCGTATTGTGGGTGTCGCCGCGGTCTTCTGTTCGTTTTATCTCACGAGTAGTAAAAACCCTTGCAATCACCGCCACGCTTGGCTGTAGTAACTGACATTAAAGTATTTAAATACTTATTATTTTACGAATTTGTGTGAATATGTATGTTGAATTCCATATCTCGAGTGATCATATTTTGACTTTTTTTATGGCTGTTATCGCATAAGGATATAAAAGCAGCGCAGGAAAGTAGAAAGACATTAGTTTACATTGACCGCTGTCTGTGTGCACATTCAGTGCTTACTGAGTGAAAAGTTAAAATCTGTTTAAAATATTTCTAAAGCTTTTACCGCTACCAATAGAGGTAAATGTGTTGAGCAATTCAATTAAACAGTTAAAATCAATAAATAAAATTGTTTACGAAGCGGTATACATAGATACATATGTATATTTTTAAGTAATAATTCCAAAAGCGAATATGTATTAAAAAAATAGTACGTCAAAGTGATAAGAGTTTTACAATTCACAAGCAAGTACAGGCTTCTAGGCAAATGTGCATAAATTTGAATTTGTACGTTAGTTAAGCTAAGCTGAGCTAAGGACGCTTTCATAGTTATTTAAATATAAATATGTTTGACAAGTAATAAATATCCGTATTATGAAGGTGGCTAACGTTTACTCAAAAATTTTTACCAGATTACAACTGAATATCATAATTTCAACTTAGTAATACGTTTCATCGATTGGTCGGAGGTGACCTCCATTTATCTCATTTTATGTTCATTCATTTTCATCACATTTTGATTATTATTTTTATTACATTTTTTTCTGTAATTTAATCATATTTAATTTAATTTAATTTTATTTTATTCATATTGTTTTATATAATTTTGTTTAATTTACTTTGATTTAATTTAAGTAAGTATTACTTAGTTTATTTTATTTTACTTTATTTTATTTTACTTTAATTTATCTTATTTCTTTTTATTTTATTTCATATTGCTTTGGTTTCTATTATTATATTTATGTTATATACAATATTATTTTATTTTACTTTATTGATTTAATTAGTTTAATTTATTTTACTTTGTTTAACTTCAAATAATTTTATTTTTTTGTTTTATTTTATTTATTTAATTTTATTTTATTGTGTTTTATATTATTTTATTTTATTTTATTATAATTTTAATTTTTTATTTTATTTCATTTTTTTTATATTATTTTATTTATTTCGTTAAATAAAATATGTTTTTTTCATTTTATTTTGTTTTATTTTATTTCAATTCATTTCACTAATGAATTAATTTTATTTTACTTTATTTTATTTTGATTTGTTTTTTTTTTATTTTAATTTATTTTATATAATTTTATTTTACTTTAAGTTATTTTATTTAAGTCATTTTATTTCATTTTCCTTTTTTTTACTTTATTTTACTTTGTTTTAATTCATATAATTTTATTTTATTTTATTTTATTTTGTTTTATTTATTTTTTTATTTCATTAAATTAAATATGTCATTCATTTATTTTGTTTTATTTTATTTCATTTCACTTAATTTATTTTATTTTACTTCACTTTATTTTAAATAGTTTATTTTATTTGACTTTGTTTTTTTTTAATAATTTTATTTTATTTTGTTTTATTAATATTTTATTTTACTTTACTTTATCTTATTTCAATTTAATTTATTTTATTATATTCTATTTTTTATATCATTTCATTTTAATATATATTATTTTATTTTACTTTAATTTTTCTTCTTTCATTTTATTTATTTTTTCATCTTATTTTGGTTTCTTTTATTTTAGTTTATTTTATTTTATTGTGCATTACCTTAGTTTTTTATATTTAATTAATTAGTTTCATTTATTTTACTTTGATTTATCTTATTTATTTAATTTTTTTTAATTTATTTAATTTTTTTCACATTAAATTAATTTAATTTGGTTTATTGTTTTATTGTGTTTTATATTGTTTTATTTTATTTTATTTTATTTTATTTTGTTTTAATTTTTTTTCATTTAACTATTTATTTTTATTTCATTAAATTAAGTAATTTATTTTAATTTTATTCTGTTTTATTTTTTTTTCATTTCATTGCACTTAATTTATTTTATTTTACTTATTCTTTATTTTATTTATTGTTTTCATTTCATTTTATTTTATTTTATTTCGTTTTGGTCCCCTTGATAACCTGTCGCTTTAGCAATAAAAGTTACTTCCACTTAATACATCCTCATTTTATTTACTTTCCAGACAATGTCATCTACACAGCGCATTTGCTTTCTTGTAATTATGGTTATTATGCTCTTGACCGCTCACAGTGTTTCAGCTAGCAATTCTCGTCCACCGCGGAATAACGATATAAGTAACATGGCCGATGCACTCAAATATCTACAGGATCTCGATACGTATTATGCTGATCGAGCACGCGCCAGGTAAGAAGTAGTGGTGCAACTACAATACCACAAAAGGGCATATACTCAAAACGTTTTATTTGATAGATTTGGTAAGCGCACACCCTTGGTACAACTCTTAAGGCAACACTTACTCGATAATCCCGAACTGGTAATATTAATGATATGCATGTTTTTTACAACTTTGATTTTATGCTTTTAATATTTTCATTTTTCAGGTACACCCAGCAGATGCTAAAACATTAGATGAGATTTATTAGAAATTAATTTAATGTCACATTAAAAGCATTAGTAACTGCAACACGAGGATGCTGAGGAAGAAATGAGTAGACTGAAGCCAAGTCACATCGGATATATACAAAATTTAAGTAGAACTTTTGGAACACATTATTTATTGATATAATCTTTTCAATTGTATATATGTATGCATGTTAATATTTAATAAATACACAAATAAGTAAAGAAGTGTTTGAATTCTCTAATTGAAAATTGCTGAGATAAATTTTTTATCGGCCAAATCCGAAAAAAGGTAAGAAATACGACCACCCACAAACTCTCCAATAGAATTACTTTTTTATATCTCCTTTGCCTCCGATGTACTCCTTTTCATAAGTGCAGAAATTATAGAATATTCCTAGCAATAAATTTCTTCCATCTTCAGCCCTTAGTTCTACTTTCTCCATATTGGATAATGATGCGAAATTTATGGGTCCTTTAGAGGACAAAGCGAAATAACTCCTGCCATCATACAAACAGTTAGTGCACTTATGTCTCGGCTCCCAAGTCAGTGTTGACAGTCATCGCCGTTCTGTAGACAATTCGTCTACCTAGGAACCAGCATCAATACTTACAACAATGCACTGAATGATTGAGGCATAAAGAGCTCGGAAAATTTTTGACTGAATTAGATATATTTCAGAATGGCTCGGTCTTCCTGGTATCAGTCTCTTTCCATTGCAAGGCTCCAACTTCGTTACTGAAAGTATTGACTTCGAAGTTTTAGTAAATTAAGTTTGATCTATCTATAAAAGACCATCAAAACCAAAAAATGTGATATCCTTGAAATATTTACAACACAGTAACACTTTTGCTGAAAGCTACTACTAAGTGAGACATTGAAGGGCACAATAATACGGCGGCTGTCTCTAGTCGGTCGAATGAATGTAAACACTCCGAAGGTTTTCGGTTGATTATACACTGATGAAAGCAAAGGAAGAGAAAGACTCAACAACATGCGTAGAAAGGCCTGGCTGCACACGGACCTCTTCCGTTGGAGGCACTGATATTCAAATGTTGAATGCGCTGTAAACTGCTAAGCGATGTTAGGAACTCCAATTAACATTTGTATTTTTTTAGTTAGAGACGTACCCCCTTGCAATGTCGCCCTATGAACGTGTATACCCTGGAATTTATTTTAGATAACCTTATTTGTGCTTTCTTCTAGACTTCCCGATATGTTCCGCCATGGGCAATCTATATAGAGCACCCTTAGCCTCTGAATGGCTGATGATCTTTCACGAAGAGCTTTATTTTATGTCAGAAATACACTCGGAGAGGTTGACATTCCGCACCAAGAGGCGACCGCAATTGAAGTTTTTAGCTTAATTTTTTATTTAAATTCATTTTCTATAACTTTTTTGATGTTAGTACGACACTAGGAAATGAGCCATCCGAATTGCAATATGCAATACGCGGCCGTCTTGGTTATTAGGTTTTGAAATTTTTGATTACTTAATCGCTAGAAACTGTATCTTCCTATTTAAGGTCAAACAAATTTTATTTATTTAAAAAACAATATTTATAACTCAAAGTTTTTGTAAATTTGTAGAGGTATAAAAATATTAATTGCAAAAAAAATTAAAAAGGACTCTTAAAATTGTTGCTGAAACACGTCCTTTTTGTTGGTAAATGATGACACGATACCCGTAAAACGAATAATCTGAAAGCATAAATCAAAACGGTTTCTTATTCTGTATCACATTGGTTATGGCCGGAACATTTTCACCAAAAAAAGTTTACAAGAAAATGAATTTCGATCTTTTTAAAATGTTTAGAGGAACCTGGCTTTAAAATATGCTATGCAAACTGACAACATTACTTTTATTGAAAAAAAAACATATATTTCACTTGAGGGTCCAAGACTATTTTTATGCTTCTTCTTCTTCTTTACTAACGTAGATACCGCTTAAGCGACTATAGCCGTGTTATCAGCATTGCGCCAGGTCCTTCTTTAACCTGGTCTTTCCAACGGAGTGGAGTTGCTACTCTTCCTAAAATATAAAAACTGAATTATACTTATCCACATGAACTAACCAACGCGGCTGCTGTTTCTTGATTCGCTATGTTAATGTCGCCGTATAACTCGTACAGCTCATCGCTCCATCGTCTGCGATAATCGCCATTCCCAATTCGTGGAGGACCATCGTCGATGCATACGCACCGTATGGTAGGACTCAGTGACTTGAAGAGTTTGGATTTCGTTCGTCTGGAGAGGCTTTTACTTTTCAATTGCTTACTCAGTTCAAAGTAGCCCATGCTGACTTCAGTGATTCTGCGTGGCATTTCAAGGCTGACATTACTATTGATGATAATGCTGGTAGATAGACGAAATTATTTTCGACTTCAAAGATATGACGGTCAACAGACACGTGGTAACCGAGACGCATATATAATGACTGTTTGTTTGAGGAAAGGAGATATTTCATCTTGGCCTAGCACACTACCATCCTTCGCCATATACATACATATATTGGTAAAGTTCGTTCGGATTTTTATTGATTTCTCAAAATATGATACTTTGACGAGCGCTCACAACGTACTGAGTCAAGCAATCGGAAAACTGTTTAAGACAAACTTTTAGCACGAATAAACACGTTTTCAACGTTTTATAGTATGACATGATGCGACAGGTAATACTAGTCCTATGGACAATAACGCCATCTCTTGGATAAAAACCGAACGAACTTTTTAGAACACTGATTTTAATATTATTATTAGCTTTGTTCTACTATAAAAAATGGAGTCTTATTATACAAATTAATATCCCGAAATAAATAAAATGAAATGAAAATAAAATTCCTCTACCCATACGCAGGCGGCACAAAATTGTAGGTATCCATACTTCCTAGAAAAGACATCAAGATGAAAGCGACAAATTGGGAGAAAAGTATGGCCAAATACCGGTTATAAAGTTCCGATTGTTTTTGTTTTTTTTTTTTACCTCTAACGTTTTTAGGAAAACTGTACTCATTAATGAAATCATATTTGAATGAGTAGAAAGACAAGCATGGAGATTCCAATTGATACCAAAAATTGCTGGAAATGACGCATGGACTGTGTCAAAAATTCGTCAGATAATTTTCTATCATCAGCGTTGCTAATTAATAACACTTTTACTGTATTCATTTAATGCTTTGCCACTATCAAATACGATTTTATGTACCTTTATTATACAATAGGTTTACACCCAAATAAATATTTATACACGTATTAAGTGAGCATTTGCGGCCTCCCTTCTGACGCTTATCAGTATTTAACAACAAATCAAAACCGCTTCTTCACCCTATCAGTTAAACCAACATGATTATGATTTCAAAGGAAACCAATTATGATTATACGCAGAGCATCATATAGTATGAATGCCATTCAACAAATAGTCAAATGCCGCAACAGCTGAGTAAAGTAATGTCGAAGTGAAAGTGTTATTTGTCGCGTAACAAAGTACTCAACTCGAGCGACAGCGCAAAAGGATTAATCACTAGACAAAAATTCAACAAATTAAGTACGTCAATATGTACAATGGAAAATTCATTATTAACGGTGTTTCATATAAGCAAGCCGGGGTGGCGTAACCCTCTTAATGCTGCACGCAGCTGCTGCAACTGTTTGATAAGCTTAAATCAAAAATATAGTTATTTAATTATAATTCTATTTATTTGTAATGCTGATGATGAAATCCTTTAGTTGGCATCAGAAATAATTACACACGCTGACCAAAATGAAGAAACTAATTCTCTTTTGCGATAAATGTCAAGCCAAAGCGGAATATTTTTTTTTGCTCATAAAAAATATTATATTTCAATGAAATAGGCGTTTTCTGTAGAAAATTATAAGTAAATGTTATGCGCAAAAGTTGAAAAGTATAATTAAAAAACTGTCATTGGTTGTGCTTGTCAACATTATTATTATACATACATACATATGTATGTACATATAGCATGCTGCTGCCATATGCAAATATCTTTTTGATTTGACTATGCATTCATTTGGTTTCCCACATTTACTTACTTTTTAATAATATACATACATACATATGTATGGTATATACATACGCAAAAACAGTAGCATCATTACCTGTCCTACTACATACAAGAGCGCTTCCTACTAAGCGCAACAGGCAGACATACCATTTACCTGCTTAGCTTTGCTTTGTATTTCCGCTAATTTTGAATATTTCAACCCCTAACTCCATTGCTGGCACCAACCCATACATATGCACACATTTGCCGCTATGCTAATTGTTGTTATCTCCCTCGTTTGCGATCGTATTACCTTTGGGTAATCGTAGGTAAATTATTTGCGGATATAAAAGTAGCCGCAGTTGACAATGATTGTCAGTAGTCCAATAGAGTGGCAGCGCACGCTACACCTTGCAGAATTGGGTGCAACTTTTGTGGCAAATAAAGTTAAAGTGAATTGAATTAAATTAAAATCTTCACAGGTAAACGTGTCGCAAGGCAATACGAAAAAAAAATTTACCACATTCTGAAAAGAAATTGTTCTATATCTTGATTAAATTCGTTGCTATATTTATACATACATACTTATACTTTTGAAGTCTTTTGAAGTAGTGAAAATAGAAAAAATCTAGATTCGTAAAATTTAACAAAACTTTTAAAAACACGGAACTATTTTGATATTGAAAGAAACTTTCTTCTTAAAAGATCGATGCTTTCGTTGCTTGTGTGGCACGTAGCGCTGTCTATTTGAAAGTAAATATTGTCCAGATCAATACCATCCAATTACGGCCATAAAAAATCAATAATAACCTATCGATAGCGAAATTCATTCACTCCAGCCTCATTCTCGAGTTTTCCGTTCCCCAGATGCGGCTGTTTTGCTTTGATGTTCAATTTGAAACATTTGGAAATGTTATCATTAAAGCAGTTATCAAAATAAATTTTATTTCATTTTTACCAGACGGTGTCGTCAAAGTTAAATCGTTAACATGTAATGTTAAACATAAGTGTGCTGTTAATAGCTCTGTTCGGTGAGAAATTTCAGTAAGAGTTAGTTAGTAACGAAATTGAGAGAACGACAGTTCTAACAGTTTCAGGTTCTTCTACTTGTCTGCAACTTCTAGCTCTATAGCTTAAGATGCATTCTTTCTTTTTAGCTCGACAAGGTCACGTGACCTTCTTTCGTTCCTATCTGGCTATATTGTCATAACCACATTACATGCATTAAAACTTCCCCATCTTTTTTTAGCATCTTTAGTGAATAACTCTCTTATATTGAGCTTACAATTGGAGAGCTGTCCAAACACTTCCTCAATGGCGAAGTGAAAGAGAAGTGCTCATCATTGCAGCGGTTCTCTATGGTTTCAGATTTTACTGCTACAGACTGAAGCAGTGCAATTCCGTAACTTTTATCGCCAAGATTTGTCGGATCGCAAACTTTGTCGCTTGCGCTACCGATTATGCGATTCTCTAACTCAGTTTTTACGATATTCGACAACGGACATTTCCATTTTATTAACATGAAGGAAAGGTGGCACCACAGCTTAACAAAACGTCAAAATATGCAAAAAGCACAAAGAAGAATGACAAAAACAAATACATTTGCTATAGAAATGATTTTTATTAAATGAATAGCAATGCATTACAAAGTTTATCAAAAAACGTGTTATGGTTTGCAACGTGCAATCATGAATCTCAGCTCTATAGTGGAGCTCCAAATAAAATAATTGTGCCGCACTCTTGGATACTTGGCATTTGCCGCTATAATTTTGCGATAAGGATCACATATCTGTGTACAAATATATTGAACTTTGCTACTTCAATAGTAATTGAAAAAAATTTACCATCACCATTTGCACGTTGGTAGAATGGTATCCATGAAGGTTGACATAGGCTTCTTTGCAATCGATAACCCCAGTGGTTCCTTCAGCAAAAAGGGAAGTAATTTGAAATCTAACCTTCGCAGAAAACATTGAGCGGTTGACTGCTTCTGTCACGCGATGAATAAAATACCATACTGACGGCTGACTTATGGGCATTCCCTAATGTTCTCCGGCGGGACATTGGTAGCATCCAGTTGCAAAGAATCGCAAGGCGGCTAGAACCGTTAAACATTTTAATAGTGTGAAAACTGAAAAAATATTTAAAAGCTATATTACTACCTGCTTCTCCGTAGATAATGCTGTTATTTTCTGCCTTTTAGTTGGCTATAAAAAAAACTCAGTTGCATTCAACTGGAAACGATCTTCAACTTCCCGAAACCAAATTCTATCCCTCATCTTGGGATAAAACGTATGCCAAATACTCAAAAGCTATTTACGTTTAGAATTTTATTCATTTTTATAAAACATAGGCAATTTTCCGATTTACCTTAATGAAATAACAATATTTTGCCGAAATCGCTAACAACTTAATATATATTCGTCCCTTATTTATCGATTTGTCGAGAGCGAATATCGTTAAAATAAGTACACCGAATAATAAAATCGTTAGAATTATCGCTAAGTATTCTTTGGGATGCAAAAATCGTTATAATGTATGTAGAGAATAGCAAAATCGTTTAAATTATCCTTAAGCCGTTTCAACGATCCGAATTCGTTATATTACGATAGAGAATTCTCTTACAGGGCTCGTAATGCAGCCTGGCTATACGATAAAATATAGATACGACCATCCGAGTGCAACATTGAGCAGAAACAATTGACAGCCTCGTGTATATATTATGTATGAAAAAAACTATTGTAAAGGAAACGCTCTGCAGATACCAAGATCTTTTGAGTAAACTCCGCCACCGACCCTGTTGTCTAGTTTTGACCCGTCCGTATAAAAATGAGATTGAAATCTATTGTGAAGTCAGTGAACAATATGCAGTCATCCGTTTTATCTGGTTGACAGAATCTCCTAAAAATGTTAGTATGCCCGTACTATCCATTCAGACACCTTTTACAGCCATCAATAGTTAAATAAAATAATTCATATCATAAATCTATTATTTTTCCAATAGATGGCGTTATTTCTCTTTATCTCGCATTGTATAAGTCAGATCGGGTTATAGATGGCGTTAGAAAGATTACATATCGTACTAAAAATGCTTTTCTGACGGTTTTGTGATTGATTAATTTACTGCTATTCCCAAATTGGTGCGTTGAGCGCTAAACAACTGTCAAAAATCCTCATTCGCATGCAATTTGAATGGAACAACCCACAATAAGGCTGGATTCAAATTCGACATCGCATTTTATGATGAAGTTAGATATGAAGGATAAAAGTGTGAAAGAAAGGAGCAAAAACTGACAATGGGGAATAGGAAAATAGGAGAAAAATTTTGACAAATAAAATGATATATATTCGCTGAAAAATTAATTCAACCGATTACGTTCTTAGTATCTTGACTTAACTTATCAAACGTTCTTAAAATAAAAGGGACTTGTAGAGAATGAAAAAACGCCAAAAAGCTAGCGCTTTTATTTCGGGTTAGCGCGCATTGTCACTCATTGGCGTTAGAAAACGCTACGCCGAACCATGATGAAATAGTAAACAGATAAAGTAAGTAGAGTAGAAAGAAGAAAGATACTTTGTCACTGCCTTAGCTTAACGTTGTATTTTCGAATTTGAAAAGAAAGTGCAGGAAGCAAACAAAAGTCGGGAATTTGAGTGGGATTTATATAAATATTGAAAATAATAATTTTTTTTGAAAAATATATATGTATGTATGTATGTATACAAACATTATTTATATTATTGGCCGATACATGCCGATCTATTTAATTCACCATACAAATTTTCGTGAGCGAATTACAGTGAAAGTGAGTAATTCGTTCTCAATTGTCATGCGAATTACGACCAAATCGACGCCTTCTCTAATTCTTATCGTTTCATTGATTTGAAACCAAAAGCTTTTTGCATATTAAAGAAGAAAAAAATTTAAAATTATTAATGAAACTGGCATTACATTACCAACTCAATTCAAAATTTTATTAAGTTCTACTAAAGAGTTTAATTTTCCATGCATTTTCAAACTGCGGGCCATGTGAATGGGGGTAATTCGCATTCGTAATTTGAGAGAGCGAAACTTGTAATTGCGCTGTAGTGGAAATGCCATATCAGAAAATATTAAGTTAATTTTTTTATTTGGATTTCTTATAATTTTGAATGTTGGTCGGGCCAGAACTAAACCCCAGTGACAGTCTGGACTGCCCTGAATTTGAGATCGATCACGAAAGGTTGCGGTTATACTTGCCTCTACACTAAACAGCTACAGATTTGCTCACCAGCTGTTATAAATTACAAAAAGATATTAGAAGGAAATTATTTATTTATTTAAAATAATTAGTTCTTGCTGCATAAGCAAGGCTTGAAGGAATCAAAACTGGTGGAATAAATATTAAAGTATTTTCTCAAACATTGATTTTGCACGAAGATAATGAAATGGGTCTAGATGATCTTAAAGGAATGATAACACCTCTAATATTGCTTAACACGATAGTAAGAATTGTCTTATATCCAATTTAAATCTATACAATCGATAGTGTGGACTCCATATAACTGCATCTAATTTGGTAATGAATGGGTATTGAAGTCCTTAAACCAACATTTAATTAAAGCTGAAAGTTATTTTGCTTTATTAACAAAAGAGTTAATATTATTCCTAAAATTTAACCTAAGGTTCATTGTTTCGAAATAAGGGGGTGGTACATTTAATAAATTAGATTAAATAAAGTTAGAGCATTTATTTAAAAAAATAGCAAGTTTTTCTAAAGACATTTTTAAAAAATATCTCATGTTTACCACACACGTGTATGTAAGTGTGTTAAATGTGTGCAAAATATTTTAACGCATTGCACAGCTCCTAGGGAAGACACATTTTTCAAAAACATATGTACATAAATCCAATATTTAAAATTACCCACTGGCCAAATATGAACTAAGAATAAATATATTTATTATAAGTTTATATTATAAAAATTAACATGATTAACAAAAGCTTCCTTCACATTTTTCCACAACATAATTTTTCAAAGAAAACATGGAATATAATTTCATTTGCTACGGAATGTCATTTTAACAATCATTCAAAAGTTTGCGGTGATCTATACTCTCTTCAATGATGAAAAACCTTAAGCTCACTCCAAGGGGAATTCATATATAAATCACCGTCATTTCGCCTAGTTGACTAAATATTTGTTCATACGACATGGCAAACCCTTTATTTTTAAGTTAAGAATTATATTATATTATAACATGCACATATATATGTGTATATATCGTAACTATGACGTAAACTACTTTTTTCAAATAGTTTTGGTTACGTGTTTTAATTATACTCAGATCCAAAAGCTGAGAAGACATACTTGACTCGTACAAAACTCATCCAATCCCAGAAATAATTATAACGAGTGAGGAGCAAGGGATTGTTTGCTAACATACTAGCCGAACCGTCGTCATCCAAAGCCAATATTCTACTGCCATCAGCTTTCGAAGAAACTAAAAAGCCCTTAACAGGCTAACCGCAAAGCCATCGTGATAGCTCATAAACCTACATCCCTTTTATAAGCAGTCAAAAGTCAACAGAGACCACAACACAGCTTTGACTTAAGCAACATTAGATTATTAGTGTTTTTGCTCATTTTTTACTTACAAAGGCCAATAAGTAATTGAATATTAAAAAACAACATTAATTTCTAGCAGCTAAATTTTAACCGGTCGGCAAGTTTATATATTTAAAAGATGAGCTTGGAGGCGGAATAAAACTTGAACTTGGATCCTGAATAGAAAATGAATTAGGGGGCTGAATAAAACTTGAAGGCGGTGAGATTGGTACAGCTTTAGGCAGTAAAGTTGCCCTTTTCTGTCCCAATATATAATCCGTTGGTAAAAAATGGTCTGCGCATACCAAATCTCTTTTCTTAAATTGTCTTTGGCAAACATGGTTACAGACTCTGCATCTTTCTTCATCTTGCGGAGCTTGGAAAAGCACATCGACACATGTTTTCTTTAATTTAAAAAAATCAAAAATCTAATTTGAAAATTTTTCGTTTATAATTACCAATTCAAATTGAATGTAATCAAAAAAAAAAAAAAAAACATACAAAACGTAAGCACATTTCGAAACGTAAACAAACATTTTGACTACCTTTACACTGAAGCGAATTTATTAAGGGAAAAAAGTTGATTTCGCTGTCCTAGTAATTCCACCTTGTTAAATTCGCCTTGGCTCACCCTTTTTTCCAAGATTTTTATTTCAATATGGGAATATAATTCAATAAAAGCACCAACTCTTGCTAAGGCAGCGCGTGGAAGAGGGACAATTCTTAGCTTACTTCACCTGCATATTATTTCATCATGCACCGAACGCTCCAATTTAGGTATGTCAGTGAGTTTTGTTTGAGCCTGCGTCTCAGATACACACTAGCATAGAGAAAATATGCTATATTTTACAGTTTTCCTTCGATAAGAGCGAAAACGCAAGTCAGGCGGCCGAAAATGTAAAATATGCTTCACAGAGTGAAAGGCCAATTGTCGATGTCGTATGATCATTGTCAAGTTCGACCCTAATGTAAGCACTGTTTCGATATCCCAAGCGCTAAATATTGCACAAAAATCCGTTTGGAAGCATCTGAATAAGGCTGAACACGAAAACAAAAAGTTAAACCATTCAAATTTTATGCAAAAATAATGATTTTATTTTTACTACAAATGATTTTATTTTTACTACAAATGTTTTTATTTTTACTACACCTAATATACATATAAGCAATAGCGCTGTATAAATTTACAATAAATACGTATTAAAATTTAAGTTCACAATACTATTCATTAAAGCTAATAAAGACAGAACTTTAACTATTAGTGAATATGATAGATATTCTTTCATGTAAAAATTCGCGTTTTCCCTTTTCAAATTTTATCATTCCACATTTGGTAGAAGAGAAAAACTTATTTAAACGAACTAACATGGAGTAGCATTACTTGAGAGCTGTTGAAACAATTAAATTCGATCAGAATGGGTGCGTTCAGAGAACTGAGCGCTCAATAAGCATGTTCAGTGAGCGCTCACCATATTTGTGAGCGTAAAATTTGTATACTACTAGACCGATCAATAGTCAACTGCTGTATACAGAAATTACAAAAATTTAAAAGTATTTTTACTTGAGTGTTTATAACGACAATTTACTAGATTTTCTGCGTTATCAAATAGATTTAGTTGCGCCATTTGCACTAGATAAACAGTTTTTCATGTCCACTGAGCGTTAACTTCACTGAATGCACCCAATATTATAGGATTATTAAGGGAGTGAAAATGTTTGCCGTTCAATCCGTTTTAAAGACAAAGAAAGAAATCTGATTGTGCTAAGTCAGCGCATCCGGGTAAATATGCGTTGCCAATTGAACTGTGTTCATTTCTTACGGATCAACAAGGAAGCGTTTTTACGCCGTTTCGGCTTGATTTATTCGCATGCATCTTCACACATTCAAATTTTTAGAATGAAAACTTGTACTGCTATGTGAAACGATTCAAAAGCTTACTATAAGAACGTCATTAATTTTTTGAAGGCAGAAAGACCATGTTCCATGAGAAATAATAATGAAACGTTTGTTTGCTGACCTAAATCGTGTTAGTAGCGACTCTGATGATGCAGAACGTGGTAGAGGTCCAAATGAGTTGATAACACCAGAAGACAGCAAAACTCCACAAAACTTTTTGCATAATAGGTTCGATGTTAGGTAGCCGCGATAGCGGAGTGGTTAACATCGCGTACTGCCACTTAAAAGGCTCAAGTCTTGGTGTCATACTCACATCTAAAAATTATAGAAAACCAATTTAAATAAAAAATACATCAAATTTTCTAATTACAGTCGCCCCTCCAAAAGGAATGTCAGACACTCCGAGTGTATTTATCATAAAAAACCATCAGGAGTTTGAGGCGGCTTAGTATAAACTAGAGATGCTCAAGATACGTATCAAAATCATATCTTTTCGCTAACAAAAAAAAAAAATTAACTCAACGAAATGAAATTATTTCGTTTCGTTTTAACGTCATTTTAATGTTGAAATCGCTTATGATTTAACCCCACACTTCAATTTTAGCGTTTAACATTATCTGTTCACGATTTAACATTATCTGCTACGATTTAACATAATATGTTAAAGATGAAAACATAATTTATTAACGATTTTACATTAACGTCAGATTTTTAATGCTAGTAAAAACGAAAAAAAAAGGTTTCAACAGAAAAAGTATAGAATTATAGTGACCTCTGTTTGAAAAACATTAAGAGGCATACCACGAGTTGAAGAAGAAGCTCGGCCGAAAGGCTAATTTCTATACAATATACTTTTTTTTAGACTTTAGACAATAGCTAATTTCTGATATCTGAATGGCATCCGAATGGCCGATGGACTCTGACACTCCCTAAAGATATTTTTGATTTATAAAAAGAGTTAAGTTAAAAATTAGACGAAAATAATAGTTCCAAGTGAACTCGAAATTTAATATAAATATAATAAAGTAAATTTCTATAGGAGTTGTGAGTCAACACGCACTTGAGCACGAAGACTTGATGAAACTGTCGAGAAGCATCAATCCATTGAAACACGTTTTTAATTCCCCATTACTTTCACTTACAATTTGCTGTTGCCTGAACCTTGGAAAAAATTTATTTTTCAAATCGAAAATTTTGTGAAAACAGATTTATGTTGTTTTGGGCTCACTATTAAATCATAAAAATTTCACATAGCTCATAATACGAATTTGTTATTCTTTCTTAAATTATCAGCAGTCTACGAAGAAGGAAAATCGAAAGCATCAATATTGTAGTTACTTTAATATTATTATTTTTTATTTTTGTTTTTTACTGCCCGAAGTGACTTTGACCAAAGGCATACTTCGACGGAAATTCAAATTTCGGACTTTGACTTAAGTATTTTGGTCGACCCTAGAAAGAAATGCTTAATTTTTCAATCAAACGTCGGAAGTAAAGTAATCTGCTTCGGAGCTTGGCTAGTCAATCCTGGAAGCAACTAGGGCAGACTTGAACATTTCGTACTGCTTATTAGCCGAACGATAAAATCTAGTTTTTATACCATATTTGGACGATATTTTTGTTGCTGCTCTCATAATAAAATCAATTAATTTTTCTTTTGCGGCGGTACGCGGCATTTTAAACCACAAAGGTATCTCACAACTAAAGCATTAAATATAAAGAATGCAAGAAAAAGAGTTAATCTAAAAAGAGGCTAATCGTTAAATCAGCATTATTTAAAGAGATTCGCCCACAGGGACTTGTCACGATTTTCAAAATATATTTAGATATTTATTTCTATGTATATACCCTATCGAGATCATATGCCAAAATTTTTGACTCTGCGGCCCCCACATTCAACAACGGCGCAGGAAGTATTGTAGCTAACATCCTTTTTGATATTTTTTCTTGTACTTTGGGTGCGCCATCAGTGCTTCAATCTGATAATGGACGAAAGTTGAAAATGAACTATCCATAATGCACGGTAAACCGCGTCACTCTCAAAATCAGGGAAGTATTAAAAGCGGATCAAGATGTACTAAAAATATTATTTGTTCGCCGGTATGGTCGATAATAAAACTAATCGTTTGAGTGAGGGCTTCCGATTCTGTCAACTGACTGCTCAAACGCCGATTTAAGGAAATATCCAAATAAGTTTCTACTGGTTTGGACAAAAATTCTTTAGCCAAAGCCAGAAAAATGTCATTTATTTGTTCTTAGATTAAGACTTTATTTCAGTCAGTTTAAGATATTCATATAAAAATTCATGTTTAGTAGTCATCACCGTACTTTTTTTAAATTCAACAAACGTGGTTTTTTCCATCTATGGATGTAAACCTATTATAGATTCCAAAAAAATTCCCGGAATCCATGAGTTATATCTAAGTTGAATAAATAATTATAAGTCAGCTAAACTCAACTAAACCTACTTGGCTCAATATTATAAGCTAAGAAAGGGACTATTTCTGACCTTGTTTAAGTCTTAATACATTTATTTAATAAACTCCCTCAACGTGACCGAATTTAAAAATTGTTCATATAATATTATCTGTGGTCAATATTCTCTATCCTCCATAGTTAGGTGTCTAATTCTGTTCAGGTCGCACCCGAGTTAGACTCTTCTTTGCATGCACTTATTTATATTCATAATTTTTCTCAATTATTTATTATTACAGCTATGTCGCCATCAATACTGCGCTTCGGAGTCATTTTAATTGTTGTAATGTTCCTTTTGTCGGCCCATACAACTACAGCCGGCAACTCGCGTCCGCCACGTAATAGTGACATTAGCAATATGGCCGATGCACTCAAATATCTACAAGATTTGGATACCTACTATGGTGATCGCGCGCGTGCGAGGTGAGTTAAGCAACAAAGTCTCCTATGAAATTCTAATCATTGTTCACATACTTTAACACACCTTCAGATTCGGCAAACGTGCGCCACTATTGCTGCTGTTACGTCAACATCTGTTGGACAATCCCGATTTGGTATGCAATTGAGTAAAAAAATTAATAGTTTATATTCTTAATTTACAAATGAAATTTTTTGTTACGGTTTTATTTTACTAGGCACGTGCAATTGAGAATCCTTCGACAGATGAGTCCTTTTAAAATGCGTATATATGCATAGATTCGTCACTAGTAGCAGTGAAAACACTTAATTGCAACAACTACGAGTACTTAGAAGAGAAAACATGTAGCCGCAACTTTGATGACTTTGATGACTCTCAAGTAAACATTTATTCCTGAAATTATTTAAAATATAACATAAGGCTAATTAAAGTTGAACGTAATGGACCTGTAAATTAATAAATAAAGAAAGAGTTTCGTTTTTAAATGCACAACAACTTTTTATTTATCGTTATATATGTCTATACGTATATACAAATGCTTATACTTATGTATGTGTACATATTTACAACAAAATACAGTTGTTTTAGTAATAGCATATATAATACAAACGTATATAGCTTTTAACCTATAATACATGTAAATGTTAGAAATAAAATTTTGTTTTTCGGAAAAATAAACGCAACTCTGTGCACAACAACAGTAACAACAGCAAATATTATAAGCATTTTAATACCACTTATTCACAGGCAAAAAACACAGGCACTAAATCGATTTTGAACTGTACATGGAACACAGCCTTGCATATTCTATATTGGCAAGAAGTGCACCAAAAAAGCGCAGACTAAAAGCAAACAAAAAGATATTATTAATTACATAAAATATGGGAACATCATATTTTTGATCTTACTCAAAATTGACGCGGTGAGTATAACGAAAGTGGTATGACAATATGGCTCCAGCATAACGCCGATCATATTCGAAGCGACTATCACGCCCAGACGACCCATAGCTAGGCCAATGCTAACAGCTTTGCCTCTGAAGGAAATAAAATATTTACGTTAGTAATTAAGGAATTTTACCAGAAAAGCTCAACAAACACAGCGATATTATTTTGTTTAACTCAACGAAATTAAAGCGTTTCGTTTCGTTTCGGCGTCATGTTAATGTTGAAATATGTTTTCACTTGTTCACACTTCAATTTTGGCGTTTAACATTATTTGTTAACGATTTAACATGATCTGTGAACCATTTAATATTATCTGTTAACGATTTAACATGATCTGTTAACGATTTTATATTATCTGTTAACGATTTAACATGATCTGTTAACGATTTTATATTATCTGTTAACGATTTAACATGATCTGTTAACGATTTTATATTATTTGTTAACGATTTAACATTACATATATGCTAACGATTTAATAACATCCGAAAATGATTTAACTTTATCTGTTAACGATTAACATTCACGATTTAACATTAACACCAGCTTTACGCTGCAGGTAAAAACGAAATGAAATTTATTTTAATAACTGCTTTAACGTTAATATATCCATATGTTTCAACCGAAACTATTTTTGATCAATGTGAAATTTGTCGTTACGATGCGGTCATGAATTATACATAATAACTCATTTCTTAATCAAAGAAAATTTTAATTAATCTCAAACTAATTCAATCTTGATTGATGAAACCAATTAATTAAACTTACCAACTCATAAGATTTATGAATAATCAGAATGCAGAAGATTAATCGATTTATCGCACACTAAATTATTTAAAAAATTGCTTACCTTAAATGTGTTGGTACCAAATCCACCATTGCGCCGCACATTATTGATATAGATAGTCCTGGCATGAGTATGTATAAGCAGAAGAGTACCAGTACAACTTGCGCATTCACCACAAAATGCAGAAGTATACCACTTACAGTACCAATGGCTAATGCGGCTAATAAAACGTTTTTACGACCTAAAGGATTTAGTAGGGCACCCTGTATAATGAAGCCCACTAAAAATGCACAACCCACAATCATGTTATCAATGTATGTCTTGGTCGAGATGCTATCATCACAGATCTGAAAGTAAAGATAGAAAGTGGTAATTTAATTTATGTTGGCCAAGCTGACTGTCCCATACCCTTAAGCAAAGAAGAAGCGGAAAAGGAGCCTGGTCAAAACTTGCCAGCAGCTTTGTTCGAAAACTTACCGGAACAATGGACCCATTGGACTTAAGGTCAGCCTTTTGGGTGATACTGATGGCATCTAATTTTCATTGGATTATTTCTTCAATGTGATGGGACCTAAACCCTACCTACAACCGCAGGAGAAATCGCCTTCTCTTATCAGCTCGCTTGCAAATGTAGGTTTGTTTGACTATCAGAGATATTTGATAGTCAAAAAGCTTCTTCACTTGCGTGGGCTTCTGCACATGGCCCCATACTCAATGTACTCATGTAGAAATCAATGTGGAAATCTGGTAACCGATATTTAGAGGAGGAGGCTGAATGGCAGGGAAAATGCAACAATGACTAACCCGAAACTTTAATCGATGATGAGGGAATAGACGTCCCATTACTATGAGGAGGTTCCAATAGTGATTCGCCTATTCAAAAAAAGTACAAGGCGATGAAGAACGTGCAAGGTGTATACATCAGCTTCTTTGCAGAATATGGTCGGACGAAACATGCCCGACAATTGGAACTTAAGGGTGCTCTGCCCAATTCATTAAAAGGGGGGGAACCCACAGTCAGCGCCAATTACCGTGGAATTAGATCTTAACAGCCGCACCGTTGGTTATGCCTTTTCCAAGCTTGACAAAGAAGCGAAGCAAATGGGTCTGGTAAGAAGCAGGCACAAGATGAAATATTTCTTGTCATCAAACAAACCGTCTTGGCTTACACGTCAGAACTTCGAGGTCGTAATTAATTTGGTATATTTAGAGAAATGTTCCGCTGTTATAACTTCCAGAAATATAATTGCCATCAGCATCGACTAAGACTAGTTCTAGCTTCTTATGATTGTGAAGTTATGCCATTCAAAATCGTAATGTACGAAGCAATGCGAGCTCTCTTTGATCAGATACTTTGAATCCGAGTCTGAAGCTTATATTTAGAATATCTTCCTGCTTATGAAAACATTATTCGGGTTTTCAATTTATTATCATATGATTTACTTAGTCTCTTAAAACGGAAAGGATATCTCTACTTACTTCAGCATCAACGGTTGTAACATTGAAACGCTGCTTTTCGAATGAAGCTTCCAAAATATCACACACCGATGAGCTATTACCCGCATTATCGCCTGAAGATCGGTTCACAATTTCCGGATACCAAATTTGCATACCTGCCGATGTGAGAAACATGCCAAAAACTGCGAAAATACTCAATATGAAATTCACGCAATGTGGTTTTTGAAATAGTGGCACTGTTGCTCTCCAAATATTCACCAATATTCCACAAATACCACCACTACCACTTCGCAAATCATCATCAGCGATTTGTTCGGGTTTTAATTTGAAATCTGCATCACTTCCGAAAACACTCGCTAGAGAACGACCACGATTGAACTTGCAGATCCATTCCAAGGCAGCGATTGCTTCGTATTCTCTATCCTGTGCCAATAGCAGTTTGGGGCTCTCCGGAAAAGGATACAAAAAGAGTGCTGCAATTAGACCTGGTAACAGATTGGATAAGATGATCAAACGCCATGGCCGGAAAATAAAACTATCACTGAAATGAAGTGACCAGTCAGCAGAAAGGATAAGCCAACAGATGGCTAGAAATAAAAGAAAAAATGAGGAAAATATTAAATTCCGTAAATTTTAATATATATAAAACAATATTCAATGAAAAATAGTAATTTATAGCCCTTAATTGTAAACGTATATATATAATTGGCGCTTTGTAACTGCTGAAGCGATTTTCGGCCGAGCCCCTCCTCCAATTTGTGGTCTCGATGTTTTTTCCAACAAATTGAGGGACCGATAGTTTATACTAAGCCGCCTCCGAACGACCGATGATTTATTTTACGAGGAGCCTTTATTTCATGTCCGGAATACACTCGGAAGGGTGGACATTCCCTGCCGACGGGCGACCGAAATTAGAAAATTTAACTAAATTATTTATTTAATTTAATTTTTTAAATGTTTTTCTTTTTTTGAATGTTAGTACCACAAGACTTGGACTCGAGCCTTCCGAATGGCAGTACGCAATGCTAATAGTAAATACCGTAGTAAATACCAATTATAATTAAACATATTTAGTCAAAGCTTCTTTGCCAAATTTTTAATAGAGCTATGACGCATTTGCCTTGAACTCGAGAGGATTTCGCTTTCTGTTGCGATGTTAGCTAGACAACAACCAAAAGGGGCCCACGTCAGGTAGAGGCGAGTCTAGGTGGGAAATACATTAAATGTGATTCCTTAACATATGATGGAACTTATGAAAAAAGACCAAATGCTTTGAGCACTCGAAGTACCGCCGAAAGTCCAATAGATCTATATTCTATATGCCTATGCTTCTGACAGTAGATATTGTAAACACGGTTAGCACTTTGGCCGAAATATTGACAGCATTTTTTTTATACAGAATTCATTTATTTACTGGATCTGCTATAATATAAGCCTAACAGTAAGTGTACAAATCTTAAAAACTAAGTTACAGAATGGATAGATCGAGTTATTTAACTCTGAGCCCTTTTCAAACTACGGCGCTCTCCTTAGAAGGCGGGAACATCTCTTCGTTGCAGGCGGGAATTTCTCGATGGCGGATTTGGATGATTTCTAAGCTTTGTGAAGTACTTCGTCCTCCTTCTTTCAATTTCAGGCTTAACCAGTAAAATACCAAGGTCTTGATGAATGTTAACGTTACGAACGTACCATGGTGCGCCCATTAGTGCTCTTAAAATTTTAGACTGAAACCTCTGTATTTTATCAATATTAGTTGCGCAGGTCGTACCCCACAGTTGAATACCATACATCTAAATTGGTTTCAATACTGCATTGTGAATAAGGACTTCGTAGTCTAGTTTTAGACCGGAGTTTTTATTTAAGAGCCAATTTAAACTAGCTGCTTTTAATTTCATGTGTAGTATTTTTGCCTCTATCTGTCTCTTCCAAGTGAGACGTCTATCTAAAAGTATACCGAGATATGTAACATCATTTACTTGGGGAATGCTTATACCATTTAAGCGAATTGCAGGACATGATTGAGGTCTTAAAGTAAATGTGACGTGTTTACACTTTTGCTCATTAACTTTAATTCTCCAGTTTTTCAGCCATTCTTCTATGAGGAGTAAATGATCACTAATCGTTTTTACCGCTCTTTTAGGGCATTTATCCCGGCATAAAATAGCTGTGTCATCCGCAAAGGTAGATGTCTGCACTTTTCGGTCTAAAGGAAAGGGAACACCTGCTCTTACCGGGTACTCCTCACTGATAAATTCAGATTGTTTAATGGTAAATTGTCTGTTAGTCATATATGTCTAAAGTATCATCTAAAATTGAACAGGCAGAGCTTTGTGTATTTTGTGCAGTAAACCTTTATGCCAGACTTTGTCCAACGCTTGTGCTACGTCAAGAAAGATTGCACAACAGTACTCCTTGAGCTCGAATGCCTTTATGATTTCATTAGTTTATTCGGTTAACTTTTTCAATAGTACTATGCTTTTTACGAAAGTCGAATTGGTGATCTGGTATCACATTGTTACGGTGGAGAAAAGGAGATATTTTTGATAGCAGAATTTTCTCAAATAATTTGGAAAGACTGGGTAGTGGGCTTATTGGTGTGTAAGACACCGCCTGTGTGTGGTGTTTGCCTGGTTTGGCTATCATTAATATCTGCGACTTTTTCCATAAGTTTGGAAAGTGATTTAATTTTAGAATGACACTAAAGAGTTCAGAGAGCAATGCTTGTGCAACTCTTGGTAGCTCTATTAGCATTTTAGATGTAATGAGGTCATGGCGTGGAGTTTTTGAAACATTCTTAGCCATCATTTGGTCATAAAAACATTCAAAGTAAGACAAATCTAAAAAAGCAGCACAGCCAGTGCTCATTGGGACAGAGTATTTGATATTTATCGCTGGTGACTTCACGACTCTTTCTCAGTTTGATTTGACTGTTTCTTTAAATTTAAAAAAAAATATTTTAGGAATCTTTATTCATTGACTGTTAAGCACGTTAATTTACATCAGTTTATGAATTTATTTATTAAATCTAAATATAAAAAAGTGATTTTGAGCATTTAGTTTTTTTTTTATTTTGTGAGAATAATTTCCAAGTCTGAACAAAAAACCTCTATAATTAACAGTTCTTTATCTCATCCTCGCCTCCATAACCGAGAGCCTCATAAATGACTCATTCGTTAGTTTTCTGGAACGGTGTATGCTTATATATACTCTTTCTAGTAGAAAATAATTATATTCAATAATCTTAAATAGAGATCTGCAACAAACGCAACGTCGCGATGTCATTTCGTTTTGTGAATATGAAAAATAAACTTAACGAAATGATGTTGCTTCATTTTGATTTTTGAAAATCTCATAATAATCTGAAACCAAATTTTATGAAATATTTTTCATTTTGCAAAAAATTTTTTTATGCTAAAAACAGTGTTTTAGTGGCAAATGATCAGGAATGAGAACTAAAATCACAACAGAATCGATGGAAAAGTTCATTGAGTTTATAATTTGATTTATATAACTTCAATAGTTACGACCTAAATGGACTAGATACACGAATTGGAAGATTGAAGTTTACCTCAGACAAAGAAATTTTTCTACGACTTGCGAGAGTAGGTAGTCCCATCCGATATGACTTATTACAAAAATTAAAAAATTGTATTTGGGTGGACTCTAACTTATCGGAACGAACTTAATAATTGGGGCTCTAACTTTGTGAATCATATTCTAATATTAGCTGACCAGTTGGTTTTTTTTTTCTTTAAATTCCTTTTGACCATCTGAAGGCTGTGGTATTGATATGAAAATGGAAGTTGAGCCTAAGGTCCGTAGTGATAAATAAGGTTGTATACTTTCTCTGGACTACAGTTATTAATTGGATAAGAAGAAGATTGAACAAGTCTTTGTGAAAAGCACATCCTCTTACATTTCTGCAGGTTCAAAGGCATGCCGTTGTTAGGACACAAAATCATTAAATTTTCTAGACCTGCTTGTAATGATCGTTTCGTCGAAAGAGGTTTACGACATAAAAAGCTGTACATCATCGGTATATAACAAGATATTTAAATGCTTTATTACTGAAGAACCAGAATCGGGTTTGAGGAGCTCATGACGAGATTTTAATTAATTAAAATGAATTGTCTTTAAACAAATGTACGAGTGCGTAAAATTATGATTATTTTTTCCATTCACCTCTTTTACAATACCAATAGAGAGATATATAATTTATGAGGAATCAGGCGCGTAATACATAATATGCTTGCAGAAAGCAATAAACCAATACATAAAGTCATTCACCTATTTATGGCCCTAAACCGATATAAAAATGTAATAATTTCATTAAGAAATACAAGAAAGCCACAAAAACACGGAAGGGTAAATAAATAGATAATCGTTTGGAGATTGTATCGAGCCTTGCTATGCAAATGATATTTATCAACTGTAGCAAAAGCGACATATTACATAAAATTAAGGCTGTATCGTAACGAGACATTTCACGCCAATCAAAAAAAAAAAAATCAATCGATTCGGTTGAAACATTTGGAAATGTTATCGTTAAAGTACTTATCAAAATAAATTTCATTTCGTTTTCACACGAAGCGAAATGCTGTCGCTAATGTTAAATCGTTAACATGTTAATAGTACAGTGTACTGTAAATATTATAGCAATCAGAAATTTTAAAATTAGCGTTAACGATGAGTTTCTGCAGTTTCAATATTAATGATTTCATTTCGTGTTGATAACATAGTACTGAAATGAAGCATGTCTGATAAGCTGGAACATCACAAATAATTTAAGCATTTTTATTAAGAAAACAAATTATTTTTTAATTTTTGACCGCCATTTTGGATCCGCTATTTTAATCTTAAAAATCTGATATCAGATTCATAATCAACGACCTTAAAAACCAATGGATACCAATTGCTATAAATTATTAATAATTTTTAAAAGCGATCTTGCCACTTTTCTCTTAGGGGTTGTTTTCACCACAAAACCCCGTAAAGAACTTGAGTTATCAAAACGTCCAGACATGGACATTTTTTTTGTCCCAGTTTTTGTGGGTAAAGAAAATTTTGTTTTTGTCGGACGGTGTAATAGATCTTTGTCTAACCACAACAATACATGTATATATATACAATATTATATAACAGGCGTTTTGTAACCGCTGCAGCGATTTTCGGCCGAGTTCCTCCCCCAATTTGTGATTTTTTTATGAGGAGCCTTTATTTCTTGACAGAAAGACATTCGGAGGTGTTGACTTTCCCTGCCGAGGGAAGACTGCAATTAGAAAATCGCACTTAATTTTTTAATTAAAATATATTTCTATAACTTTCGGATTTTCGGATGCTCGCCACTCGGCTACATGGAAATTAAAAAAAATTCTCCATATGGGCTCGAATTCATTATTAGTCCGAGAATTCGTATTCCAGTAAATCTCTCTTTGCTTTCGTTTAGTAGTTTTTGCATTCAGCATGATTATTAACTGTAGATTGTTGTTTTTTCACCCTTTCAATAATAATAACGGATTATTAAATTGTTAGCACAAATGTTATCTTTCAATTTCATTTGAACATGACTGCATGACTTTTTGCCATATTATGTACCGTTAAAACCTCATCTACATAAATTATATGGAAATTTGTATTAAAAAGCGAAATCGTAATTATTCATACAAACCTTAAATTATTATCTACGAAAGTTATTTACGTAAATACACATATACAATACATATGTACATTCCCTGCAGGGAAAATTACTAGCTGTTAACTAGAATGCAACCAGTTATTCCTGTTGGCACTAACCAGTTTATTTATACCTATGTAAGTAATTGGAATTTTTAACACAGCGATGTCCTACAAACTTTCATTTGTCCAACTATGCACCAGCTTTATACTAGTTAAATACTACTTCATGTAGGCATGTTGAATATCTAAGAAATGAAAAATATAGAGTTGCCCTACAGCGTTGCAATAATGTCTGCGCACTTCAAAAGAGCTTATTAGGAAATACAATAACATACGAATGACATGGTGGTGGAAATTTTACTTCACCAAAAAATAAAAATGAAGTTGTCGGCAGCGAGACTTAAATCGTGATCATAATGCACCACAGCGATTACACGATTACATCTAACAACTGGGCTATCGTGACGGTTGTTCGATAGATGTCTTGTTGTGTATTTCAACAGAGCATAACTGAGAATAGACTCATCCGCCGTATGCTGGTTGTAACAACAACACACCGTTGAAGAGATTTTCGGCTGAGCTACTCCTCAAATTTGTGGTGTGTGTCATAATGATTTTTGTCCAACAAATTAAGGGACCTACAGTTTATTCTAAGCCACATCCGAACGGTCGATGGATTTTTAGGGGGAACTTATTATTTCATATCAGAAATACACTCGGCCGCAATAGACAAGAGGTTAACATTGCTTACCGCCAAAGTCTGGGACAAAGTCCTGGACCGACCAACATGTAAAATTTTAAAAAATTGATTTAAATAAATAATGTTTAACTAGAATTTTGACATACTTGTCTACCATCTCCCTACAGTGTTATTAAGCGGGTTTATGTTCCATACAAATAAATACATAAATACCCTAACATACCTGGCATATAGATTGCAGCGATGCTAACGAACATTGTTGAATAATTTATCACGACTGCGCGATGTTTATCAGTATTGAACTCGCTAAGGTATGCGTAAATTGCTGCTGAGACGCCTCCTAAACTGCAAATGTAAAAATGTATAGTTATTTTGTAATAAAAATTAAATTATGTATGTATGTAAATATGTGTTTAATACAACACACCTTACGCCCATTAATAGGTTCACTACGTTAAATGCCCAAATATTTGTAATAAACATCGAAATCAATTGTAAGAGATTTGTAGCGAGTGTACCGTAAAATAGTACCGAACGTCGCCCGAAAGCATCGCTAGCGTAACCCCAAAAGTATGTTGAGAGAAAAATTCCTGTTACACATGCTGCCATCATTATACCCTTTTCAGCTTGACTCATGCCAAATTCGCATTGCGATGCTATTGCCATAATACCCACCGATGTTTGTGTGGCCATGGAGCAGAGCGTCAACAAGCCAGATATGAGAAGTAGTAACCATTGTGCTTTTCCGAAACCTAGAAAAATAAGAAATATGGTTTTTTAATTAAATGCTGTTGGTAAATAATTTACCAGTTGGTTAAGGTAGTTTTATTTATAAATAGATATGCATATATATTCCTTGCGCATAGCCTTTCTCTCGCTAGCTGCAAATGCCGACTCTTCGGATGTCGACACGTCTACACCCGTTCTGAGGGACTTGTAGACTTTGCCCTCTGTTTAGTAAGAAATATTACTATTCTGTCAACTACTCAGTCCAAAGTAGCAAGAGAGTTTACGTACGAGTAAACGCAATTATTAGGACTTCAAAGATATGACTATCAACACTGTGCCTTCCCTTCACTGATCATCAATTTTTCGATGAACCTGTAATTTGGGTGAAAGACCCCACAGGACATGATGAAACCAGGTGTTACACATACATTAATTCTGGTGTTGAATTGAACAGAAAAAGGTCGAGAACAAAAAAGCATATATGCCCGTCTTCACTAACACATATCCGGAGTCTAGATAAAGACTTAAATGCAGCAACAACTGTTTTCACTAATCCGGCCGATGTGTATGATGCAGATTGCACACCTGATCTTCTAAATGATGCACAAATACAAACGCTCACACAAAACGAAAGAAACTATCAGGTGCACAACTTTGCTTCCGCCGTTTTTTCAAAATTAAAAACTTTTTTTGCGAAAAAGTGCTTACAGACATATATTCAAAGTATTGTCCTTCGCTAGCGACAACTTTCTCCCATCTTTCCGGCAATTTTCGGTTCCCGGCTCGAAAAACGGAGTCCTCTTTTGACCCCATCCATGAAGCAATCCATTTTTTCAATTCTTCGAAGGATTGAAGATCTGCCAGGCCGTGTGCCATCGAACGGAATCGGTGGAAGTCAGAAGGGGCGATATCTGGGGAATACGGCGGGTGGGGCAAGACTTCACATTTCATCGTTTCCAGGTACTTTTTGACGACTTTTGCGACGTTAGGCCGACCATTGTCGTGTTGGAGGATGACTTTGTTTTGTCATGTTCTTTCTGAATCATGCCCAAGGCCTTGAGACGTTTTGAAATGGCTTGCTGACTCACTCCCAACGATTCGGCAAGCTGTTCTTGGGTTCGGCATGAATCTCCATCAAGCAACGCTTCTAGTTGTTAATCTTTGAAGGTTTTTTCTCTTCCGCCACCATGTTTGTCTTCGACATCGAAATCACCATTTTTAAAACATTGAAACCACTCCCGACACGTTCTTTCACTCAGGGCAGCATCACCGTAAGTTTCTGAGAGCATTCGATGCGCTTCAGCTGCATTTTTTTTTCGAATTGTAACAGAAAAGTAAAACTTCCCGCAAATGGCGAGAATTAGGCACATAAACGGACATTTTCGAGCGTGAATAATACGAAAACAAGAACAACTGTCACTGAAACGGCGATGACAATTCGTTAGGCACTGTCCACACTCACTTTAAAGGCATTATCATCTATGTATTTCAACCAGCCTCAGCCGGTACAGCCACCTATCGGAAAACGGCGGAAGCAAAGTTGTACATTGATGCCTTTGGGCAATAACTTCCACCAAGGTTTGAACTTTTGATCACCCCACCAATGAAAACACGGTTCACGGGAGAAAATATGGATGCACTGGTCCCAGAATTTTGTTGGTGGTTTTGGAATTGAAGTTTTGTTGGTGGTAAAGTAAATTAAGTTATACCCAGACAATGCCACTAAATATGAAGGACATACAACGAAGATATTACACTGTAGCCTTTATATAGCTCAGTAAGGGTAATTAACAAAAATTGCCAAAAATAATAAAAAAATGGACTTTTTTCAAATTCGAAGCACTAGATGTGAGTAACTAAGTTCGAGTAGCTGGTCACTTTCAATTTGTTTCTGGTAAATCTTAAAAAAACAGATCCTTTGCAATTACTTTGTTAATCTTCGTTTCAAATTTTAGCGCGATCACCTTCTTTGAACACTCTATATAAAAGTGATTCCGAAGATTTCAGACTGAACATTTTTCCGTAGAGGACGAACTCCGAGAAGGTCGACCAAAATCTTCCACGAACACCCACAATTGACACACGAAATCTCGAATTTTTAATGAGGTCCGAAGAGTTGCTTGAGTATATTTTGCTAAATTTTTCCTAAGCAAATATGAAAATGGTCAGTCTAGCAACTTTAGTAAAATCGTTACTGTTGACGAACCTTAGTTCTATCAGAACGATCCACTGATCAAACAGCAGTCTATGGTACGGAGCCCAACAGGAGAAAGTCCACCCCCCGTAAAATCTAAGCAACCCCCGTAAAATCGAAGCAACAAAAATTAGTAGAAAAAGTATGATGTCAGTTTACTTCACCCAAACCAAAGTCGTCGCTGCTGTTCCACTGAAAAAAGGTAACTGCAAAATGGTACACCGAAGAAAGCTTACCAATTACGGGATTTTCGGCGCTACTTTTTACATCATGACAACTCGCCATCCCACACTGCTGAAATAAAGTGTCATTTTATTGCAATATCTGGGATCCAAGAAATACTTCCAGCACCGGATATAGCACCTTGTGATTTCTGGTTATTACCAAAATTAGTAAGAATTCAAAAGGAAAGGTCTTTAATAGCAACGAGGAAATATTTAATCCGATTAATGCTGAACTTGCTAAGCTTAAAAGGCAATATTTTGATGACTGTTTTTAGAAGTGGATTTACAGACTTAAGAAATTCAATCCATGGCGATTATGTAGAGAAAATAAAAAAGGTCAAAAATTATGAATAAATATAAAAATAATTTTTATTTATTTTTTTCTCTTCAACTAATAGAACTTTTGTTAATCCCCTTGGATATGTATAATATATTATATTTGAAACGAAAGTAAAATTGACGATCAGCAATCAACTAATTCCCAGATATAACATCATATTTGGGAACATCGCAATTCTTTGCAACTTCGGCTCCCAGACTCATATTGCTTTATTAGAATTTGGTTGCTCTACCCCTTATATACAATACATATTTCAAAAAATGTTTAAACATAACTATTTTTTATTGGATTGCATATCACATATGAGCTAAGTGTCTGGAGTACATATACCTTTTTTATGATCAAAATCAAAGTGAAGGCGCGTATTATAATTGTGCATTGGCGGCCGCAATATACGAGCGTTTTGCAGCGCGTATTTATATCCTGCAGGTCTTGAATTCGAGACCTCGTTATCATAAGCCTCCCTCCAATATTTAGTGAACTTTTACTCGAAGGGATTGGCATTTATATATTATTTATATATGTATTATATGTATATGAATTATATATAATTCACACTCAGCAACCGCTGAAACGTTTATCGACCGATGAACATACATATATATGCCCCTTATATCTAGACCTCGAAATTACTGGGTCGGTTTTGTTCAAATTTTCACGATAGCATCATTGAAACCCTGATAAGGTTTCTGAGATGTTTGGATAGTTTGGAAAAAGTTGTCACCTCTCAGAAAAATAAAATTCCGAAAAAAAAACTTATTTTTTGTTCGATATACTTCAAATTTTGTACACCGGTACATCACTGCATTTGTTTCGGAGATATGGGATGCTTCTTATTCCGGGAAATGTTCCTGGGAGCGATCCAACCCAACGTATCTTATTTTAAGTTTGAAATGCATGAATTAGGGGGCATAGGTAGCTTTTTGGCTAAATTAATGAAACGAACATTATTTCTTCCGAGACGAGGACCAGGGACCGATCGATCCCAAAAAATCATTTCACTTGAAATTTGATACTTAGTAGATTGTTATGAACCTAACAGGGAAGCGAACCAGTGATCGACCCATTTAAAACAATGGTGTGTATGTACTTATGGTTCGATCAACTTGTAATTTGGTGCGCCGGTAATTTTTTGCCAAATAAAGTTAAGGTTTATTTTTTCCTCTAAATGGAAATGGAACCGATTTACTCAACAAAACAACTTAGCTTATTATTGGAGGTGAGCTCCTCTTTTAATAATAGACCACGTTTAATGGATAATGAATTGAGGGCATGCTCCTAAAATCTTCGGTACCTTAATTGGAAATGTTGCGCTGTCCAGCTAATTGGTGTCCACGTTAGACTAAAGGCTAACATCACCGTCAGCCATGAAGTGCGATGATAATACAAAGAATCATATAGATATATGATAAAGGATAAGGACAAAAGAAGTTGGTCCATGTGAAATATAAAGTAGTGCTAATTCGCTGTTGTGGGCGTGATAGAGACACTCCCTTACAGAGAACTCAAGTTCACTCCGGTGGATGGACGTCTCAACACAATTCGCTTCAAAAACGATATTTTGCAACATTTCGCTGTATTATGAACGATGCGATTAGGATGCCATTTATGAGCGCCTTTAGCATATTTATGAGCGCTACCAACTCTCATTGGCATTGAATAGCAAAATAGAGGTTAAACTTGACTATATCTCCTTAAGTAGACAAACAATAATTCAGTAATATGAATGCACTTTCATTACATTACATTACCTATTATAATATTAATACATAAATTGAACGAAATACAGAAAGCCACAATTTCGTGTGGCAAGGATTTCTTGTAACAAGAACAGTACAAATCATACAATTCCATACAACAACAATGTTAAAGGAAACAAATTTAAACCTGTTTACCATATAAACGGTGGGATTGTATTGATGTGAAGTGAACAATAATTTATGAAAATATTATTTTTGTTTTCGCTTCCCCCCACACTATTCGTTTTTAAATAATTGTAAACTGACACTTTCAGGTAAGAGGCCAAGGTTTTTTGTCGTTTGATTTATTTAAAAATAATGAAATATTTTACATATAATTCAGTGGTTATTTGAAACTGAAATATCACCGAAGGATATAATCTAAGGCTCAAGATAAAGTTTACATGTGTTGGCATTTTCATTTTATCGTTCAAAATACTCCCAATATTGTCCCAACACCCATAGTAATTGTCACTTCACTTTTTTTTTTAGCCAATATGGAGTGGTGAGAGGTTTTTTTTTTATATTTACACAAACTTTATTTTATTTTTATTCAGTTTTAAAAAATATTTAACGGGTATATTTTTTTTATTTCTTCACTTTTGTATGTTGCATGATGGTACGAATATTTTCGAGCAGCTAGAACATTTGAGCAGCGCACACTTGCTCGAGCAATTCGAGCTCCTTCGAGGATTATGAACAAAAAATTTCAAATTTTTCTCAGAACTTTTACTATATTTTTTTAATTGTAAAACTCATTGAAATACTAAAGAAATTTTGGCATAAAAAATTAAAAATTGAAAAACGTTAAACAAACATTTAAGGGGTTACATAGGTCTTGAAGGCCAATAAAAAGGCTTATTTTCTCTATTTTTTTAAAAAGATACTAAATAAAGTATACAATTGATTTTGCTTGCATATAAAAATACAATATGTTGACAATATTTGTTGAAAATTTGAATGAAAAATAGTATAAGTTGATTCGTTGGCAGTTTCGTGAAGTAGACCGTCCAATAGAAAGTGCTTTCAGAGTAGTCATGATTACTTTCTCAATTTTTATCTGAAATCAAAAATCCAAGTGGGTGAATTTTCCTTGTATCTGAGTTAAGAAAAATTAAAAGAATTAAAAATTGAATTTTTTGTAGTGTTTTTTACAAACCACCTCATTTGTTTTCATAAAATTAAACCACATATTGGCTTTTAAAATGAGTTGAAATCAAAGATAAAATAAATCCTTCGTTCAAGGACTACAAAAATATGCTTAAAAGAAGTGTGGAAAATTTGAGCTCGATCGCTTCAATAGTTGTTAACGCGCTTAAAGTTTTGCCATCGGTAAAGCATGACAAAGACGGCGGGTTATAAAACTCTCTAATTTCTATAGTTTCGTTTCGATCGACTTGAAACTTGGGGACAATATTTCGGTCACTTTGTACGTTTATACAAAAAATTATCAAAAAAAATAAATTTTTTGAAGTTTCAAGACTTACATATGTAACCCCTTAAGCAGTTGAGCAACGAAGAGTATTTAGTGGTCTAGTTTCTACCGAATTTTCAGATTTATAGTGAAAGGCATTGTAATTAAAACCATATTTTTTACAGTGCGACAAGAGCTCTCTTCAATAAAAAATATATATTTTTTTTATTTTTTTTTTTTGCTAATAAAAAAATAAGGATCGTTAAGCATATATTTTTTTTGATCACAGATTAATTGATAAATAATTTTTTATAAATTTTCGAATTTTTCATTATTATTTTCTTTTTGTGCTTTGAAATAATCGTTACTATTAGTTTCGTATTATTTTTTTTATGAATATTTTTTTTAGTTATTATTTATTTTAGTTATTCAAATTGATTTTCGGTTCACTTTTCCACGAATTTCTTATATGCAACGGAAACAGCAATTCTTTTCAATGCATAATTTGAGCAACATACAATTCTTGGAAAACTTATTGGCATTTTAGAGGGCAATTTGATGATTTTTCTCACTTTACACTTTTCAAATATGCAAAGTACACAATTCTCAAACAAGATTAACATTTCTAACGAATTTCACTTAGTAAATGCTGCACCAGTTAATCTTGGCATTAATATGCCTTCACATTTGTACGTATCGAATATTAACAGCTTGCACCTACCAATTCGCGCCAGCACATATTCATAATCAAATTCGTTATTCGCGCCATCGCCCGCTAGGCCAGCTCGATGGCCTGCCTCTAAAATGCCTACTCCGACAGGTTGGCGACCTTCGTTTTTACTATCCGAGAATTGCATTTTAGTTTTGAGCTAAATATGAAAAACTTTGGAAATTACAACGAAATTGTCAAGCCACAGCCAGTGCTAAAATACTACTGAAATCCCACTGACACCAGCAGCAGCCAACACGCCTTCGACGAATACTTTGTAAAAGCTTACTGTCATTTGCATTGACTACCGCGGTCGTGAATATGTTTTTAATTAATTACAATACACGTTTCTATATGGAAGAAATAAGAATTTTATATTAGCCATATGTACATACATATGTATAAGATGTTGAACATACAACTCGGAAAGCAAGAAGCGATTTTGTTTTTTTTTTTTCTTATTTTTATTATTATGTAGAATAAAAACATTCTTTAGTTTTTTTGTTTATAAACAAAAGGTAAACTGCACAAATGACTTGGCAAACATGATCGAATATATGTATACTATATATAGTACACATATTGTATAATACTTATGTATGCACACATATGTACGTATATGATTTATCTTATGCTCTATCATTTGGTATTTTAAGATCACGCTCAAAGCGTTCTGAGTAATAATCCGGTTTATTAAATGTTTCAGATTTTATATAATTTACATGTAACTTTGTACAAACATACATTGTTTATTTTTGTAAACAAGTACAGACGCGTGTTTACGTACCCTGCAAACACTTTTGGTTCATATGGCCCCTTTGAGTAATCCAATAGGTACTCCTCTGTAGTGCACTATTGGATGAACTCACGTCTCGCTGACAGTTTGTTGTTAGACGGTGATTGCGCGTGCTTTAACGATCACAATCGACGGCCGCGGTAGCCGAGGAGTTAGCATTGCGTACTGCCATTGGGAAGGCCGGTGTCGTACTAACATCCGAAAAATTACAGAAAATTCATCTAAATAAAAATATTAAGCCGAAAATTTATGAAACAGAATTTGAGATATGGAGGACGGGCATAAGTTAGAGCATATACGAGGTGATTAATAAAAATGTTCGGTAAGTTTACCAGAATGTAATCATTGTATATCTATAGATAATCGCCATGGGTTGTAATGCATTTCTTAAGCTTATAGATCCACTTCTGAAAACAGTCTTCAAATTTTGCGTTTTAAGCTTATTAAGTTCAGTATTAAACGCAGTAATTATCTCTACGTTGCTATTAAAGACTTTTCTTTTTATTTTTACGTTTTTCTTTTCATTTTTGGATGACGCGTTGTCATTATGTAAAAAGTAGCGCGGCGAATAATATTTCTTTCTGCTTTCCAAAAAATTTTTGAAAACTTTTGGTAAGCTTTCTTCGGTATACCATTTTGCAGTTACCATCTGACCCTTTCCCAGTGGATTAATAGCTACGATTTTAGATCGGGCGAAGTAAACTGACATCATACTTTTGCTGCTGATTTTTATTGCTTAGATTTTACTGGTGAGTCCTGTTGGACTCTATACCATGGACTGCTGTTCGGTTTCAGGATCGCATTTATAGAACTAAGACTCGTTACCAGTTAAAGCTTTACTAAATTTGCTGACTGACCATTTTCGTTTTAGCAAAATGCACTCGAGCTTCGAGCCTCGCGAATTTCTGTTTACCGAGTTTTACTTCCAAATTGTGGTCTTGATGTTTTTCCAACAAATGGAGGGACCTGCAATTTATTCTAAGCCGCCTCCGAACGGTTAATGGTTTTCTTAACTTAATTTTTCATTTAAATTTATTTTCCATAACAGTTGGATGTTGGTGGCACCAAGATTTGAACCCAAGCCTTCCTAATGGTATGCTACCGCGACAACCAATATATATATATATATATTATCTAAAATTACATCATAAATAAATATTATGCATTTATATGTGCGTATGTTTTGACCAAAGCGAATTGTATTCGAAACAAAAAATTATGTTTGAATTTAATTTTTCGTATATACACAATAATGGAACCCACTGTAGGCAATGCATGTATATAATCCATGGAATACTTGAATGTTATACATGGATGTAGTGTATGATCCAGTCCTAGAACATCGCAATGTTAAAGGGAACATATTTTTTGTATGGATTGTGGTTAGTTTTGGATTACTCCATTGTCCGTGCGGAGTGCATATTTCACGCGTAAATTAAGTAGCCGCGTTGTTTGCTGAGGTATTACTGTCCATAGACATATGTAAATAACTGTTAAATGTTTAATTTTGTTTATTTTCTGGATGTGCTTTACTTATCTGGGGTATTTTAAAAATCATTCATAATTTTAAATATTCACATGTTTTATTGCGGCTCGTTAAATATTAGCGTATTATGGCAAGCACGACAAAAAAATTCATTTAGAATCAGTGTGACAAATTACACAAGTATACTCCGTTTTGAATCTAGGCAACCAAAAATAAATACGAATATTTACTACGTGTTTTAAGTTTGATTAAAGTTTTTTATATAAACATTAACTTCATTTTTGTGATATTCGTCAATTAATGGTAATTTCACTAAATTAAAAGTAACAAATGAAATTTGTTTCACGTACTAGAGTACAACAGTAGTCGCTCATCCTACCATCATTTCAAAATCCTTAGTATCGCCTTTTGATATTAACTGGATTTTGGTGTAACCAGGAGAGCGTACAGCGCTCTTAACGCCCAAACTTCCGGGAAAAAATAGATTTAGGATTGTGTGAAAAGTATATTTGGTGACATGCTAGTTCAACGAATTAGCAATAATTTGGTTGAAATTTGGAGATTTGCGGTTACTAAAAAAGTGGTAAACAAAATTTGATAAGATACCTTTTCTGCTACTTCATCGGACGTTTGAGATTGTGTAATGATTATTCTGGTCAATTATTTTTCTAATATCAAGCCCGTAAAATATTTCGCCTTTGAAGATTTTTGCGTATAAGACAGAAATACCGATCTTTCGCGGTTGAGTGCTTTAACGAAAGCCCAGAGGTAGCTGGAAAATGTCTTGTGAATTCACAATTGACGCAGCAGAGACGTTTTGCTGCCCAGGCTCATATCGGGTACAACTTTTTGACCAATCTTTTCTCAAATAACGACGTTCACTTGTGCGGCTGCCCCACAAGCATAAAAACAAAAAAATTTAGTTAAATCAGAAAGCAAATTTTAACGAATCCCATCAAAAGACCAAATACCTATCAAAATCATCAATTACTGTTTGAATTTAGTAAGAATTCATGTTCAATCCTTTAGATCGGCACATATTTTCTCATTTTATTCGCAATAGGATAAAATCTCTTTCTGCGTTATGAGTAATCATCCGGTTTTTTACTTCCCATGTGGAGAAGAACAATTCCTAAATAAATCATCAATGTCATCACTGAAACTTTTATTTCCTTCTTTTCAAGTGCACCATCCTATATGGAAGTACTTGTCTTCGGGAGATGTTTCCATTGCTGCAACCGTAATGCAAGCACCTCAGTTTGTTGTTTGTACAAACGACACAAACTACTTAGTTCATCTTGGTGTCCGAACTGAGTGCTCATCAGAATTGCTTAAATTAATAGAAAATCTACAAAACTTCATTAAAACATATTAGACACTGAGAGACTAGTTTGCCTTGAAACAGACGTACTGGTAGATGTGTCTAGACAAGCTCTGTATATTTCGGCCCAAAGCTAATATTTCATGTTAATGTTATGCCATGAAAATTTGGTTTATAATATATCTTTTGCCTTATAAATTTACCCTTAGTAAATATTAGCATCCTCGAGGACGGTGTTTTGCTTCAGTTTTTGTACTCTTTGGTCTATTAAATACCAGAAGAAGGTGAAAATAGACGCTGTGAAAGCAGAAACGAATAATGTCAATATCACCAGCGTACGCTCTTAGGGAATATTGCCTCTTCAGCTCTGCAGCTCATATTATTTTCTCCGTCAAAAGATTAAAGAAGTCCCACGGTAAGGAATGACCTTATTTGAAACCTCCTTTGGTATCGAACAGCTCAGACAGGTCCTTCCCAATTCTGACGGAGCTTTTAGTCTTGCCTACGGTCAATTTACATAGTCGTATAAGTAGACGAAGACGTAGCATATGGCAATTTTTTTCTCACTGGTATTTTCTAAGATTTGGCGCATGATGAATATCTGGTCAATGGTTGACTTACCAGGTCTAAAGCTGCACTGATAGGTTTATCAGTTTATTGACGGTAGACTTTAGTCTTTTACACGAAATGCTCATCAGAGCCTTGTATGCGATATTAAGGAGTCTTATCCCACGGCAATTGGCGCAGGCTGTGGGATCCCCCTTTTTGGTGCATTAGACAGAGCGCACTTAGGTTACTATCGTCGGGCAAGCAATCCTTCGACGATAATCTTCAAAGCACAGAAGCACGCCTCTTATTAGTTACTCACCGCCGCATTCGAATAGCTCGGCGGGTAATCCATCGGACCCTGCCGTAGGTGTTACTATTGGAACTTTATCAATGTCGGGCAATGAAACATTTGTACCATCGTCGTTGTTTGGGATATCGATTATATAAGCATTGTCATCGAAATCCGAAAACTTCATTATAGAGTCCTGCAACCAATTTTTCAGATATGAGAATGAATAGGCATTATATATAATAAAATCCTAAAATTAAATACCATAAATTAGATGTTGTCGTTAGAGGTAAAGGGAGATTTTTTAGCTATTATCTTTTTGGCAACACTGGCTTAAACAGCTGACGCATGTTTCGTGTTTTGTCTTACTGTCAAAGATCTTCAGTTTGGCCTATAATTTAACCATGAATCATCTTATAAGCGAGCAACACTTGCAAATTATGGAATTTTAGTATCAAAAAGCGTGCTCTGTTAAGAAAGTTAAAGAAGCCCATTTTTGGCCTAATGGGTGTGTAAATAAGGTGAATGATCGATTTTGGATTGACGATCGGTCAGAAGCATATCAATGCATCCAGAAAGAGTTATAGTTTTGTGACGTTTATGGGCTGGTGGCATCATTAGACCGTACTTCTTCAAAGATGATGCGAATCGTAACGTAACTGTGAATGGTGAGCGCTACCGTGAGATGATATTAAACTTTTTATTGCCCAAAATGCACGAGCTTGAGTTGCATGACGTGTGGTTTCAACAATACGATGTCACATACCACACAGCACGCGTAACAACGGACTTATTGGGAGGCGAGTTCGGTCAACATTTTATTTCACGTTCCGGACCGGACCATTTCTTCCTGAGATACAGGCCGATTTGAGGCGCAGTCACGGTCAACATTAGCATGAAATAATCTTCGAACATTAAATTATATGGACCGTACTATCGATTCAAATAAAGATTTCATGCATTTTTCTCAATTTTGTGTGTGTTTTTTTTTTTTTTTAAATTTCCTACAGCTCTTAAAAAATCACCCTTTATAAGAGACTTCTGCTTGGCCGAAGACAACTTGTTGGCCATTTCAACTGGCCTAATTATCCGTAACTGTTGTTGGAATAAATGCTCTATATTAAATATTGATTTTTTTTTGGAAAAAGCACTTATCGTTAAACATAAAAACCACAACAACAACAATTCCAAAATTAGAAAGTAAATATTATAATAGCAAATTTATTTCAATACTGATTTATTTATTAAAATTAAAAATTATTTTCTTATTTGTTTTTATTACTTTAATTTAATACATTTCAAATTGCATATGTATGTAATGCAACAGATGAAATTATGAGGCGTAACACTATATACACGTATATATATATTATCTATGTCGATAGTGGAGCAAATATAATAAATAAGTCAAATTACAAAACAAGTTTTGTACTTTTTTACATAAGGGCAGCTGAACACATTAAATTTAATAGTTTATCACTTGACTAATGACTAATTAAGTGCATACTTGTATATATAATAATCAGATACTCCCTAATTATAGAGTACCACTATGTATTTATTTTCTTAAAATAATTTAAAATTACTTTGGCTAACAATATTACATCAGATTAATTCTATAAAAGGTATAAATTAACTGACAACGCCCACAACTTTCATTTTAATTGCCAATTAATTCGATTTTGCCTTCCACTCAGATGGGTAGTGACAATGTGAGTAACATACAAACTGAAAATATCATAAAAACAAATTATATATTTATAATATTATACTTTTATTACATGTACATATGTATACACGTATACGAGAATACATCAGTTATCACTCACGTAGTACACAACCAGCAAAGAATCCGAATGTCAAATGACAATAAGACTCCATTAGAACTCCAATAATGTTGCTACCAAAAATACTGCCTGTACGTCCAAGTAAAAAACAAATGCAAACGGCCTTTCCACTATGAAGAAATATTATTATTAAAATGTTTCCAAATATTTTTTTTTGTGGCGTAATTGACAACCCTACCAAATTTTTGAAAAATGTAAGATAATTTCATAAAATTTTGAAATATTTGATTATACAGTTTTATGTTACCAGAGTTTTTGAAAAAGATGGACAAATTTTTATAAAATTTTGAAATGTTTTGATTGTGCAGTTTTATGATTCCAGAAATTTTGAAAAACATAAAAAAGAGTTTAATACAATTTCGGAACGTTTCGATTATGCAATTTTATATTTCCAAAATTTTTGAAAAACATAAGAAGAATTTTATAAAGTTTTGATTATGTTTCCAGAATTTTTGTAAAACATAAAAAAAATTTAATACAATTTTAGAAAGTTTTGATTACGCAGTTTAAATTTCCAGAATTTTTGAAAAATGTAAGAAAAAGTTTAATACAATTTTGGAACTTTTTATTTATGCAGTTTAAATTTCCAGAGTTTTTGAAAAATGTAGAAATGTTTTCATACAATTTTGGAACATTTTGATTATGCAGTTTTATATTTACAATAATTCCAAAATTTTTTAAAAACATAAGAACAATTTTATAAAGTTTTGATTATGCAGTTTTGTGTTTCCAGAATTTTTGAAAAATATAAGAAGACTTGTAATAAAATTTTGTGTTTTATTTTTTCAGCCTTTTTAAATATAAAATATATGAATAACTTTTTTATATGAAATTTCGAAAAGCTTTCATTTTATAGTTTTATGGTTCACTTAATTTTGTTGTAATGAGGTGCAATTTTGAAAAAGCGAGAACACCAAAACCATAGCAATAAAATGTGATTTTTTTACATTTTGAAATGTGATTTTAAAAGTATTTCTATGTTATGAAGTAACTCAATCACCTACCGCAAATGTGTTGGCACTAAATCCACAACTGCACTGCCTAGCAAGGATACACACAGGCCAGGCATAGTTAGAAATATAATGAAGCAAACGACGATCGCAATCGGATTGAGTAACCAAAATAAAGCCACACAACATGTCGTACTGACCAACATTGATCCGATAATTGTAGCTTTGCGTCCAAATATTTTTATAATTCCACCGATCAGAAGATAGCCCAAGACAAAGCACATGCCAAGTGATATTGAATCAATGTAACTCTTATCGCTAATCGTGTCGTCACATAACTAAAGATGAATAGAAAGAAAATGTTTATTTCCAACACTGGTCAACAAATTTATTCAATAATGTATTCGTGTATGCATGCATATATTTGCTTTCCATTTAATTGAACGCTAAACCATTTTAATATATTAGTTTGATGTGTTAGCAAACAATTTTAAATGAGGAAAATATACATATAGCCAAGCGCCCATTAAGTCCTTATTTTCATACGGTACAAAGTCCTGCGTGATTGCACTACTGAAAACTGCCTGGAAAATATCTCGCAAGTCCTAAGCGAGCTGCTTCAAAAAGTTTTGCCACAGTAAGGTCAATTTGATACTCTTTGACATGAGCTACAAACCATCTGCTTGTAAGCCATCCTTACTCAAAGGCATCTAGATCGTTTTGTCCACTGTGGTTAAATATCTAGGCATAATCTTATATAGCAATGGAACCGTAACACGGTATAAAGGTATAAGTAATTATAGCCGCAGTCTATGCTAGCAAGGCCGCGATCGGTAAGAGATGAGCTCTAAAACCTCTTATAGTGTACTGGCTATATAAAGCGGCAATAATACCTATATTATTCTACGTAGTCACTGTCTGGTAGCCGGCCAAGTGGGAAAAGTTGACAGACGGCCTATATACCCATTAGAGGTGCGCTGCCCTCAACTCCTTCGAAAGCACTATCGATTCTGCTTAATCAGAAGGCGGAAAACCCCATGGGAGCTGCAACGTCACAATACTAAGGGCCATTTTTTTGAGTGCCTCTTAATGTGAGGATCATGAAACCGGAACTTAAATCTAACGATGAATCATCTGTTTGCTGTTTATAAACAGAACAGATGTCGCTGTCGAAAGAATCAATTGTTAACCAGCGCTTTGATTGTAACACCTTGAGGATGGCAACAAAATGCAAAGAGATTTAAACAAAATATCGACTGTATACGGTGCATCCTTGATTTGAGTGTCTAGTCATAGAGACATCCCTGGGAACTGTTTGGTCAACGAACTGACCAGAAAGGGAGCTATCATAACTACGATAAACTCTGCACATGACGTGGACATACTGGTTTCCTCGACAAGTATCTCCAATGACAGCCTTCATCATAAGGACCACGAGATAAATAAAACTAAGTCTCTACTCCGTACATAATAATTTAATTCATAAGGGCAACAATCGGACACTGTCTTATGGGGACTCGTTATGGAAGGATATGATGCTTCTCAAACGATTTTTGCCGCAGCTGTAGGGACATTGATGAGAAGGAAAAGGTGAAATCCAGCTCTCAGTGCGGTCTGTTGACATTTTCTCGGAAATTTTTTTTCCGATTACCTGCAGAGCCAATTATTCCCTGGGTAGCCAACAAATATCCGGTTGAGGGTGAGCTATAGTGAGAGCGAATCCCCGCGGCAGTTCGTAAGGTCTTGGACTCACCACTTGAAAAATAACTGCAAATGAAAATGTTCTAAGGATTAGGATTTGAGGGCATGCTCTTGGAATGTCCGGTCCTTGATTTGGAATGTGCCGCTGCCTAGCTGGTAGATACCCAAATAAAATTAAAGGCTAAGATCACCGCCGTCCAAAAAGTGCGATAAGTGGGACAAGGACGGAACAAGGTGGGTCCTTGTGAAATATACTGCAGCGGCCATATAAAGGAGAGTAAATTTGGCGTCGGCGGTGAGATAGATATTAAGAGCTGAAGATGAAAGCAAGCAGCATTTGCAGACAAAAACAGAAAGAGGTCGAAAAGCGTGAGTATGAGGAGCTTGAGAAGCTGACCGTCAGGTGGCTTGAAAATTCAACGAAATGATACGGCGACTTACGGAAGGTTTCAAGACGGGATCAAACTCTTGTAAGACCCAGCTGACGAACGCTCAGAATATACTGAACCTATGGAGGGAACCCTTCTTCAGCGTGCTGAACTGCAGTGAAAATGAAACACTCGAGGATAGTAACCCCGAAACTCCAATAATGATGGAACACACGTTCCGCTACCTGACCATGTTGTAGTTCTAAGTGTATTTTGCCCAATCCATAAAAAGGGCGATCTCACAGTCTGCGCCAATTACCGTGGGACAAGCATATAAGGTCCTATCGAGCGTTTTGTGTGAGAGACTAAAGCCCAACACTTTAATTGATATATATATATATTTGTTTTTTATTTATTTAATAATTTTGGTGAAACTCTAGCGTTAGAAGCTGAAAAGCCCTTGCCACTTTACTATGCTTTAGTATGGATCGCCAGTTGCGCACTAAATTTATAGAGGGTTGCCTACAAAATCTTGCTAGTAACCGAAATGTCGTAGTGAGTCTAAGCCTAAGCTGTTTGTATCGTTCCAACGTCCGTCAGAAATAGAAAGGCCCTCTCCGTGCCGTTCGGTACCAAACGAGGTTACAATCTTCTATAAGAGCGTACAACCGCTGGGGTACGCCGATGATATTGACATTATCGGCCTCAACAACCGCACCGTTAGTTACGCTTTCTCCAGACTTGATAAAGAAGCGAAGCGAAGCGAATGTATTCGGTAGCCAACGAGGACAAAACAAAATATCTGCTGTCATCAAGCAAACAGTCATCGATTTCGCCACTTGGTTCCCACGTTATTGTTGACAATCAAAACTTTGAAATCGTAGATAATTTCATCTATCTAGAAACCAGCACTAACACCAATAATAATGCCAGTCTTGAAATCCAGCGCAGAATCACTCCAGCCAACAGGTACTACTTTGGACTGAGTAATAAATTAATTTTATGCTTGCAAATGATTATGTAAGATACAATAGTTCTTTTCGGTGAACTGATATGAAGTAAAAATTGTTATTGAATTTTACTCAACCGCGTTCGGTGAAACGAGGGAGCGCTTTTAGGACGTTTAATTCTGAGAGAAAGTGCAAATTCGTGTTGAGAAAAGAACAGCTGATCGTATGGATGCATTCAGTCAACAAAACAAAACCAATTTCAAATGAAAATATAATATTTTTGATACTTAAATATGAAGAATGCACTAACAAAATAAGTGCTTAAATGTACTTCTTTTTTTTTAGCTGAATAACGTCAATGACTCAAATAATAGTAGAGCCACTCGGGAAACGGAAAATGTAGTGGCAGTGGAGTGAAATCAACGCCCTCACTCCATGCAGCCTACATGGGGGAATTGGAATGTTAAAGACTTGTAATTTGAATATATGCTTGTCTTTTATGCAAAATGAGGCGGTATAAGCTGTTGCTACGACCGCAGTGAATGTAATGCATTTTTAAGATACTGAAAGAGACAATTGGAAATGTTAGTCGCACTTAAAAAGAAAAATTAAGAGAAGTCAAAAAACTGTAAAAACGAACAGATTTCAATGTAACTGCCAAAACAAACAACTGTTCTACAGGGTCTTACAATAAGATTCCCTATTTTGTCACTGAAGAAAAAAGTGCATTTTTAGAGATAAGAGACTGGCACCGCTACGCACCGTTTCCCTTTCATGAAATTTTCCATCACCAAATCACAAAGTGACTGCTGTATGCCCACAATAGCTTCACGAACCCTATCTTTAAGGTCTTTAATTGACGTTGGTCTATTGTCGCAAGGTGTTAAATCACAATATCTCGATGATCCATAGCAATCACCTCTTCGTGAGGTAAAACGGTCTGGAAACTTTTTCCTTAAAAGATCAATGGATTCGTTGTTTGTGTAGTCTTATTGAGACTAAATGTTGTCCAAATCAATACCATTCAATTCCGCAAATCAAACCAAAAAAATCATTAATCTTCTCTCGATAGCGCGATCGATTTACCGTAACTCTTGCTATAGACTCCATTTCGAAAAAGCAAGGTCCAATGGGCCCGCCATACCATTACCCCTACCAAATAGTTAAACATTGAGGATGAAGAGGCTTTACAACAATAAATCTTGGCTTTTCCGAGCCCCAGATGCGACAGCTTTGCTTATTGGCGTAACAATCGCGGTCAAGGTGATTTTTCGATGAAATTTTTATAGCGCATTTCAATAATTTTAGTGCATTGCTGAAGCGTGTATCGCTCCATTTTTTTACTGTCATAGTTTTTACTTGACAAATGTCACAAAATTATAGCTTAAAAAGGGGCATTTAACGGAATGGCAAGGTTTTCAATATAATATCTCTTATAAGAAAATCCTTTACAACTCGCTGGCAAATTTTTATTGAATCCCGTTTGGGGAAAACTTAAGAAATATCTGCCTTAAGGAAAATAAAACAATTTACTATCTAAACTTGGTGATTGGCTAATCCTTACTGAAATAGAGCTAACACCTAGACTGAAAGTAAAAACAAAATGAAAGGTATATGTTTTCCAGCGGTGATATATATTTTCCTTGATGGAAAGTAAAATCTTTAATGTTAGATTTGACCATAATCAGCTTACCGAAATATAGCATTTTTCATTGGAAAGTTTATATTTGTGAATTCTTATTTAATAATTTATTCATCGATATGGCTAGAATTCTATTAATTACTTTTCTTTTTTTCTTTTAAATTATTATTCGTATTAAGGTTTATTTTTTAGCAACAAAATTGAAGACGCAAGAGCAGATGAGGATATAGAAAAGATACTTTTGAACCTGATATTCTCAATATGTACATATGTATAATGAAAAATAGAACTATCTATTTTCTCGCACCACTATTTGTACAGTTATTGGTGTTAATAATACCCATATATATGAAATCATAAATAATTCTTCTTTTAAAATTATAATGTAGAAACTTACCTTTGTTGAATTGAAATTTTCTTTATCATTTAAAGTTAATGTGGCATCAATTATTTCACAAATCGATAATTGATTCTCATTTGTGTTTAAACTAACTCTATTTTGAATTTCCGTAAACCAAAGGCCCATACCGCTCGAACTATTCATCAAAATATTATGTAATGTCACATGGAGACAATAACATTAGTTTCAATCAATATTTACCTGAAAAATAAACCACACATAATAATACAGCATATCGAAAAGTTTAGTACATAAGGCCGTTGCAATAAAGGACGAGTTTCTTGCCAAATTTGTTTCATGGTTGAAAAGCTGAATTCAAAAAAAAAGAAAGAAAAGATATTTAATAATTTTAATTTTTAATTAACACTATGTTCTTACCATGATTTGCTCGAACTAACTGTTATTTCGCTTTCTACCAATCTCTCTACCTTTATTTCTTTCACTCCAAACTGGTCCAAATCTTTTCCTGTATTGCGCTTACAAATCCAGTTAACCGATGCCAAGGCCTCTTCCTTTTTGTGCAAAGAGAGAAGAAGTTTAGGACTTTCAGGCAATACAAATAAAGCTGCAGCTGCTATAAGTCCCGGTAATAGATTGAAAAAGGTCAGTAAACGCCAAGGGCGAAAAGCGTAACTTTCAGTTATCGAAATGGACCAATCCATTGAAAGCACCAACCAAGCAATGGCTATTAAATAAAGATAAACTTTTATTACTTATAAAATTTTAATAACTTTTTTAAAGCAATTTTACCCGGCACATAAACCATCGCGATGCCCACAAATAAACTCGCATAATTCATTACAATCGCACAGTGACGTGTCGTATAAAATTCACCCAAAAAGGCATAAGTTGTGGAGGAAGGACCTGCAATGCTTTTTGTAAAGATAAAAAACCATTTGTTGAATATAATCCTTTCTTCATGCAAATAAAAAAATTTATAAAATAATCACATATAGTACTTACAATAGACCCACGACAACGCGCATGAATACATACAGCCAGAAGTTTGGGATAAACATAGATATGGCCGAACATATACATCCACCGAGAGTTGAGTAAAGCAAGACATAGCGTCGCCCTAGGGTATCACTTAGATATCCCCAAACATATGAACATAATGCTATACCTGAAAGAAAAAATGTTGATACTTGAAAGCTTCATGAATACATAATTGAATTTCTTATATTGGTAAATAGAATGAAATTAGTCAAACCTATAGAAACGCTTTCAAGCACTTCATGATCTCAAGATTTTGATTGTTAGCAGAGGTTAAAATATATATATTTGGGTGATCGAAGTAGAGGTACTTTTTCAATTGGATTTTTTTGACAGATCACGCGTGAGTTGTTTCACGCTGTCATGCTATTTTTGTTCAGTATTGTTTGGCATTTAATTATGGATAGACTTACGCCTGAAAAACTTTTACAAATCGTTCAACTTTATTACGAAAATTTACGATTTATAAAGAATGTGTTTCAACCCATGGTCAACATAATCGACCTACTGATCGCACTATTCACAACAACATCATCCATCTTTAGACCCAGAATTGATTATTGCCAAGCGACATTGCTTCCCTCTATGGCCTCTGGAAAAGTTCCTAGAAGAACCGACGTCTTCGAGCCGAGAACGTAACAGTCAATGACGACCGTTATTGCGATAATTCGATGCCTGAAATTGAAGAACGTGATCTCGGCGACATTTGGTTTCAGAGTTCCCACACATCACACCAATCAATGGATTTATTGAGAGAACACTTAGGTGAGCAGATAATTTAAGTTTTGTACCGGTCGATTGGCCATCAAGATCGTGTGACATCATATCGTTAGACTTTTCCCGTTTCTATTCAGGCATTGGAGCAAAACTTCACGCGTGTCATTCGCCAGTTACCGGTCGAAATACTCGAGCGAGTCATTGAAAATTAGACCTAAGAGATAGACAAATTGAGAAGTAGCAGCGGATATCATTTGAAAGAGATGATCTCCAAAAATAAATGCCAAAGAATGTTCTTAAGAGTGCGTCTTTTTTTTTAAAAAGGGAGCCGCGAAATGGATACCCTTTATAATCAATTTTCTGTTATATTTTTTTTTACTATTTTGAAGTGAAAGAAATGTTTTATTTTTCAACAAAACTCACTTTAAAACAGGGGTGGAAATCATTATAAGATTTATAAAAAAGAGCTCTTTTAAATAATTATTCAGTGAACTCAAAATTTCCATTCAATAATAATAATTATTAATTTTTTCTGATTTAGGATATCGCTCAAATAGCTGCACCAGCACTGCTCTCTGAACTTAATGCCTTTCGGGAAATAAGTTACTTTCTTCCAGCCTAAAAAGTTTGGCTTTCCAAATTATTCTGCTATCTTAGATACCTCCTTTTCTCCCTCGCAATTCGATTTTCGTGTGATACTGTAGAGCAAGTCAATGGAATTACTATCAAATAAGGAAGGCATCACAGTACAAAGATTACTGCTGTGCAACCTTCTTGACACAGCACAGTACTGGGCAAGGTTTTGCATAAAGGTGTATCACAAAATATATGGAAATCTTTACCCAATCATTTCTACAATATATTTGAGTCATATCAGTCTAACATCCTTATCGGATTAATCGTTGAAGAGTTTCCAATTAAAACTGGCATTCCTCCAGGTATTATTCTTCAACTTATATTATACATTATATTAACTGTACACATCTCAATAAACCAAAAAGGGCCATAAAAAGTCATCGAAAACGATTGGGGATCACTTACTTCTCATCGAAGAATCGCTGGCAAACTTTAGAATCAAAGTCAATGATCAAAAGTTTAAATACTTCACGTTTAAATTACTTCCATAAACATTAAAAAATATCTAGCTTAAATAGGCTTCGACATGTCCAACTAATATTTGAAAAATACAGAGGTTTCAGTGGAAAATTCTAAGGGTAGCAGATTCAGTAATAAATGATTTACGTTAAAAATATCATAAATTAAAAAATTTGTTAAGAATGAAAATTATTATTAAATTAGAGATAAATTATGGAGTGCTAAGCACAAGGTGTGGGAGTTGCACTTATGCCAGAGTGTGTATAGACGCAAAGCCGACTAACGGATAACCCGAAGGAATAATGTGAGGCTTAGGGGCGTTGTGAGGAAGATGAGGGATGAGGAGTTGCGACAACGCCCATGGCCTTCGGTGAAATTCACGTTAAAGGAAGGATTGGATAACTCCACCCGACTGAAAGGAACCAGACGTGAACATTTAGTTTATTCTTTTCTTTCAATTTCTTTCACACACCATATTTACTTCCTTGCATCATCATCTGTTACGAGGAATATTTTTGTTTGTGTAGCTAATACCATGCAAATTCATAGTGTGTTCGGACGATCTGGCGGTTATAGTGAATGGTAAACTCCCACAAACTTTACGTACTAACATGCAAAGCGAACTAAGGCGGATAGAAAAGTGAGTTATAGATGCTGTACTAGGAATCATCTCAAGAACGAACCTGACCATTATTGAGTCTTCAAAATACAGGACAGGACAAGAAATTAAGCTGGTCACCGAACTCAGAGGAAGGAATGCCCTCTTTACTTGCAAAGGTGCGATAGGTCGGAAATGGGATATGTCTCCAAATAGTCCGTAGATAGAAAGTCTACGTAGTTGTTAGGCTTATACTTCTCTATAGGGTTCGGTCTGGTCGAGATAATATCAATACCACACCAATTCAGGCTACGAATGTCCCTTATATCTAATTATGGGGCTGCACAGTGTGCTCGCGCCGTGCTAAGACTGACTTCATAGTAATAACCCACGGTTATACTAACATCTTAAGAAAATCTCGTCTACTAGGAAAAGCGGATTACTCCATATCTTTCAACGTTTTAACAACATATGTCAAGGTAATGTAGTTATCCCGGATATAAGCCCTTGGGACAGGATAATACCAGTAAACACCGACTCGATTCATATTTATATACACGAGTCAAAACTAGATAAGAGTGTCGGTGGTAGAATTAATACAAAGGATATTGGTATCGGCAAATCCTTTCGTTTACCTGATCACTGTATTGTTTTTCATGCGGAATTGGTTGCTATACATGTGACTGTTAAAGATCTCAGCTCAATGCTGCTCTCAGAAAATTTCTTCAATTTTTTTTGAATAGCTAGGCAGAATTAAGAGCCTAGCGGTCCCTAGAGGACTGTCGCAGATCTCTTAGCGTGATGGCTGAGCAGTTCTTTTTGAACCTGCTATGGGTACCTGGACATAATAGCATACCTGGTAATGAGATGACGGACGAGCTTGCAAGTAACAGCTCTTACCTTCCACTTTCGCTTTTATGGAAGACTCAATATAAGAGAGTTGTTCACTAAAAATGCTAAGCAAAAATGGAGAAGTTTCAATGCGAGTAATGACAATATGGTCAGAATGGAATGGAGGAAGGTCACGTGACCTTATCGAACTAAAGAGAAAGGCGATATCTACCATTGTAGGTCTTCTTACTGGACTTATTCTTTGGGTAGGTATGTAGAGAGGTTTGGGTGGATCACCGAAATACTTATGCAGAAGTTGCAGATAAGAAGAAGAACTTAAAACCTTAAAGCAGTTTCTTTGCGAATGCCACGCACTTTGGAGGAGTAGATTAAAATCTCGGCAAAGCAATTTTCGGTGTAGATCCTCTTCCAATTTTTGGTTTCGCGCCTTAATGTTTTTTTAACAAATGTATGGACCTACAGTTTATGCCAAATCGACTCCGATCGGCTGATGATTATTTTCATGTCCTAAATACACTCGACATTCCCTGCCGAGGGGCGATCGATTTTAGAAAATGTATCTTAATTTTTTATTTAAATTAATTTCCTATAATTTTTAGGATGTTAGTACGACACCAAGACCTGAGCCATCTGAATGGCAGTACGCAATGCTAACACCTCGGCTACCGAGGCCGGAGGCTAAAATGCGAAGATTGCTCAGTTTTGCAAACTCTGAACATTGGTTCGCGGCTGGTGGGGATCATAAGGATCCTCAGTGATATCACAATGGGCCCGCTTGGGGCCTTGCTGAGTTGATGCATGGCAGCCGCTTCCACCAACCAATCATACCATGACAGGCGGAAAGCACCCACTCCCACGACGAACTAGCTCGTGATGTAAGTGTGCTACAAACAGCCCCACTTATACTTCGAATATATCTTTTACATACACGTATAAGTAAATTTGTATGAAGTGTGCTGCCTGCTGTAACCGTGTGGGTATCTTTACGTTTCACTACCGAAGCATGATAGGCTCCTGCAAAAAAAAACACAGAGAGTTATGGTAATAGCTTTTTACTAAATGCGATCACCTCTCGACAGGAAATGTCCTTACATGAAAGTATCCTCAAGGAAATTTAATAGCTCTTCAGCTCTTCAGCCAAAAAGCAGTTGTTGTTGTCAACTTCTTATATATTTAGTATACGAGTACATTTTGTGCCTTCAATATTTGATGACAACACTCATTCAAAACATATATACAAATATTTATTTGCGTGAATGTACCGAGCGAGTTGCAAGAAAAAAAGAAAGTTAGATAATTTCACACAGATGTTGCGCTTCTAAAACACAAACAAAATATCCCAACAGAAGATAAATGAAAATATTTAATTAAGCTCCAGTTTAAAGTCAACATTCAGTTGTTTGCAGATGTATCGCACATCTGTTCGCCATAAAATTTATAAAAATAGTTATCATGCTTAGTGATATTACAATCTTAAGAATTGTATCATATAAATATGTAGGTATATAAATACAAGTGCAAATATGTGTGCCGGTAAATCATAAAAAATGTGTCAAGAGACAATGAGATAAAAGAAAATATCGTTAGATTCTTAGAAGATTTTGAAACTTGTCTTTGATTTAGATATTTTAAGATCGTTTTCTGTCCCATTTGAAGTATCTAGAAAGCTTCCAGTTGATGGCTCATTATGTCATGAAATTTGGTTAGCTTGGAAATAAAACTGCGTACAAATGTACAAATGTACTCCATGTGATAACAAGTGGTACTTATAAGATTGTTTTTTATTTTTTATTTTTTAATTATAAAAAGAATTTTATCTGCAGTCGTATTTGCAACATGAAGGTATGATGAAAATCTTGTTTTATGTTAATGAAAACAAGTCAGAAATATACTGTCCTTCCTTATTGCACAAACTCAGAAGTATATAAAATTGACGGTCGCGATGGCCGAGTGATTAGCATTGGGTGCTGCCATTCGGGTCGATTCAAGTTCTCATCCGACCAACATTCAAAAATTACACAATAATATATTAATGTGAATATATAATTAAGATAAAATTTCTAATGTTGGTCGCCCCTCGGCAGAGAATGTTAATCCCCTCGAGTGTATTTTTGACGCCATCAGCCGTTCGAAGGCGGCTAAGCTGGAAAATTATCAACAACTAGTACGACAAATTGGAGTGGGATGTCGGCCGAAAATCGCTTCAGCGGCTTCGAAATGCCAATTATATATTGTATATTATATTCAGTCAAGTAAAAAGTTCGTTCGGTTTTTATCTAAGAGATGGCGTTATTGTCCATAGTACTAGTGTTGCGTGTCACATCATGTCGACGCTGAAAACGTGTTTTTTATGTGTTTATTTTTAATGAAGTTGACATCTTGTTAGCAACAAGTTTACGAACAAAACGGCGCATATTTGACTTAGATCGGACAAATGTACACAAAGTTATCATATTTTAAAAAATCAATAAAAAAAACCGAATGAACTTTTTACTTGACCTAACCTCAACTTATTAACCTTCCGTGAGTCTGAAAACACAACACCATCGAGTTCGTACTGAGACCTATTTGAGGCTCAAAACTAATACAGATATAAAATTTATAATAAATTAAAGGATTTGTGCCTCTGAATCTCTGATCGTAGAGACCTGAAACTTGGAAGATTTATTCTGAAGTAGACCGATCCATTCAAGGAAATTTATTTTAAAACATTATATTTATATAAAAAATAGGCAGATACAGTTATTTGTCTAAGTTAACATGGGAAACAAACCCGATTCCAAGAAGTCGGATTTATTCGAATTTTTTTTATTTATCTTTTGATTTACATAAAATTTGGTACAGAAGTTGTTCTAGGTCCAAACTGATATGGGGAATACTTTTTTCCAGGAAGTGGACCTAGAATAGAATGTGTTGGTCTCGAATTATGAAAAAATCGAAATTTCGGATTTGTTTTAAAACGTGCTTTAGGGTCTTAAAAATAACATACCAAAAGATCGATGCCGGCAAATATGTCTAAATGCCCAAATTTTTCGTTCGACGGCAGTGCCTTGCCCAGAGCGCATTACAGCTTTAAACGCGTTTTTCTCACGGTCATTTTTTTAAACTGGCCGAAGACATAACTCGGACAAAGTTTCACCGATTCTTACGAAATTTCCACAGTACATTCGAAATACCGTTTTTCAGTGACGTACGTAGGATTTTTTTATATTACATAGTTTTTTTTAATCAACAATTTTACGTAGTTTTTTATAGTGAAATTTTTACCGTTTTGTTCAAACGTGAACCATTCCACGAAGTAATAAAATATCGAAAAGATCCTATGTACGCTTTTTGCTGTTGTTAAATAGAAACTAAAAATAAATTTTCTTTTTATCCAGGGCATAAATTAAGGAGTTTACGTCTTCGTCCATGGGCCCATTAAAGGAAAGGCCTCCACAGAGAAATGATGGACAGTGGACATTTTTAAATGAATTCACACAAAAAATTTTGTATTTTTACCTGTAGTCCAGCTTCCCACTTTGATATGTGGAACATATGTACATATGTATGATAGGTGTATCGTTACCATTGTAAATGTAGACCTTGAACTTGTGACCGATAAATTCAGAAAAATCGTACAATGTACCTGATATCTGAAACATTCTTGGCTCATTGCCAATGTCAATGTGTAGACAGATTTATCTGAACAAATCACATCTATGGTTCGATTTGCTTGAAATTTTGAACATTGAGCTTATATATATAGACGAGTATATGGAAAGTTTTTATTTCTTGTTCACACCTTTTATTGCAGTAATTTATAAGTTAAAAGAAATAAAGCCAAAACAGAGTAAAAATATTATTAGAACGATCTTAATTTTCCATGTGGGCCGAGTCGCAGAAAAACGTACTGCGTACTGCCATTCGGAAGACTCGGGTTCATGTCCTGGTGTCATACTATCAACCAAAAAGTTATAGAAAATGAACTTAAAATAAAAAAATTAAGCTGAACTTTTTATTATAATTGCCGTCGCCCCTCGTCAGTGAAAGTCAACGCTTCCGAGTGTATTTAGGACATGAAATAAAGCTCCTCATAAAAAACCATCAGCCGTTCGGCTTAGTATAAACTGTAGGTCCCTCCATTTATTGGAAAAACAACAAGACGCAAAACCACAGCATGAAGGAGGAGCTCGGCGAAAATCACTTCAGCGGTTACAAAGCGCCAATTTTACAGTTACAGTCAAACATAGAAGCTACGTCACTACTAAGTTTAACTAGTGAAGCCACAGGTCTGACATAAAGTCTTAGCCTAAATCGCAAAAATGACGTTTTTCTGGCTTTGCCTAACGAAGTTTCGTCTAACCCAGACAAATGCCAACCCTCAATAAAAAATAAAACTACAATTTTATATTTAATTGTTATTGTTTCTATATTAAAATAGTCGATTCAATATAATCGCTCAATCGGTTGGTGACTTCTTGTCCAACAGATCGAGCACAGAACTCGCATCCTGAGTGCAAAAAATACCAAGAAGAATGTGAGCTACTGCTACTGCAGTTTTTGAATGCAGGAGCCATTGGAACAAAAATTTTGTCATAAGATCTGAATAATTTAAAATATATTTAAAACCACGTTCGTATCTATAAGATTTACTAGTCGACTTTCATATCGATAAGGTCGACTAGCCCCTTTTTAGGCTGACAAAGAGCCTTCTTGTGGCATAAAAATAGTTTAGAATGTACTCTCTTCTGACATTTTTTTTGATAAGCTCCGAAACATGTTGTTGGACTTTTGCCGTTTGATTGAAAGGTATTTCAAGATTTAAAAAAAATATATATAAATATTTCAGAGTCCGAAATTGGAATTTATTTCGGAGTATGTCGAAAGGCTTTGGTCATATCTAGTATAAAACAGTTCTTTCGGGAGGAGACTGTATATTGAACTTTGACTATAACATATATTTACATAACACAGTCGAGCAAGCAATATAGACGATACAATATTCATACGTACCTATAAATGAAGCCGCACCCATGATGGCCTTATCCACAGATGTTGTTGCAAAATCACATTGTGAAGCGATCGTTATTATGCTCATGCCCATTGTTTCATTAATGACCATCATTAATAGCAAGCCACAGATCACAAGCATTATCCATTGTGTAGTGCCAAATCCTTTCGAATATGAAAAAGCAAAATCAATTTTAGTTTAATATAATATAAAGTATACGCCGTGGCACACACTAATCACCTATTATATTGAGCACCGTCTCGTAATCATGTTGGATCACTTTAGTATCCTGTGACCCATTTTTTGTACCACATGCTTGATTCCTTTGTGTGTTAGAATTCACATCCACTTCTATAGCGGTGTTAACACCACTAAAATTCAATTCCACTGGTAATTGTGTATCACAGAAATTGTTATGCGGTGGCATTTTTATGTAAAGGATTTACGAATATTCAAACACTAAATATTATTTTGCAAGAAATTTTCTGTATTTACTTGTGCATATTAAAATTTAAATATTAAATCACGTAATAATTCACGCTAATAGTTGTTACCGTTATTGCTGCCACAGTCACTGACTGTCAATTTATAACTAAACTTGAATGGCATCAAGCAATTGACGTTCACATCAGTCTATGCCTTCTGTTCACTCTATAATGGACATACATAAATGAAATTCTTATCGAAAACTAGCAACAACTGATTGTACATTTGTATGCACAGCACAGGTGATTTGTGATGCCGATATGTGTGGATATTTGCATTGCGCTTGTAAATAAAGCAATCATTCAAATGAGCAAAAACCAAAACATTTCTGTTTTGAATAGGAAAATTAAGTTATATTTGAAGAACCATAAAATCAGATGCTTTGATTTGGTTATTGCCAAATTACGTCCAGGGCCTTAAAGCGCTCAGAAGAGTATGTAGATGCACAAAATTCGTAATATTCTAATAAAAAACCAATAATAGAATATGCAGACTTTGTGTTGTGGTTGAGTGGTTAGTGTTGCGTACGCACATTCGGAAGGCTCGGGTTCAAATCGTGGTGTCGTACTAGCATCCAAAAAAAATTAGAGAAAATTTATTTAAAATAAAAAATTAATTTAAATTTTCTAATTGTGGTCGCCCCTCGGCAGGGAATGCCAACCACACCGAGTGTATTTCTGACATAAAAATCAAAAGATGCTCGTAAAAAAACCATAGGTTGTTTGAAGGCAGCTTAGTATAAACTGTAGGTCCCTCCATTTGTTGGAAAAACAACAAGACGCAAAGCACAAATTCGAATAGGAGCACCAATTATATATATATATATATATATATACTTTGTGTTGACACTTTGTTGTCCTACTTTTATAAAAATAATTTACCATCTTGCTTATTTGACTTTGCGTAATATTTATATATGTACACATTTTTCTTTTAGGAAACATAATTATAATGAATATTTACTTAGCAGTTTAAATCACTGCACACTACTTGCTACCAAAAAAAGAAGATTTGCCCCTGCGGCTTAGGCAGAGTCTTCATACGCGTATGTACGATTATAGATATGAGGGGCGGCTGACTTTTTCACAACCTAAATTAGTTAAAGATGCAACATCATCTTGCCCCTGATGATTGTAGGACTCATTATTAGTAAAAATAACACAACTTTTTTATTAGCGTCATTAAAATTTCGTTCCTAGAACAAACAACAGCAATCAACGGAAACTATAAGTTATGGCAATTTTAAACCCCGCGCAGTGATTAAAATCCTTTATAAAAAATGGAATAGCGTCGAAGAAATTTTTTAAGAGATGACATTCTTTTTCTCTGCTCCTTCACACACTATGGTGAAAAAATTTGATTTGCTGCAAGACCTGTGAAGATGACCTCGCCCGGGGTGCCCAGTGACGGTCGTGACCAAAGATAATGTTCAGAAATTCGAAAAATTAGTACTGGCTGATCGAATAATTAAATTGTAGCAGATAGCCAAAGGATTACAGATTAGCAAATAATGAATTGGAACAGATTTTGCATGAACATTTGAATAGGAAAAAGTTATTGCGGGTTGGGTACCGTGAATGCTCACGTAGAGTTGTAAAGATTTTTTACGATTGTGACGAGACGATTTGGATGAAATTTGCCGCCGCATTGTAACAGTTGATGAAACTTGGATTCGTTCATTTGATCCCGAGTCCAAACAGCAGTCGGTAAAATGGATAAAAAAAGGGAAAAGGCCACTAAACAAATTCACAGTGGAAAAGTCGGCATCGAAGGTTTTGGCTACCTTTTTCTGGGATACCGATTTGATGGTGCAGGCTCATGAGGCCCACCAGTGGGACTCACAAAATATATACCGACGGTGTTACGGTTGGATTTTTAGACGGAAAGTTTCATGATAGGAAAAGCCCCGGATGTGGCTAAGGCCGCGTTGATTGCCAATTAAAGCAATATTTTATTTCTAATTTAGTCGCTCAGCACACACATCGACTAACTCCATAAATTTGTTCAAAAACTCCTCTAATAATATGAATTCAAATATATAAAGTTGAATGCACAATTGCATCTAACAGTATTCAAAATTAATAAGAAAGAATAGACAACAAACAATCGGCAGTGATGGTACATTTTTGATGTGACTGAAGGAGTTAATCAATTTGTCAACTGAAAAAAGTAACATAGTTAAATTTAGTCCTTACATATTTCAGTTTTTTATTACAGAAAAGTTCGTTATTATACATTTTTATCACAGCTTTTCCATAAATATGAATGTTGGCAGTTCGGTTATAATATTATTTTTGTAATTAATTCATAGCAACTTTATGTTGGCGGCATTATTTTTTGGGATGATTCAGCAATATTATAAATAATATCTTATTCATCAGCTGTAGGCGAGGATTCATTATTTCGATTTGTTGACAACCCTACAAGGACGGGCTGATGGGTTCACCAATATACTTACATGATTTCGGGCAGCACTAACACATAAGCAAGTTGTTCTGATTATCTTTCCCTTCTGAATACAAACTGAAAGAGAATGCATTTGAACGAATTCTCCTATTTTCTTTGTTCTTATTTCCGGGTAGAACGCCACAGCAGATAGTAGTGAAAAATATATGATGAAGATCCTGTACAAACTGTGGTATTAATATATTGTCGATTAATTAACTGTATGCTTCATTTTTCATTGCTTTTTACATTTGTTTATTTAATGGCACTCCGTAAGGGAAATTCTTTTAATGGAGCAGCATGACTGTAATGGACGCTTCTCACTTTGCAGCAACAGCAGAATCAAAACTGTGCGAGGTACAACTGCATTTAGATATTAATAACATTCTAATTCGAATAATCATTTTTTATTTTACTTAGACATCTTTAAACTTCAAGGGAGTCGCGATTATGACGGAGGCGTTCGTAGAGCTGAGTAGCTGAATCACGAAGCCACGACACTGTTATAGGCTGCATACGGTTTTTCTTACAAAATTTTGCAGATTTTTCAAAATGAATTTATTGTTGTATTTTTATTTCTTTGTATGCTATATAATAATATATATAATATAATATTGGAATAAATTGGAATAAAGACTTGACTTTAATAATGTTTGTATACATATATGTTTATATGCAGGGAAATTTTTTGTCAAAGCTGATTTCCTTCGGCATCAATCCTGTCGCTCATGTGTGTTCGGCTTGTTCGGCACGGCTGCTGTTTTTTTTACGTCATTATTGTTTTCTTTTGGTATCAATGCTGTCGCTCAGCTGTGTTCTGTTTGTCCGTCAAGAATGAGGAAAATGCATAAGGAAACGAAGAGAGAATGGCGTACACGTATACAAATGTAAACATCACATTTGTCGTTTCTCTGTTAAGAAAGTGATAGGAAAATCGTTCTACGAGATGACGGCATATGACATCATGCATTCCTGACATATGTTGGCAGAAATGATCGGAAGCCTTCTTGCAGCGAAGTTTTCATAGTAATCGTGTTCAACAGGAGGGATGGATTTTAGCAGGTCCGTCATGTCTCTCCGTTTTTCCTTTTTTACAGTTCTACCTTTAGGATATAATAAAGGCTGATTTATATTTTTCAAATTTTGCGGTCTACCCATTACGTGAAATACGAAAGCAGCTAAGGACTCTGTACGCTGGAAGACGGTTCAAGGTGAATTGGAATGTATTGACAGCATCGAAGAGCATGTGCAGTGGCAACGAAGAAAAGCAGACCATCTTTTGTGACATCGACACAATATATTTATTAGCACAAGGCCAGCATAAGGGACATTACTAGCAGTGACTCGTGTAAGAAGTGTAGGAAGGCAGGGATGAATGGAACGTCACACGTTTTAAAAAATCGAGGAACTAGAGAAAGTTTCAAGTTATAATCTTCGCAAAAAACATTGACATCCTACATCGCGGCCATCTTTGATCGAATAAATTTGTATGTTGCCTCGATCTGGCACGACAAAGAATCAAAAGGTCTTTGGAAGGCCTGTCAGCTAGTCAGTATAACCTAACCTAACTTCAAAGTTTTTGATCTTATTAAATGACTTCCACTATTGGCCGCACCTTGGCGAAAGTCTTTAAGGGGGAAGCTGGTCTACAGCGCAAAAAATGATCATATTTTATGAATTTATTTTGACTCAATAATAATATAGGTTTCACGGCAAAAATACAGAATTTTTTGTGTGAATTTATTTCGAAAAGGCCGCTGTTCTTCATTTCTCTGTGGAGGCCATTTTTCTATTGAATCCTTGACCGAGAACGTAAACTCCTTAATTTTTGTTTTGTTCTAACACCCTAAAGCACGTTTTAAGACAAAATCAAATTAATTTTACCTTTTGAGCTAAACGGAGTTAGATCGCCGAAAGGGTGACAGCCCTTGGCCGGATAAAGTCCGTGTCAACTACGGTACGTAGAACCGAGAGAATCGAGTGACCCGTGTGACCTTGACACAACTTAGGTCTGGATACTATAGCAAGTTAAACTCGCACTCATCCAGACTCGACCCCAGCATGTCCAACGTATGACCTGCATGTGGAGAGTCTCCGCACGACACTACCACCTCTTTACATACCCCCTCAAAACGACTCATCTAACCAAAATGTGTATTTGTGGACATAAAACACCTTCAGATAATAATATAAAAAACTTGAGCGGGTATCAAGGTCGACCTAAAAAAGCCTCACATTACCTTGCTTTGATGTGGTTGTTCTTATTGTCATTATTCTTATTGTTGTAGCGGTTTGGCAATAGTATTTAGGAATGCTCGATCAGTCTAAGTCATGCACCGCTTGTACAGCCGTCTTTTGCACTTAACGGTGCTATGATAACCATGCCCATTGTCTCCGTAATGGTAAACATAAGAAGCAGCCCACAAGTCGCCAAGAGCTGTATATGAGCTCCACCGAATCCTGTAAAAAAAAAAATTCATTCAAATTTACGATAAAAATCCAAAAATATCCCAGTTCCACCAATAATAACCCTTATATCCGCCTAGTGAAACTCTCTCGTAATAACATTTTCAGACATTTGAATTTCGAGACTTTTATCAAAGTAAATTATAAAAAGAAAAGAAGAACAAAGAAAAAGAAGTAAATTATAAAAGAAGAAGTGGGAGAAGCACCGCTATATAATTAATTGTTCATACCTTTGCACCAGGTCTTGGCTTGGATTAATTTTTGTTTCGAAGACAGTAGTTCTGCGGCCAAGAAGAGATCGCAATTAAATAAGTTATTTTGGAAATTAATTTTCTACAATTCCGGATGTTGTTGATTGTTTGCCAAGAATCAGGGCCGTGACCCAAAACCCTTCGACCCAGCGCCAAACAGTCGGTTGTTGCGGTCGCAATATCTACTAATGACAGTGCAAGAAATGCAATATTTTTTAGCGGCCGTAATAGGCGAGTGGTTATTCAAAAGACCAGGGTTCTACGAATTATACACCCAGTTGCAAAATTATAAGACCGCGGAGTTTTTTATTAAATTTAGTTTGATTTTCATAAGAAGAGGCGTTTGATAGTTTTGTTTTAATACAATAATTTATTTGTTGTAATTTTCCTTTTATTAATTCAATACTCGTTTTCATACATAAATCTAACTTTTTTAATAGCGCAGCGTCTAACTTTCCTTATTCTCAGATTATGACCGATAATATTTCGTCCACTGTGTTAAATTGCCGATTTTCGGAATAAATTTGACGGATGAGGATTCCCCATATTCATTTTCATCAAATATTTTGTCTCCACACTTAAATGAATGGGCGCATATCCTGTTGGAAAACCCAATTTTTATCGGCTTTGCGAGACAGCCGTATAGTCACTACTGTTCATTCTGATTGATCAAAATTTGTAGCTACAGTGTTTGTGCGGAGGAAAACGCTCCCCCACCATTACATTTCTTCCACCAAAATTTTGATTTGAAAAAAAAAGCGGCACTTTTCGAATACCACGCCAGTATCCGTTAAAGCCTGAAAAAACGCCTGGAATCAAACTTTGATTGTATTTTCCGATTTCGGATGTCCTAGAGAAACTTCTTACTTTTTTACTTACTTTACTGGTGTAGACACCGCTTACGCGATTATAGCTGATTTACAACATTGCGCCATTCGAGGTTTAATCTTTTAAAATGTTCTGTTCGTCGAAACGCACAGGGGCAGTTTTGTGACGATTGCTCGCTCTATGTTTCCACTTCGTTTTAGCGCTCTCCATATCGCTTGACTGCTTACCATTATCCTGGGGAGGCGAGGTAGTGTGGAACAACGCTTCATAGAACTTCTCGCACTACTGCAACACGTGTTTAACACCTTTTCTTTTTACTATCTTAAATTTTACAGTTAGGTCTCACAATTTGTTTTCACAGTAACAGAGTTGCCATAAGTTACTTAAAAAAAATCTTTAAAATACTCATTAATTGCCAGTAACTGCTAATTTTTGATCAGTCTTATGTATATGCAATCTTTTTTAATCTTGTTTTAAACAAAGTATTAATCTACTTTTCAAGCTCCAAGAAGAATGTATATGTATATGCAATCTTTTTTAAGACTAATCGTCCACTTCTTGTTTTAAACAAAGAATTGATATACATTTCAAACTTCAAGAAAGGTCGCAAAACATCTCGTCATTAAACAAACCATTAAAGAATTAAGAAATATAGACTATTATGGCCAGCGCAAATCGTTAGATGCAGCACCCAAAGGTAATACAGTTATTAATCTAAACCTCATTCGTTTTGTAAAAGCGATATATTTTATTTCCATAACCTAAAATATTATGGTTAATGTTCAACAAAAACAAACTTTGAATGGATTGATGGTCAATATTTTAACAGTATTGTAATTTTAAGCTATTTGTATATTTTCGACTTCTTTAATTAAATCCATATGTTTGAAATCATCCGGTTTCTTATTAAACTTTTCCAAAAGTTTCAATTTGCTTTCATCGTTCTTACAATAAAACATTTGCAATTGATTTGCGAGGCATTGTGCTTCTTTTCCAGACAAAACCTTGCTATCATATTCGCCACGCATCAGTACAAGACCTTTGTCTTTAACTTCCGTGTAATGCACCAGCGTTAAGCACTCTGGCGCATTTTCAGCATGCACCTGAAAAACAATCAATTATTTCAAAATTATATACTATAAAAACATACAATACCAACCTGGTAAGCGATTAATGGTGTGAAATGGACAGCATTCGCAGCGAATTGCAACATAATAAACTCGAAACCTTCACTTCGTGGCACAGGCAAAAGGAAGATTGGATATTGTTTAGCGCGTTCCATAAGGGTATCGAACTGGTTTACAGTTAATGTCGCTGCTAGTACGTCTTTCTTTGTATGGTATTCATACCAAATTTTGGAAATTTCTTCAGCTGTTTTATCCATTATAAGCTCGATTTTCATAATATCTTCTAGTTTTTTGTAGGGTATTTCATTGCCTTCCTTAGCATTAAGTGGTTGCTTGGGGTTTAATAGCTCGGAGTATGTTCTGTAAGTATTAACTTTTTATTGTTCGTTTCTATTGGTTTTTATTTCTTGGTTATAGATTCTCAAAATTTTATTTTTATGTTAATTAATTCATAATAGCAGAAAGATTAATATCACTAAATGTGATTGATAAGCCGAAATACTAAGCCCTACATATGGACATGTTTTCACGAAATCCAAACCCAATAAACCATTTACCTTGTTTGACTCTTTCCTTCCTTAATGGGATGAACAACCTTGTCCACCCGATCTAAAAACTCTTCGGGAGAGGTTTGCTGAAGTTTTGCTATTTTTTCCGCATATTTTTCGAAGTATGGATTTTTCTCCTTCATTTTTTCCAATGCCTCCTCGGCTCGTCTCATTGCTGACATACTGATGGTTCTGGTGGCTATGCTGTTGATTGATAGAAGGCGTAGACAGCTACGGATGCAAGCCATAACATGTACAACACGCGGAAATATCTCAAATATTCTTATTTGAACAAGTTTTTTTTAAGAGCATGTATATTGAAATAAAAAATTATGCACCAAATGTCAAATTACACAACCCTATACAGCTGTTTATTCCTACAACGATTGACAGATCTGTTCGTATCAACGCTCTTTTATGGAATTTGCTAAAAGAAATAGCTACTTGAAATATACCACTGGATTTGGAAGATACAAAAAACTGGGATTCAAAAAGGTCTTGCAAAAAACAATCTCATATGTTACATAATAAAGAGACATACATATATCTGAATATCTGAATATGTTGCTTTCAACTGGAGACCAAGTAATAGAAATTATATTTATAATTAGCATTGAATATATTCAAAAAATATTTCATGAATATGCTCTATGTTCGTTGAGGTTCGATAATCGAACTCCTTTGCTTCCTTTTAAATGTTATAAAATCTTTAGAAGCAAAATCAGTATCGTGAATGATTATGAACATCATATCATAATTGACTTCTCTTTCCTTCTAAATATAATAGAAGTTAATATATTTAACGATTTTGCTAAAAATGTATATAATTTTTTACTTACATACAACCATAATTAAATATTTCCTCCCATCTTACCTCAGTCAACCAAAAGCTATTCTAGATTAAACCCCCTTGAGATAGGATAATGTTGTTTGAAATCCTAATTGTAGAAATATTTTCACCTTCTAATTTGGCTTTCAGGCTAACAAAAAAAAGAGTTTCCACTTCTTAAAAATAATAATGGTTGGCCTCCCTGATAATTCGACGTTCAATATTCAATATTTTGACATTTCGAAATTCGAAACATTGAACTTTTTTGCCTATATATGAGTGTGAATTTATTGCACGCGATTTAAAGAAACATTTGTTAAGATTTTCACATTTTAAGAGATTAATCCTTAATAAATAAGAAAATAAACATGTCTGCCAGCAGTAGCAACGATAAAAGTGAACAAATTGATTTGGCAAAGCTAAGTCTGGAGCAATTAATGCAAATCAGACAGGAAATGGAAAAGGTGCGTCAACGATATTTTATAAGCAATTAATCACCAAAAAAATATTTTCCTTGCAGGAAATTAACAGCATTCAGGAATCATTACAAACCCTTTATAGCTGTAAAGCGAAATATGCCAGCTCAAAGGAAGCGCTAGAATCATTCCAGCCAGAATGGCAGAATCGTCAAGTTTTAGTGCCACTAACAAGTAGCATGTATGTGCCAGGGCGTATTAAGGATCTGGACAACTTCGTAATTGATGTTGGCACCGGTTACTACGTAGAGAAGGTGCGTGACGTTGGTTAGAATGTACCTCTCATTATAATATTTTTACATTTAATCTTTATAGAATTTGGAAAGCTCAAAGGATTATTTTATGCGTCGTGTTGATTATGTGCAAGAACAAATTGAGAAAATCGAAAAAATTCAAATACAAAAAAGTCGATTCCTTAATGCTGTAGCTGGTGTTATGGAGATAAAACAGCTCGCACTATCGAAACAAATGCAACAACAACAAGCTGCATAAAAATTCTATGAAATGACAAATAGCAATCTCGGAAAACATTTTTCTCTAATTATTTACAATCTAGCTATTTGTGCTTAAACTTTCGCACATTTCATAAAAAGATTGGTTTCATAAGGAAACTATGACATAATTAGAAGGATCACTTGGAAATAAATGTTAATGAAGATTGAAACATCAATTATCATAAATTTATCTATGTATTATATTTTGCTTATAGTTGTTATGATGGGAAGCGATGAACTCTTATTTAAGTAGTTGATGTTTAAAAAGGTTTCGGAAATATTTAGATTAAATGAATTATTTTTTTTTAGCCTCCTCCAGCGCTTTGCTAAGTACCGTAATTTTTTGCTCGTAAACATCTTTTAAATCCTGTAAAAAAATCATCTTCAAAATTAGATCATAAATGTTTAACAGTATACCTTAAATATCTTAGATTGTATATCATATTCAGCCCGAAGTTTATCGTAAACACCTTTTGATATCTCAAGTTTCTTTTCAGTTATTGTACATTTATCCTTTTCTGCTTTAATCCATTGCTGAGATTTTTCCAGTCTCACTTGCATATGCTCGCATTCGGCATTCTTCAAATTCAGCATATCTTTAGTCACCTGCACAACGTCTTTCATGGCCTCCACCTGATTTTTAAGTACCTCAATTTGCTGCTCTTGTTGCTTGCACACTTTTGTCTTCTCGAAAAGTAGAGTTTTTGCTTTTAACAATAATTCATCCTGCTCTTGTCGGGACTTGGGCGCGTCAACACCACCCAACATAACCGATTGCTTCAAAGATTGTTCTAATTGTGTTGCCTTGCGTTTAAGTTGCTCATTTTCGAAATGACTTTGCTATAAATATGAGCATTTTAGAACTTTATATACTCCCAAAAAAAATAGTTAAATTCTAACCTCTAATTCCTTTCGAAGTGCGGATAGTCTCTTGCGTGACTCCTCTACCAACGCTTGTTTTTCACTCTCTAGGGTAAAAACAATATCCAACAGCTCATTACTTTGTTGTTGTTGCGTTTCTGGAATCTGTTCTTGGAGGGACGGCACTACCTCCCCTTCTAAATTATTGTTGACATCCTCTATCGGAATTGTATTATCTGACATTTTTAATATTTGGTTTAAAATATTTCCAAAATACGTGAATTTTTCAGCTATTCTTCAACGTTCGTTCAGAAAACTTTGCTTCTTTTCTGTATTTATAGATACTACACTGCATGTTCTATTTTTAGAGAGTACGGATAGTGCGCGCGTCGCCGAAAACACATGCCATTAAAAATTTACAATTTATAAAATAAAATTATGTATATATGTAGATATTTAATTTCGAATCACCCTACTAAACGTTCGCAAAATTTATGGAGAAATTTCCATATTTTTTATTAATAAAAATACTTCATAAATTTTGTAGTTCAGATTTTATTTATTAAAATTATAGTGAATTGAACTGAACAGACTTGGTGTTGTTAGTACATAGTATGATTTGAAAAGCGGCGTTTGCTATAATCAACGACTTTGATTAGGCCCCTAACTTTAATGTTTATAAGTAAAAGTATATGTAAATAATAAATGTTTAGCATAAGCAATACGTTAAGTCCAAATACGAATATGTTGCATGCCTCCTAACCATCTAGTTCGCCAGCGGCGCAGGCGTCGGCATAATTTTTACCAGCCTTTTCTTCTGGATTCAATTTGATCATATCATCTATACGCAGGATAGTTATAGCGGCTTCAGTAGCAAACTTTAATGACTTTATTTTCGACATTGCTGGCTCCAATACACCCGCTTTCTTATTATCGCGTACGACACCCTCGATCAGATCGAGACCAGTCCATTTAAGTAGAGCGTGTTCTGATTTCGTTTGACTGGAATTATGGTAAGCACGTAATTTTGCTACCAAGTCGGTAGCGTCTTTAGCAGCGTTCACGGCCAAAGTTTTTGGAATGACCAACAGGGATTTTGCAAACTCAGCAATAGCCAATTGTTCGCGTGAACTCTGTAATAGTAATATATTTCAATATTATAACTAGTAGTTTTACATTATGTCACAACTTACCAACGAAGTGGCGAAATTCTCCAAATAAATGGAAAGAGCTGCTTCAACACAGCCACCTCCAGCCACGACTTTTTTACTTTCTAATACTCGCTTCACTACGCATAGGGCATCATGAATTGACCGCTCCATTTCATCACAATAGAAATCGTTAGGCCCACGCAAAATTATAGATGCAGCAGCTCTTCAGAAAAAAAAAACAGAATTTTCAACGTTAAAAATTTAAATGATATCGTTTTTAAATTACCTAGCCTTTGTGCCTTTAATCAAGATTAGTTCATCATCACAAATACGTTCTTGAGCTACTTCGGCTGCTTCGCCGACCATAGAGGGCTCAAAGCTTTCTTCACCATCCATGTTTGTCAATGATGTAAGGAAAGCAGCTCCGGTGGCCTTAGCAATAATTTTTAAGTCACTCTTCTTAACGCGACGAACTGCCATAGCTCCTGCCTCAACAAAGTATTTCATGCACAGGTCGTCAACCCCACCCGAGCAAAGGACCACATTGACACCAGTCGACAAAATTTTATTGATCCTTTCTTTTGTAATATCCATTTCACGAGCACGAATACCTTCTAACTTGTCGGGATCGTTAATAAGTACTTGCACACCCATTTTCATTTTGGTCTTTTGCAGAGAGAAGTCTAGGCATGCAATTTTTGCGTTTACGATTTTTTTTGGCATTTGCTGAGATGCAATGGTGCAGTTAAGAGCATAACCCGGTATTAGTACAGATTCGCGAGCAGATTTTCCATGAGCCTTTAAAACATTCACTGCTTTAATTGAATATAATGGATTTCCTTTGGGGTCAATGATCTGAAACAAAAATTAATTTCCAATAAATATGAGTACAAATGTTTATTACAAAAATTTACCTTGACGGCTTGTGCTGCATCCACTACCATGGTTGAGAACAAATCAGCATCGGCACCAATGATCTTGGAGCTCATAGAGGTTTTAGCAATGTTAATAAGAGAATCACGGCCCAACTCATCAACGGGTGCGGTCAAATGTTCTGAAATATATTTGCAGGCTTCTTTGCATGCTAAGCGGTAACCTGCTATAATTGAAGTTGGATGAATTTTCTGCTTAACCAGTTCATCAGCGTTCTAAAATAAAGATTTACATCATTATATTTTCAATAAAAAAAATGATATTAATATAAGTACATTACCTTTAACAATTCTGCAGCCAAAATAACAACCGAAGTAGTTCCATCGCCTACTTCTTCGTCTTGCAGCTGTGCTAGTTCAACCAGCACTCTTTAAAAAAATGTCAATAATAAGAAATACTTTATCTCATACCAATTAACTTACTTTGCAGCGGGATGTTCCACCTCCAACAGTTTAAGTATAGTAGCACCATCATTGGTGACCGTGACATCACCGATATCATCGACAAGCATTTTGTCCAAACCCACTGGTCCCAACGAGCTTTTTACAATATTGGCAATAGAGCTTGCAGCCATCACTAGACAATCAAAGAAAAAAATGTTAGTTTACACAGAACACTTTCTGTACAGGAAGCCGTAACCTCACTTTCTCTCCTACAAATATGCATTGTAAAATCATTGAACTGAGGAAGTATATAAAAACAAAAGTGAATCAAACTATAAATGTTTTATATATATTGTCGAAATACAAAAATTTCATTTGTAGTCGTTCTCGAAAAGTCTGAGCATATCTCACATGTTTATATATTCCTCCGGCAATACAATGACTAGCAGCAGATGTTCCTAACAATTCCCATTTCTTACCATTTTGTGTACGCACGGACGCGCCAGATTGTCTAGTGCCCGCGATGGACAGAGGGCTAGCAATAGTGGACATTTTTAGTTTTTAAACAAGTTTTTTACTTTTTATTTCAACAATAATTAAAAATGCTAAAGAAAACGATGTGCGCCTGACTCACTGTGCCGCTGACAAGTAAAATGTGTGCTTCTTCGAAATTCGAAATGTTTTAATTACTATAGAAAAGGGTATGGCAGCTCAAAGCCAACGCTGCCATCCCGAAGTAGCGTAGAACTTGTAAACTTTAAATCAACTCTTGGAGTAAATAAAACACAAAAGAGTAGAAATGAACTGCAAGATTATTTTTAAATATGTAACGATTTTCTCTTAATAAGTTTGATCACTGGACTGTTAAATATAAGTCCTAAACATCGTTGCTCAACGCCTACCATACAACTCACTAAAAGCACACGGCTACACACACTACAGCATGTTCCAGTGCGGGGCTTCGAATGTTCGATTTCAAGAACAGTCAAATTGACTCCTCTAGTGATACATGCATAAGAGCCGCGGTCAACAGCACAGAAAGTATAGAATTCGGTAGTGATAACATCGATTCATAATGAAAAGGTGTAAACTGTGTAAGGGCGGGAAAATAAATTGTGTGATTATGGAGAGTTATATTGTTAGTAGGTTATGCGTTTGCACAGAGTTATTAGACTATGCGTATACAATAATGTAGGTGAATTTTAGGACATTTACAATCCAGTGATCGAGCTCGAAAGATTTGGGATATATTCAAAGTTAGTTCACCAAACGGCCTATATCCAGTTCTTAAGTTCTGAGAAGCTGTGGTTTGGAATTTGGCCGAAAATGGCAATGAGGGTTACCAATTCAATTTTTTAGCGATCGCAATTTCTGATGGTCGAATAAGCAACTTATCGACATTTCGCTAGTATTCTTTGTATTTACATTAATTCAATCGCTCTATCATTCCCGAATCAAACATTTTAGTTTTTGTTATTCTTAAAACTCTAAGCTCTCAAATAAAGATAAACCAAACAAAGTACAAAATAGAAGACAAATGTTAAGATAAAAATGAATTTAATACGTATAGTTCTATTTATTGGCGTGTTAAACATAGGTAAATGCAGAAACTTGACCACACCCTATTTGATCTAGTGGATGCTGACTCAAACAACATTTATATTAATTTATTATTTTATACAAAGTAGTTTCAGCGCAGTACAACCAATTAGAGCAAAATAAATGTATTATCCCGAGAATTCTTCAAGGAAGCTGGTTTTCGTGGGAAACTGGTAAGCCTACACAAACAGTCATAGATGCCACAAAAATGTCAAAGCGTGGTATATGTGTAACAATGTCTCATCATGGAGATGAGTATTCGTTTGTTTTCAAAGAACGGTCAGGGGACTGTTATCACTGCGTTCGTACAATTATAAGAACATTGAACGTGTTTGAGAAAGTGGAAGGTATGAGTTTTATTTAGTTTTCTTAAAATTCCCAATACATAAGTTGTAATGGAAATATTGTGATTATGTATTTAGGACCCTGCGTTTCTATACCACAAGGAACCGAGCCAAGCGTAGAAAATGTTTGCAAAGGCATTAAGGATGACCGACAACTCGTAACATTGTTTAATGAAAATTTTGTACCCATAAATTGTCGCTCATCTTTGGAAGGCGTGTGGCATTTCACATATCAAGTAATTTAATTTGCATTCATTTATATATTATATTTAAAATTATTAAAAATAATTTATTTTTGAATCCCCTAGAATCGTTTTCGATTTACAGGCGTGTGTAATAAGCCGGATGCCCGTATCCAATCGTGCCAAACTGCTGGTACTCAGTTCTTAATTCAAAATCAAAAATTTAATGTCACTTATCAGCAGTGTGAAGGTATGGAAGGCACGTTTACGGGAATCGTAGAATACAGTTGTTTGGGAGACTGGTTCGTTGGAAAAAATCATTATTTTGCTGTGGCAAACACAAAGGAATCACGAAAAGATGAGAAATATCGCTGTTTTCTTAAAAATCGAGATGATGACCTGTACATTGGTGTATCCATTACAGCTGAGTGTAATACACTGAAAACACCAGAAAACTCTCCAGAACGTCTTAAGCTTACTCCTGTGAAAGCTGAATACGTTGAGCCTGGATGCACGCTACCTCAAAACTTTTCGGGAGAATGGGTAAATACAGCGAATATTGATGCAGATGTATCTATAAGTGAAACCCACATCAATGAAACATACTATCCCGATAGAGCACGTTATCGCCGTACAATTTATGTGTGCCGTGAACGAAGAGATAATCGAATAATGATGGCTCGCTTAACCGTGGACGGTTGCCAAAAAGATTATGTGTGTTTCGATTTTCAACCACGCCACCATAATATCATACGATATCGCAAGGGATTAGCTGTTATTAAAGATGATTTCAGCACAGTATGTTCATGGGTGCAATTTAAAAACGCAGAATCATGGAAATATGACTTGTTTTTGGCAAAAAATCCGGTGCCAGTACGTTGTCCAGTGGCAGGAAAATTTAATTTCACACAACGTGGAGAACATCCATTTAGAACAAGAATTCTAGGAGGTGTAACATTGAGTCCTCGGCCAAATATTCACTGCAAACAAAATATCTCTGATTTATCAGTATGTGATACTGACCAAAAGGAGATGGCTGTTGATGAAAACTACTGTCTGTCCGTCGATCACTTGGGAAGACCTGTCGACATATACAGTAAGTCGAAAATTATATTAAAATTTTTGTATTGATTGAGGAAGTTAATTGAAATTTAAGGTGACCCCGATTACCGCATGAAATGCATTGGTTTTTGGAAAGAGAATCTGAAATCTTACCTTATAACTTATGATGATTTAGATCCACTATCTAAATATCGGTGTTGGGTCTATCAGCGTGCAGACTTAAATCGCGTGTTAATGTCACAAGGTATGTATTTATTTTACGTCTCTTATTATTATTTAATCTTTATTGTTTTAGCGGTTGGAGCTTTTTGCAAACTAAATCAAGATGTCACATCTTGGAATCACACAGAAGGTGCAGCAGTGGCCATTGATGCCATAGAATACGAAAGAGAGCGTGATGATTGTCCTATGTATTTCGATGATGGTGCATACCCGTGGAAGGATTCAGATGCGTCCAATATTATATTTGATTGGGATTTCTATAAGGCTGCAGCCAATCCTGCTTTTTCATACTCATATGGCTTATTTTTATTTATCTTCAGTTTTATACTGTGCTAGGACTTAAAGATGCACCATATATCAGCTGTCACAAATTACTTTTTGCTGATATATAATTGAAATATTTCACTATGCAATGAGCATTGGAATAGTCATCAATCTCTGATCGCGTATCAATTACGATTTTACAAACTCGAATGTGTCTTATTAGCGTTTTAGGAAAAATTATAATGTAATATGTATTCATGTCCAAGTTTACATCACAGATGTATGCTTTCCGTCCATTTTATTAGACTTAAGTCGAAAATTGTCAATACAAACCACTTTTTAATAAAATTATAAAATTCCGAACAAGATATGTATGTACATATTCTGCTCAATTCTCTTTCTCATATTTTTTGTTAAACGATCGTGGTTGGTTGATCTCTGTAAATCTTATTGGATAAGTGAATTACACCTGCTTTTCCATCGTACCAAACATAATTTTTTCTTTTAACGGAAATTAACAAAAATTCGTGAATGACCCTGTAAAAATTAAAATTGGGTTTCTTCTCTACCTTGTAAATACTGTTTATTAACGGCTCTAGAAAGTTCCGTATGAATGTTCTACATTTCCGGAATAACTAGCGAAGATTTAGGCGCGTGCATCGAAAAAATGGCTTTCTTTCAAGGAGTACAAGCTTGGTACTTTTCTCGACACAGAGGGGGCTCTTAACAACACCAAGCATCACCAAAGACATAGCAAGAGGTACCCCTCAGGCGATACTATGGCCGGTGAAAAAGTGGGCTCTCAACAAGTATAAGCATGAGACTAACCAGACCACTTCAGCCTAGCAGGACAATTAGTCACAATTTGTTGCAAAGGAATCGCATAATAGACGAACTTGCGAGAGAATGAACGCTTGCATCCAAAATAAACCATGATCGCGATGCAGGTGTAATTTTCTTCACGGCGAAGTATATGCTAAAACTGGCCTATAGCTGAATGAGATCTCGTACAGTGTACCAGAGAGCTATGGACAAAATTGAAAACGAAAAAATGAAGACATCTTATTCTTTCTAGGGATCTAAGAATATAAGCTGTTGTGTTTAGTTAAACGAACTGATATTTATTGAGTAATAAATAAATTTTTATTAAATTCTTTTTGAATAAAAAATTTGGACACTTCCAAACCTATTGTTACGATTTTACTAAATCAACCTCGATTATTTTCTAGATCCTTCGGGTACGATCTCTGGATTGTTAAATAAAACTCGCCAACTTAATTTGCAGTTTCTTTCTTTATAAAGAATTAATCTAATGTCCTTTATTATCTCAGTAATTCACAATTCAATTATACTGCACTTTACTATTTATAATCACTAACATTAACTTTCACAATTTACTTTACTTAAATGTAATCTCCAACGCGTTCACTTTACGACTTCACTGATGTTAACGCCAACCAGTTTGCTTTGTCACTAACTTGACTTGCAGCTGAGTGTCGCCTTTATATAGCAGTCGGCTGCTCGCAGACGAAAGCGTAGAAGCATCGAATTGTTCGCTATGGAAGGTTCTTGTTTTATCGTTTCTAGAACGTACTAGTTATCGGCTTCTCTCTTTCATCTGACATTTGCCTCGCATTTTCGCAACACTATAATAATCAAAAGTCGGGTTGAAGGAAATCATTTACGTGAAATAGTTACTTTATGTTGTTGTTGTTGCTGTAGCGGTTCGGTTACTTTATAAAATGGCTTACTTTCAAATTTTAAATCTCTGGCAACACTGCATGTATTTGACATTTATCCGGCCTCTGTTTTGAAATATGCTGTGAAAAACATAGAAGAAACAAATTTTAATTGTCAAGAGGGCAGGAACGGAAAACTTAATATTTTGTAATCGCTGCTCTTGAGAACTTTCAATAGTTATAGAATATTTCATTATCTTCCAAGTGATATATATATTATTCTGGAGATGGCGCTATCATTATTACGAAATGCCGGCAAACTAAATGGTAAAAATATTAAGCAATAATTTCCATTATATAATCACATAAACTAATATTTTATCACGATGTCAATCAAGTTGTTGGGCTGACGAAAACTGCTACTGCCCTGTCCATACCCATGAAGACGTTGACCACAAAGTCGCTCTCTGCAGAAAGCTCAAAAACTATATCTTTAATAAAGAATGCGCAAGTTAGTAGCATCTAATCTATTAAAAAGAAGATAGGACTAACAAATGTTCTTTTCAGGGAATGACAAGAAAATTTTCCTTGACTTCTGCTAAAATGGCTGCAGCTAAGGGAAATCACGTACCTTTGTGGACAGCCGAGCGCTTGATATCACTTGGGCTTCTGGGTGTAGTTCCTGCAGCTTTTATATATCCCTCGCAGACACTTGATGCCCTTCTAGCTGTCTCAGTTGTTCTTCACTCTCATTGGTAAAATGATATCAAAAATATATTTCTTTGTTAATATTTTACGATTTGTCTTAAAGGGGTGTAGAAGCTATAATAACAGATTATGCACGGCCACAAGTTGTTGGACCCTTGCTGCCAAAGGTTGCTCATGGTGCTTTGATTTTGTTGTCTATTGCTACACTCGGTGGACTTTTCTACATCATTCAAAATGATGTCGGAATCGCGAAATCTGTAAAACAAGTATGGAGCATTAAAGCTGCAGGATCCGGAGTGGCTGCAGAAGAACCATGCAAAGAATAATTTCTTAGGGCAAGGCTACACAAAAGCAAAGACTAAAATTATGAAAATGCAAACTATTTAAGCAGCCAATTCTTGGATTATAAAATATGCGAGAAATAAAGCAATTCTTATTGGTATTTGTAATTTATGGGGAATAACTTTGGATCTGCCAAGGATAAATTATTTTACATTCGCTCTTGAGCGATATTACATAAAAAATATAAAATTTATTGAAATTAATTGTTTTGTTTAATTAAATGAGAGAAAGAAGCTGTTAGGAATTTATTTATTGGAGTATAAACAATTTCGTATGATATGGAAAAACGAAAAATCTTATTGGAACGTACAATTCTCAACGCCGTGGAGTAGTTAACTTTAGTAATATCTACATTACTTCTAATTTATTCACTCACCTTATCTTCATTTTCAAGCAAACATTTATGTTAATAGGTACTTTTCTGAAATATCAAGATGCGAATACATTTGCATTTAAAGAATGCTTGAATACTTTATTACGCTGCTGAAAAGTGGAACCATTCGAATAACAATTTATTACCTACAATGTACAGTTCATTAACGACTTCAGAAATGATCATAAAAGGTCATGAGTTCTCGACATTATTTTTAAAGAATATTCTGAGGGCATCCCATTGTTTCGAGTGTAATAAAATATGGGGGCGACAGGCACGCATGTGATCGACAGCTTGTTCCGGTGTCCAACCATTTCTCTATATTAAGGAAAATTATAATTTTTATAGTAGTGAAAATGCCATATATATTTACATATTAATAAACGTTTAGATGAGTAATAATCCAATGTTTATCAGCAAATTAAAATGAAAATTTAATATATACATACTTACATGTGTATTTACATAAATTAGCACTAATTTCGTATCTGCTAAACAATCACTTTCATTTTGCGTTAACTTACCAGCATTAAATAACAGCCAACAAGCGTAGCACTACGAGTACGCCCCGCTTTACAATGCACATATACAGTTCCCTTATTTTCAGGGCTAGTAGAAGTGCTCAAGCCTTTTATCCTTTGATCTAAAGGCAAAAATTTATTTATGAACTCTACACCATTGAAAAGCTTTTCTTGATTTGGTGATTCAAAGATATCTGTTGTTGGCAATTGTAAAAAATCAATTCCAAGCAAATTCCATTTCGGTGAGTCATTAGAGAACATGGTGAGCTCGTAATCTTCGTTCATGGATACAACAGCCTTCATGTTTTCTTTGGTTATCAACTAGAGAAAGTTATATCGTTGAAATTAATGTACAAGAGAACAAGTTAATTGAAAATAAACTTACTTCATTCGCCTGTGAGCGGAAAGGCAAAGCACCCAAAATTACATTTTCATCAATACGATCGTACCAATTCCTCGAGGACGCCTTTTCCATCATCACATTGTAAAATAGTGTTGGATAAAATGACAAGCGGGCGATCATAGCAGCCTGTTTAAAAATATACTTTCAGTTAAGTAAGTCTTTATTGAATTTCAAGTTAAATTGAGATACGCTTAATTTTAATCATAAAGTAAATAGTTCCTAATTCGAGAGAAGACAACTTTCGCTAGACTCTCAAAGTTTGCATAGTTTACGCACGTTTGTATGGCTCAACCAGTTTTCGAATGAGAAATGCCAAAATAGCTACCTTACAAAGCTGGCCTCTCGGCAATCGTTATGTTAGTTCACTTACACTCATTTCCATTGTGTTTTTTCGTTTATAATGAGATTCAAGGTAAATAAACGAAAACAATATTCAAAACAAAGCTTTCTGGTTTTTGTTACCGCTGCATCAAAAACTGTGCCTACTTGATGTTTACAATTTATGAAATTTTATCTATGATGAAATGCTTTATTTTGTCCGAAAGTACAAATTTATGTAGAATATTTTAGTGCTTAGAAAACTGTAGATTAATCGAGACTGTCAAAAATCTGTCAAATCGTGGCTAAGTTCCTATACAGTGAGGAATGCAAATAAACAGTTGTTTACGCAATTTATTACTTATTTACGTACATTTGTTTTATTGCATTACGGCTACTGCAGACAGAAGGTGCTCCTGTTTCAAATAATTTCTGAAAAACTTTGGGAAAGGGATTCCCCACACCGGAAAAGGGATTCACCACACCTGAAAAGGGATTCACCATACTTTATATAACAGCCACTAAAAAAGTTATATGAGATCGCAATGGATTTTCTGCTAAAAGCAGAGAAAGCGTATGCAATTATTTTTTTCTAAGTTAATGCATACTTTTTCTAAATAGAAATTTAAATATGTACCTAGCATTTTTATTATCAGATATTTAAGTAACGAAATTGGGAGAAAAAAATAAAAACTATGAAAGAAAAAAAATTAAGAAATATTCAAAAAATAATTAATGTCATGGCCAATATAAGCTCTGTTCGGTGAGAAGTGTCAGTATGAATAAAGAACGAATTTCAATATACGTTCTTTGGCATTAGCAAGTTACGAAATGTCAAAGTTGTGCTCTTTCGATGCAAATTTTACTGGCTTTTTGCCTCACCAAACGCGGTTCATTAAAATTCAGTAACAATTGTTAAAGTCCAGCAGTTTGCCAAATAGAAACTGTAAATCCGTCATCTTCCTTGGATGTCTAAGAATTGTGAATCGGTTCGGAAAAAAGTAGAAGACAAATAATACAAAATTATCATAATCAGTTGAGAATACACAACTGTCAAGATAGCCTTGGACAAAGAGCTCATGAAAGAGTTCAAAAACCCAATTTTTTTTATACTGTGACGAAAATGCCAAATGCGAATATGAGGTGAGAAGAAAACGAAAAGAAGTGTAAAAATATGGTCTAACGGGAAAGGAGGATTTACAGAAAGGGACACGGTAGGCTACATGGAAAGGTTGGAATCCACGTGGTTTAGGGACAATCTTTTAGGAAGATCTCATAACTGTAAATTCCTAATAAAAGATACATAGTATTAAAAAAATATATATATAATATAAGCATTGAAAAAATAGCTATTTTCTGATGCTTGAAACGTGTGTTAATATGAAAATCGAAAGTCCCAAAGCTTGAGAAGTTTGGTTTGGGGTTTTACTATTAAACTGACATCGATTTTAAAATCGATATACGATGACAGAATTGACGTCTAAACAAGCGGTAGAGAAATGTCAAATTAAACACAAAACAAGAATTTACAAGTCATCGAAAAGTTTGGGACTGAAAAAGTATATACTGTAATAATTTCCAACTTACAAAGTACATAATACATCTGTGTTAAAATATGGCGACTACACTGGAAGATAAATCAATTTGGGATGATGGAGAGGAATCGTTGGGAGAGGAAGTACTCCGTATGTCCACTGATGAAATAGTGAGCAGGACGCGTCTGATGGATAACGAAATAAAAATCATGAAGAGTGAGGTTATGCGTATAACTCACGAAATTCAAGCCCAAAACGAAAAAATTAAAGATAATACAGAAAAAATAAAGGTAATATTTTGTGTAAATTTTAAAAAGTTTAATATTTATCACAATTATCCCAGGTCAACAAAACTCTGCCGTATTTGGTTTCAAACGTTATTGAACTTCTTGATGTCGACCCACAAGAAGAAGAGGATGATGGAGCCGTTTTGGTGTTGGACAACCAAAGAAAAGGCAAATGTGCTGTTATAAAGACTTCGACACGTCAAGCTTATTTTCTGCCCGTTATTGGATTGGTTGATGCAGAGAAACTTAAACCAGGCGATTTAGTGGGTGTAAACAAAGATTCGTATTTGATTTTAGAAACTTTACCTGCAGAGTATGATGCGCGAGTAAAAGCAATGGAGGTCGATGAAAGACCAACCGAACAATATTCCGATATTGGTGGTTTGGACAAACAGATACAAGAGCTGATTGAAGCTGTAGTATTACCAATGACTCATAAAGATAAATTCAAAACATTAGGAATTCATCCACCAAAAGGTAAAAAATTGTCCAGTTTTTTATTCAAAAGACCATACAAATATTTCTTTTATTTTTATATCCCAATAGGCGTACTCTTATATGGACCACCTGGAACTGGTAAGACGTTATTAGCCCGTGCATGCGCTGCACAAACAAAATCTACCTTCTTAAAGCTGGCCGGTCCACAGTTGGTACAAATGTTTATAGGCGATGGTGCGAAGTTGGTGCGAGATGCTTTTGCTTTGGCTAAAGAAAAAGCACCAGCAATTATTTTTATAGACGAATTGGATGCCATTGGTACCAAACGTTTCGATTCTGAAAAGGCAGGTGATCGCGAAGTACAGCGTACTATGCTGGAACTTCTGAACCAACTCGATGGTTTTAGTTCCACTGCTGATATCAAAGTTATAGCAGCTACAAATCGTGTAGACATTCTAGATCCTGCTCTATTACGTTCCGGGCGCCTCGATCGTAAAATAGAGTTTCCACATCCAAATGAAGAGGCACGCGCAAGAATTATGCAAATTCATTCGCGTAAAATGAATGTTAGCACCGACGTCAACTTTGAAGAACTCTCACGTTCCACCGATGATTTCAACGGCGCACAATGTAAAGCTGTGTGCGTAGAAGCTGGTATGATAGCGTTACGTCGTAATGCAACAAGCGTCACACACGAAGACTTTATGGATGCTATAATGGAGGTGCAAGCAAAGAAGAAAGCTAATCTGAACTATTACGCTTGAACGGGAATTAGATTTATTCGACTCATTTTAAGTTGTCTTGCTAACAATATTTGTAATTAAATGAAAACGAAATTCGAAATAAAAAAAAGTAAATCGAAATCGTTTTCGAGTACTAATATATAATTTAACAGTTTGATTATTAATAAATCCATTTAAATTATCGTAAAGCACTGAATTTGATAAGAGCAAATTAAGTCATAATGGTTTCCAGAAATGGGATTTTCTTGGTCAGGATATAAGTAGCTGCTGAAGTTAAAAAATTATCAAAAAAATTCTCCACTTATTCACTTAACAAGATTTTGAATTGCAGTTTTATAAAAACAAATAAGCAGTTCACAAAACTAAGAAAGTTTTTGATAGTTTCAAAAACAATATTTTGAGAAATGATATCTTCCTAGAGAGTAGCAGAACCTCGGCGACTTAGAATGATTAAACCTGTACCTAAGCGGAGTTAGCGAACCGCTACAACAACAACAGAGGGTAGTAGAGCGTGCTACAAGAGAGACGTTGAGAACTCCAAAATCTTCGAAAACAGTCCTGGCATAAAAGAATTCAATTCCGGAAAAAATAAAATTCTACATAAAATCGCAAACAGAATGGAACAGCTAAAATAGATAAACTGTCAAAGTCGTCTCAATACTTCTGCCTTTAGTCAATAGAAATTTTAGGTTTATGTAGTGTTGACAACGAACTGAACTTGTCGGGAATAGGTTCTTTTAAATACCTATTAGGCGCTTATAGCTACAGGATGGACATTAAGACTCACATCGCAAGTCATTGGGGAAGTTCGCCCGAAAAACTCGTAGGCGTCATTTTGAAGTATTTATTTTAATTAAAAAATATAAATATGGTATAAAATAATTTATTTAGGCAACTTTTTAAAAAAGCAAACGATTTTTGTTTTCACATAAAAATCTTAATATCACCACAAATTTTGGTTATTAAGATATGACTTTAATTTAGTTTATTACTATTAACAAATTATAAAACTTGTTAAATAATCCTTTACGTAATTTAAACAAAAATATGTCGAAGTTGATGTCGCCAGATAAGTGTTAATCGTGGAATTCATAGAGGCGTTGTTAAGGCTAATGCAACAAATAACATTAAATTATTAACTGTTATATACACATATCAACTAATTACACCTATAAAAGTATTACTATTTAGTAGGTTTTTTTATGCTTATGTAAACTTGTCCACATATGAGTAATTTTGCACTAATGAGAAAACTATTCCAGATGTTGTGGATCTTGCTGTTGTTGTTGTTGAGGTTGGGGTGCTTGCTGATTCTGTAAAAGTGGTTGATTTTGATCCACTTGCTCTGCTTCAGGATTCCCTTGCTCTTGCTGCTGTTGTTCAGCAGGATGTTGCTGTTGATACGGACGCCTTGTGTACATAATAAATCCGAGTAGAAGCGTTAAAATCGTAATCATATATAGATCCCAGTTTGCAGCTATATTCTCATCCATGTAGAAAATAAATTTGTACGGCGACTGAAACGATCAATTTTGAAATAAACTCCAATTTCACAAATGTACTTGCAATTCATACCTGTTTAATGGCTTCAACTTTAGCCATCATTTGCAGCTTAAGTAGTGCTATTGCAACAGGTACTTTTGCATCCGCACTTGTTTCAGCCGCTAGATCATAGAGACGCTTTGCGAGATGCCAGTCTCTTTTCATGCCCAGCCCTTGTTCATGCATATATCCAAGATTGAACATTGCCTGCGCATTATACTGCTGTTCAGATGCTTTTCTAAAATGTTATAGAATATTAAAAAAAAAATATGAGTTACTGCAGATATCAAATGCCAAATTAAAAACAGCCATGGGAATGTTCCCTAAACTTTTTTAATATTAAATGAATTAAGTTTAAATTCGGTATATCAACTATTGTTCCAGCATTAAAGGAGTAATTATTTTTTTTTAAATATTTTATAAAGACTGAAACAGTAACGTTTTCATATTCACTAAATTCAATTAGTCTAATTGACTTCTTATTGGATTAGAATGGAGCAATGTGCACAGAAAACCTTAATACCAATTTTGTGTTTACATAATAGAGGCCGTTTTAATTTGGTTTATGATATGCTAATCATGACTATATCAGGTCCTGACCTATATAATGAAGCTGCTGCTTCAAAATCTATATTCGTTCCCCAACCATAATAGTAATAATCACCCAGCTTCACTTGCGACGAAGAGTAGCCTTGTCCAGCCGATCTTTTCCAGTAATAGAAGGCACGTATGAGCTCCTCATGTCTATCATGAAATATGGTAACATCACCGCGATCTAAAAGGAATGCTGCATTACTCTGGGCAACCTCGTAGCCCAATTCTGCTAGCAATGCATATTGCATGTATGCTTCGTCAGCACGATAATTTTTGTAATCACTGTACGCGTGCATCATATTTGTGCTCCAACGACCGCGTTCTGCAACATTTTTGAAAAATTCGACTGCGGCTGGACAAGAACGCAATATGCCCATACCATAAGCATGCATTATACCCAAATTGTAATAAGCCAATACGTGACCAGATTGCGAGGCCAATTGGAAATATTTAAGTGCCAACTTATAATCAGTTTTCACGCCATTTCCCGCTAAAAGGAAACAATTAGTTAGCTTTTGTCACTTAAGATTTTTAATATGGACAACTTACTGAAATACATATTTCCCAGCTGTAATTGGCCATCAACCCAGCCTTGATCTGCTGCTTGCGTAAAGTAGTTTAGAGCCTTGAGGGAATCTTTCGGTACCCCCAGCCCCTTTAGATACATTAAACCTAATCCACTTTGTCCAACTGGATCACCTAATTCGGCCGCTTTCTTAAAATACTTTAATGGAGGAAATTTAATTCAATTTCGTAGCTGTCAAAAATTTATTTTCTTATCATACCTTGAATGCAGTTTCGTTATCAGCTTTAATAAACTCACTTCCCTCTAGATAGAGTTTACCTAAAAAGGCAAAGCCGATTGCGTTGCCCGTATTTGCAGCTTTTGTAAAATATTCCAAAGCTTTTTGATGATCTTGTTGAATTGCTTTTCCACCTTGGTAATAGAGTTGCCCGAGACCAACTTGTGATTGAACGTCACCCTTGTCAGCCAACAATTGATAATAGTCCACAATTTCCGTTTCTTGACTGCCGGGATTTTCTGATTCTTCTAATAAATGTACGCGATGTACAATTGGACCATTGGAGAATGTAATTTTCGATGCAACTTTTTTCGCTACTTTTTTGTAATATACAAGTGCTTTTTCACAATTAGTTGGCACATTTATTCCATACAAATAACGGTATCCTAAGGCCATTTGGGCAAAAGTATGTTCGCCTAATGCTGCGAGTGTTAAATGGATTAATGTGAGTGGTTGACTTATATTTTTACCGCCAACACCTACAGAATAAAGGAATGCTAGACCCTGAAAGGTTAAAAATTTACGAAGTTAATATTTTATATTTATCTGAGGAGTATAAACTGTATATATTTTTTTACCATATTTGCTTCCGGCAACCCTTCCTTCGCTAATTGATCGAACTCAGCAGCGGCAAACTCAAAATTTAATTTAGCGTAATGGCCTAGTAGATGGGCCCAAGCTAGTTCCGCACGAGCTTTAAGATGATTCATTTCAGCAGCACGAATTATGAACCTGTACGCTAAATCTTTGTCACTGCGTGGTTTGGATATCATATCCATGGCTTTTTCATATAGTGTTTGGGCTAAAATTATGAAAGAATCAAAGAATATATAATATAACCATTGTGTGAACAAATTGCTACATACCTTCGATTTCCTTAGGTGTTAGTTCAGCGGCCCCTGTCGCTTCCCGACGTAGCTCTATGGATTCTATTTCTTCCTTTAGCTTATCGCGTACGAGTTTTTCGTTCCAAAGCCGTTCGAACACAGCCTGTTGCAATATTTTGGATCGTTGACCGAACTCTGTAGCCAAAGTCGTTTTGGGAGCGACGGTACTACTGGATGTTTCAATTGAAGCATCTGAAGGTAATTCATTTTCAGTTACATATTTAGATGCTTTCCGTTCATTGCTTCCGGCATTGCCTTCTGCAGAATCTGCTGGAGCCTCTATACTCTCTGCAGCTGATTCAGGTTGAGCGGTGGTTGTGGTTGCCGCTGTTGCCTGTTGAGCTGAATTTTGTAAAGCGGCATCTTTAGTCGGTGAGAGTGGCCCTTGCAATTCAGCTAACGTTACGTGAAGTACCAAAAGGAGGATCAGCAAAACTTGTGACTTGTAGCGCACCTTCATTTTAAGTTTTTTAAGCTGATAACAAATATACAATGCGTGGCTATTGACGAAAGCTAAGTTTATTTTTTATGTTTGTTTCAAAGACTTTTGGTGTTGTTGCAAATGTTCTTTTATTATTTGACCACCTCTAAAAGAACTGAAACACATTACGAATATAAAAGTTGCAAGCCTAAAACTATCTTTGGATGATGTGAAATTTAATAGTAACTTTTTTTATTGTCGCTGCATTATTTTTACTCAATTATTCCGATAACAGCAAAATATGTTTCTTATTCACACGTAAGAAAATAATTTTTACTTTTTCAGAAATGTCAAAATAAACAGGTAGCAGGGTTGCCAAAAAGCACGGACAGACACAGTGTTGAGTGCTGGCTATAATCATTAGTATGGGGCCGCGCTTGAGCTGTTGGACGTAGGAGGCCAGAGAACGTAGAATAACGAGAAGGACCGATTGCGGACAGCGTGAAAGCTGCCAGAAATAAAAAAAAAGAGAATAACTTGTCAGTATCTGGTGCTTCACTGTTAACTAGCGGTGAAATAAATAAGAGATTAACTTGTCAGTATCTAATAGTTCGCTGTTAACTAGTGGTGAAATAGTCTCTTACTAATATCGTATAGAGGTGAAATAGTCTCTTAGCAATCCCGTAGATGAGACAAATGGCAATCCGCACTCCCCGGTCCTACTCTTTCTAAGGTTCGGCAAAGATTAAATCGAAATTAGAGGTGGCTTCCGCACTTCACTCGTAATTCCATTTCGATTAATACAACGAGTTACAGCAATATTTTCAACTGATCCTTGCTTGTGGCAGACGTATTGGAATACCAATACCAAACCTCTCATTACCCCCTAGATAAGCGTCATTACTTAACACGAACATAAGAGGTCAGTTTGCAAGCTCAACCCCAACGGGAATGGAGCTGTAGACGCTTTTTTCAACAAATGAACTAACCTTGGATTTATTTTAAGCCGCCTATGCGCAGCTGATAGATTTTTAGATTTTTAGAGCTTTTTATTTCATTTCCAAAACATATTATTTGTATAAAATATTTAAATTAATAATTTTGGAAATTGGATACCGCCATGTGCCTAATGATGGATTTTTATGAGGTGCTTAATGTTGGAAATGCATTCGGAGGACTTAACATTCCATGCCACTTTAAGAATTGTGGATGCCATCCAGGAAAGAAAATTGCTTTGAATAACAATAAAATAGCTTTACTTCAATTTCTGATCGTTATTTCGTATTAGGTGCTGTGGGTTATGGGCTCCAAAGAGTTATCAATGCGAGCAAGCTGAGGAACATTTCGACAAGTGAAAACCATGATTCTTCCAAGAATATTTTTCCATTCTTATTTTTTGAAAGATTTCCGTACTCGTCCCATCATTCTACCATAAAATAGAGCTGTCGATATATATTTCACAACTATTCATTAAATTAAATTAATAAGTTCTGCAAAGATCAAAACAAATGGTAGTTTGACGGTGCAAGGTCAGAGCTATGTGGGGGAGGCATCAACAGTTCCCAGTCAAGCGCTCTCAGTATTTGGCGGGTGACCAAAGATGTGTGCGGTCTAGCATTTTCCGGGTGGAAAATGAACAGTTGTCGTTTGATTCCTTGGAAACAGCTCAACTTATACTACACCCTTCCAAATCCCACCAAACTGACAGCGTAATCTCCTCTTGGTGAATATCAGCTGCATCATGCTTGGACCCTGTATTTTTATTGAATATCACAAGCGTTGAAGCAGTTTGTTAAATGAATTTCCTTTGAATCATGTGGTACCCAGTCCAAGACGACGTATACGATTATGAACAGTTGATTTTGGGATACCTATATCTCTATAATCTCATGCTCAATTACATGAAGATTTGATTCGATTAGAGGTTCATCAACTTCACTTGGCCGACCTGAACGTGGCTTATCTTTGAGTGTAAAATATCCCGAAGGGAATTTGGCAAACCAACTTCGACACTGTGTTCCTTTTACGACCTCATCAACTTTTTAGCAACCCTGCGCCGCTTTTTTTCCGTTAAGGAAGTAGTAAAGTAAAATACATATGTGGGAAATGTTTTTTTGTGGGCTCCAAAAATATAAACCAAAAATATAAAGCAAGTTAAAAGTGACGGCTTAAAACCGCCAAAGAAAAAATACAATTAAATATTAAAAAGTTGTTCAAAGAAATTTTCAAAACCTTCTGTATGAAAAATCGCCGGTTTCTTTTGGGGCAGCGCAATATATTTCACACATATTCATTGAAATTTCAATCAAGTTTACCGTCCTCGGATCCACAACATAACACTTGCCACTTTTACTTAGATATCCAACTTTTTCTTTATTTTCCTTGAAGTTTCCTCCTTACCAAATTTACTTACAAAATATTTCATTCTGAAACTAATCGGAAATACGCACTTAGCCGCCGAGAAATTGAAAGATGTTGTTCATGTGAAGATTCCTGCCAGGGGTTTAGTGCTAATGTAAGTTTTCTCATATAATACCCCTAAAGAAAATTCCATTCAGTAGTAAGCTCAAAGTAATTGAAGTAAAGAAAGTTAAAATAAAATCATTTATCCGTTTCAAAAAAAAATTTATTATTGACAATACATTGCGCTTACCTAATTTTCTAGGAAAGGATAGAGGAAGGTTAATTTTCCAACTGGCCCTTCCACACGTACTTTTCATGCAGATATCCGCGATTTGTGGAGTTTCATTGTTATCCTCGGAAAGAAAACCTCTTTCCATTTGTTATTTTAAAAACGATACTAAAATTGAGAAAAATAATGATTTTGAGCTCGATTTGAAAACGGTTTAAAATGAAGAGGGAAGATATTTCGCCTTATCCTCTTTCACCACCTGATTCATTTATTTCGCTGCTATCATTTCTAGGATTAGTTAGTTGCTGATTTGGAGGCATTTTTTGTAGATTTTGAATGTTAATTGGCAAAGGCGCAAATTTTTCCAAGGTCTAACCCAATTTGGAGATAAACGCCATAATCGAGGTTTATCATAGCGACCACATTCCACTTAGGAGTTGGTGGAAATTATAAGTTCATTGACGCCGAATCTAAATAGTTGGATCAAAGGATATAACATTTATTTCAAAAACATTGGTTTGGGGTTGTCTACGAAATCTCCTTCATTGAACCGATCATTTAAATAAAGTGTCCTATTGAAATTGTTGATGATTCGTTAGTTAAGCAGGGATGAATAACTTGGGTAAATTACAGCTGAATTTCAACAGGACTTTGTGTAAATATTGTATTGTATGTTATGTATGTTATGCATGTATGTAAGCACGAGCAAGTATATAAAAGAGATATTCGTTATATTACCGGTATTTCAAAGAGCGCATATTTACTTAGTCTTCGTCGAAATGGAAGAACATTTACTTTCTCTCAAAGAGTGTTTACACATAAGAGAACAAGGGTAAGGCCTTGGACCAAATACTTGTACAAAGTGTATGTTACGGACTATCAGCATCCACCAACATCCTTCTTCACAGTGCTCAGACTACCAAATTACATCTGTTCGTGCGGCCCTCCGAGCTGTGTTTGGTTGGTTAAGGCGATGTCTCGGCAAACTTCAGCTATTCAGTGTGACGCTCGAGAGCAACGGTGCAGGTTTGTTTTTCGCATTCGAATTGAATTTGAAATGGATGTTTGTGAACCAACATTTGGATTGTGGTGTGCCATTGTGTATTGGGTGTGATATACTTATATCTATGTATATAAGTAAAATTGAAAAATTGTAAAAATTCATCTCGGGTATTAAATAAATTGACTTGTTCTACATATAAAAACAAAAAAAGTGGACTTCTTTTAAAAATTCCCAACTGTGCAAATACAAATTATTATTACAATTAAAATATATCACAGTGAAAAAAATATATGAATATTGAATTAACATATTTACCTTGAATCAACGAGCAATGAGCAAAAATTTAGAGTCTTTGGAGCTAAACATTACTCAACCAAGTGCTTTGGGGCAATAAAGCACAAGTTATGGACAATAGGTCAATGGAATCGACAGTAACAATATCCTGTACATATGCAAGAGACGAAATGAGATGAAAAGTAACACACCCACTATCACACTTACATATGCACATACATACATATGTATGTATATGTATAAATGCCTATGCACGTATATATTATATATACATAAATACATATGTAAATGTAATTAAAATTTGTATCCAAATATATATATAAACCATTCGAAATTAGTTTTCAAATATTGTTTTTTCAAAACCTAAAATGCGTAAAGTTAACTTGCGTAAAGTAGGTGAAATTGACAGAATAATGACGAACATAAGAATTTCCACAATTGTCCACTACCCACCGAATATTTTTCTTTCGCGTGCAGAGCCGCTCCCAAATTGCGAAAATCCGAACAACAACAAACGGCAATGGTAGCAAACGAATGACAACGAAAACGAAAAGCGTATGCTGTGCAAAGCATGGTCCACAAAGCCAACAAACAACGACAGGATATACATATGCACATACATACATACATACATACATGCATATATAAAAAGTTAAGAAAGTACGAATACGAGTGAAAAGATAAGGAGATAAAAGTCATTACAGAAAGAGAAGCAGAAATTGTGGGGAATATGTAATAAGTATATGTGTATGTATTGTATGTTAATAGAAGGACTTGTAAAAACTAGAATTTCAAATTAAAATGTGGATTATAAGTGTATATATATAATATGTGTATGAAAAAAGCACTCCTATTTGTATAAATACATTGTAAGTGCTTTACTAAAGGCGAAATAATTCAATGCAGCTCATTACATTTCTAAAATTCTTTTAATCAAATTCCATTGGCTAATTAGTAATTGCCAATTGTACTTACCGCTGTCATGGCCAAATTGTCCATTTCCGTTTTGCAGTGATGGCGCATTAGTTGGTGTAGTTGAATAAGATGTCAAGGGCTTTGCTGCACTATCTCCAGCCCTGTGCGGCATGTAAGAAGACATAAGCTGTGTCTATAATGTATATGTGTAAATATGTATACATACATACGATGCAAGACCATAACATTGAGTTATAGTTTATAATTCTATTATATTTTGCTCTATTTTATTTTGAATTTTATTTTATTAAATGCAATTTATTTTAGAAATTATTGTTTTTGTTTTATTTTATTCTATTGAGTTTATTTTAATTAGTTTTGCAGTATTTTCTAATTTTAAGTCTATTCATTGCATTTTATTTTATTTAGTTTAATTTAATATAATTTATTTCTAATTTTTTTAATTTCATATTTTGTGATTTTAAATAAGGTAAATTTATTCAATAGATTATTTCATTTTATTTTATTTTACTTTATTAAACTTAATTTATTTTTATTTTAATTTGCATTAGTTTAACTTACATATTTTATGTTTATTTAGTTTAGTTTTATTGATTTTATTTCAATTCGTTGCGATTAATTTTAGTTTATTTATTTATTTTAATTTATTTTATTCTATTTTATTTTATCTAATTCATTATTTTATTTATATAATCTTACATTACCTTAATTTTGTTTATTTTAATCTAGTATTTAATTTCACTTTATTTACTTTTATTGTTTTTAATTAAATTATTAATTATTCTTTTTCATTTTAATAACTTTTGTAGTATTTAATTGAATTAAATTTTATTTTATTTAGGTTTACTTTCTTTAATTAATTTCCTTATATTTTTTACTTTATTCTGTTTATTGCGTTTTTTTTTGCTTTATTTTATTTTATTGTATTTAAACATATCATATTTAATTTAATTTTTATCTGTTTTATTTCATTTTGTTTTACTTAATTTAATTTTAATTTCCTTTGTATTTCATGACATTATTTATTTTTATTTATTTTACTTTTGTTGATGTTATTTGAATTCGTTTAATTTAATTTAATTTTATATTTTTTATCTTACATTATATTTAAATTTTATTTTAATTTATTTTTATATTTCAGTTTATTTAATCTTTAATATATTTAATTAAATTATTAATTTTTCTCTTTAATTTTACTAAATTTTGTAGTATGTTATTGAACTAATTTTTATTTAGTTTTTCTTAATGTAATTAATTATTTTTATATTGTTCCACTTTATTCTGTTTATTTCATTTTAGTTTATTAAATTTATTTCATTATATTTTGCTTTATCTTATTTTATTGTATTTTTATATATCATATTATATTTTATTTAATTTTTATTTGTTTTATTTCATTTGATTTCCTCTAATTTATTTTATATTAATTAATTTATTTTATTTTTAGTTTTACTTCAATCTGTTTAATTTGATTTTATTTTAATTCTTCCTTTTTAATTTTATGATACTTATTTTATTATATTTTGATTCATTTTATTTTATTTTATTTTAGTATATCATATTTTATTAAATTTTGATTTGCTTTAGTTTATTTCCTTCAATTTAGTTTGATTATATTTTAATAATATTTTTTTTATATTATTTCATTTTAGTTTATTAGATTTAATTTTTTTCTTTTATTTAATCTTTATTTTTTTATATTGTTTAATTTGATTTTATATATTATATTTTATTTTATTTGTCTTATTTTTTATTATTTTTTTATTTTAATTTTCTTATATTAGACGATTTTTTGATCTTTTCGCTTAGATACTGTAATGTTTACCATAATAATGACTAGTGAAAATATCCTTCCTAGATTTATTCGCATTAAAAAAAAAATAAAAAAATTATAAATAAAAATAAAAAATTAAATAAAATAAAATATGTGTTCATGTATTGAAAGAGCAAAATAGTTGTATTAAAACTATCAATAAAACTAATGTGGCGAGTGTTGCACAAAGAAGACATTTACCCAGAATATTTGTATGTCTGTAAATAACTTAATGCCTGCAATTCTATAAGCAGCTGTAATAATAGTGTCATTATTATTAATAATCTTTTCAATTTGTTTACGTGGTCGCTCTGATTTAATCAACTCAATTCTACAGCAGCCACTTACAAGCATACATAGATTGAAGTCATGGAAAAATATGCAAAGATATGTTTTTATCAAATTTAAGTGCGCCCGTACTCTATATACCCAGCGCATGTTTATGGCTAAGGTTATGGCAAAAAAAAACGTATCTTTCTTCATAATCGGAACAGTCCAGACCTTTGAAAAATTCTAAATGCCTTATCAACTAAAAAAATATAGAAGGTTATGAGCAGGTAATTATTGGTCGCAAAAAGAATGTAAAGTAAACAGAAAAATGTTCGGACCATTTTTTTTTGTATAATGTTTTATTAATAATTTGAAGTAAATTATAATATCATGAAGGATATATGCGAAGCACAACTCCGATCTTGAATAATTAGATGCGGCAGAGCCCTTAATCACTGTTCAAGCGCAAATCCTTTCTCTTTAATGGCTTAGGGTAGTTCACTTCTACAAAAATAGATCAACGTTAGATGAGAGAGTCAAAGATTTTGCAATGTATATTTTAAATATCTATTCATAAGTAAATCGTTCGCCCGTTGAGCAGTTGACCCATTTCTGCATGAATTTCTTATTTGTAATAAGGTACGGATGGAATTCCAATGAGATGTGGTATGAGCTAGAAAGAATAGAGATTTCCTCAAATACACCAAACTTCAGAAAAATTCACGAAACTTATTATATCACGTGAAAAATTTTGGATTAATTTAAAAAAATTTTAACAAAAAGAAAGAAGATATCTATGGTTATAGGCTTTCTTACTGCATTTGTATGAGCAGGAAAGTTAAGAGTCCTGGTTTTTATTTCAAACACTTTTCTTCACACTTTTTATTAATTTTATCAGATGACCTCAATAGATTTGGACTCATTGTTTTGAGTAGTATTGCAGTTATACGAATGTTTAGCTTTGTATAGTATGTGCTAGAAAGAAATTTGAAGAATAACTTTTTGAAATAATAAATTTAAAACATTTATACTTCTTTTAATTCAGGAAAAATATAAATGAAGTGTGTTTTGGAAATATTAACCTTGCAAAAATTCTAATAAATAGTTCGCGCACATAGGTATTTTGGAAGTAATAATAAAACATATTTTTCTTTTAAGTTGCAATAGAGAAGGTCACGGATTGGTGTCCTGGCTCAATCAACATTCAAAATTATAGAAAATTTATTTAAATAAAATATTAGATTAATTATTTTTAACCTCAGCAGGAAATGTCAATCTCTCCTCATCCAATTTTTGCAAACATTTCGAGGCGCTCAACCGAAATTCACTTCAGCGATTACAAAGCGCCAATTATTTATATGTATGTATATTGTTTTATGAATTAGGAAAACATTTTATAATATGCAAAATATTACAAAATAATAATGGTTTTTATAATAACGCCTTATTTGTGTAAATACCTAATGTAAATCTGACATTTGGTAAAAAAATTAGAATCTCAATTCAATTGAATTTATTGCACAAAAAAAAAATGAAAATAAAAAACAATTGCCTAAACTAATGTGAAAGGCAAAACGCAGTAAAATACATATGAGTAGATGTACTTGGATAGTTCTTATTAGTGCCATAAGAAGTTTTGCCACTCGGCGCAGGTGCTTTTCAATAGGCACAAGAGTAATTGAATAATTTAAGATTTCGCTGACGATTTGAAATCCTCTGCTCTGTCATTGCTCGTTAAGAATTTTGTGGGGTGATATCGCGCGTTTAGTTGGAAAATTACACGACAGTGCAAAAACCACAACTCGCTACTGTATTCGACAATGACGACAGTTGGAAATACGTAATTGATGTGCTAAGGACGAAAAGACAGAGAAAAAAGGAGTGGTAATATACAGTGTTGAGCAGTGCAGCGTATTGTTGTTTGTGACAAGTGAAAAGTAAACGTAAAGCACTGTAGTTTATGTAAACGTGAAATATAAATTAAAGTATGTAATTTAGTTTTTTAAGTATACAAAAAATATTTCTAAATTCTTATTACCAGCAGCTGAAAGGATTAAATTGGACAACCATTGAAACAAAAGTGACTGCATGGAAGTGAATGTGAATTTATTAAACTCTTATTAACTTCATCAAAAAAAAAAAACTAATTAATTTAACAAGTGCGTAAATGTCCGAAATATTTAATTTCATAAATTGTACACACATATATGTATGTATGTGCAAAGAAAAAGTGTTAACAATTTTTAAATTTAAAGTGCGATATGTCTGAAGACGCGTCACATAAAATCATACATTATTTGAACAGCACTGAATAAATAAATAATAACAAAAACGTTTTGCAGTTCCAACTCATTTTTATGTAAGTAAAAAATAATTAAACATTCATACAAATATATTCTAATTACCATTACAAAAATACATTGTTGGGAGAATAAAGGTAAAGAAAAATTGGCATAAAAAGTGAAAAAATGCAAAAGAAAGCCAAAGTTAATCAGAAGTAAAATAGCAAAAAGCACAATTACAAAAGCAACACAAATCGACGCTTATTTGTATGCATGTAGATTACTCATAGGTGCTTAGAGTCCAAAAGGGCGTGTGGCAATCACAAAAGAGGAGATTGTGCGTTTTGCTATTGTTTTTTCAAATTGCTCTTCTTCTGCTTCAATATATTTTTAAATCCTTGTGCGTTATTTTTTTTTTCGTTTTCTACTTACACATTTACTCACCTGCTCATGTAGATGTACACATAGCTTTTAGCATCGCATAATAATTTTTTGCCGTATACTGAGCATATGTGCTAGACATTCTTACAAATTTTACAAAAAAAAAAAAAATTGTATAATGAGCGATTACGTTCTCTTTACGAGTGTGTTACCTTAAACAAAACAAAATAAATGTATGTATATATGGAGCATGCGACGTATATATATGCATGTATGTATATACAAACATAAGACATCGAACAGAAAACATTCTAGCAAAACAGCTGCCAGGATGAAAAAGGAAACAGGATAAACAGTCGTTAAAGAAAATATACACTCAAGCAGCGGACGATAATAGAAAAGGCGCTTGGTTAAGAAGTTAAGAGTAGAAAAGTTGATGAGAATTACTGAATTTGTACACTTTCTATGCATGAACCTTCTTCACCTATCTACCTTTATTTGCTGAATAATGAAACTTTGTATATTTTATTCACTGTGATAAAGTAAAAATCATCTGTCCAGGCGGCTAGGCATAATTTAGTGTCATTGACAACAATGTGAAAGGCATTGTACATAACCGACGGTATATATGATTGTGAGTATTCTCATGTAAGATATTATATAATTTAAGAGCATGCATAAAGAGAGCGTTAAATTTAGAGTTGGACTCAGACAGGACACGTGATAGGAATTAGTTAGCTGCAGCACTGGTAGAGGGCCAGTAACAAGATTAATATTTATGTATGTCTGTAAAACTGTAAACCGTGGTGTTAGTAATTAAGACGAAACGGAGTTAGGGGAAAATAAATAGATAATAAAATTGAGTTACTTGTAGTCCATATTTTTAATAGAATAATAATCTTTGATTATAATATCAGAAAAATAAATTAGAATAATATTTTCTGACCTTTTTTTTACTTAAAAGAAAGCCATGTACGATGGGTTCGGTCAGTTGCTGACTTTCAGTTTGTTTTTGTCAAATCTTAAAATATCAAATTCTTTGCAATTTCATTATTTGTCTTTCTTTCAAATTTTTGAACGATCGGCTAAAATGGATACGAAAAAACCGAAGATAGCTGAAAGTAGGTCAGACGAAATTTCACCATCAATGTACAGCCAATACAAATATTCAGTGAACGCCAAATTGCATACGGAAGGATTGCATCATCTTTTAAGACTTACTAAGGACTCTGAGTGAATCCGAAGATTTCAGACTGCACATTTTTCCTTACAAAAAGAGCCCCGAGAAACTCGACCAAAATCTTCTACTGATGACGTCACTGTAACCCTGGTGAAGTCCACGATTGACACAAGAAATGATTGCTAATGAATTGGGCTTGATTGCTATGGCTGTATCGCGGATATTAAGTCATAATCTGGGGTACATGAAGAAATCTGCTCGATGTGCACCACGAATTTTAAGTGAGGTCCAAAAAGAGTTTGCTTAAATTTTCCTAAACAAATTCGAAAGTGGTCAGTCTAGAAGTTTTGATAAAGTCATTACTACTGACGAATGTGAGTTCTATAAGTACGATCCAGAATCCGAAGAACAGTCCTTGGAAAGGAACAAATCCAGCCGCAAAATCTAAACAACAAAAATCAGCAGCAAAAGTAATTAACTTTACTTTACCGGATCTAATAATGGTAGCTGATATTCCACTGGAATGCAGACAGTAACTGCAAAACGGTACATCGAAAACTGCTTACTAAAAGAAGGACAGGACCTTTCCGAGCCGTTCGGTATCACATGGGTTTCAAATAGCGTCACTGTCTATGGTTTGATTTCTTTAATTTGTTGCTGCATATAGTACTACTATGAGTTGCAGAGTCGAATAGAGTAGGTATTGTACATTTTGCCTTTTACAAAAGTGTAAGTTTCCTATCGTAAGTCGATAGTATTGATATCATTTTACTTAGCAACCGCGGTTTTAGTGTCCGGTAGTGAACAACCACTGTTGACAGTTACTTCAGAGTGTTACATAATTTCGCGAAGTGGAAACTGAGGCCCTTCCTTGACGTTTCTCATTACTCATCATCAGTTTTGAAGATAAAGGTTTTGCAAAAGATGTATGGCTCTTTGTTGTGTTGTTGTTGTAGCAGTTTGTTAACTCCGTCGGAATCAGACCAGAAGGGGAGGGGGGTTAGATATGTCAGTTTCAGGAGGCATGTAAGGAGGTGGTTAGTATAAAGAGTTGGTTAGTATCGTGCAGAGACTTTTTATATTCGTTGGGTATGTTGGGGTCGATTATGGATAAGTATTAGTTTAACCTAACCAGACCTAAGTAGCGCCAGTAACAAGCAGGTCTCTTCAGACAGCTCCAGCTCTACGTCTGCCTTACATGGTGCTTTTACTCCGAGTACGCCATTTACGGGAAAGGAACATTGGAAGGTGTTGACAGACTCCTGGCAGCAGTTATTGCACGTGTTCATTGACATCGCTAATATCGGATACGGTAATGATGAGTATGAGTTAACATAGTTCAACGAGTTAAGAAGCTGAATGAAGCAGAGAGAGAGGAAGATGGAAGCAAAGAGAGAGGAAGACCTCCACTCCGGTGAAAGAATCAGGCGAGAAGGACCTTGATTTACTTGGTGTCTTCAATTGGCGCCAAACTAATCAACTCCACATTTAACAACACTATCATAGAATGGACGAGTAAACCCAAAGTAGATGTTAAAACTGCAAAAGGTAAAAAGTTTGGTTGAAGAAACATCAATTTAAAGTTCTTTCGGGACAAATATAATATTATATAAATTTATTACTATATAATTAGCGCTTTGGAACTGAAGCGATTTTCGGCAAAGCTCTTCCTCCAACTAAATGGAGGGACCCGAAGTTCATACTAAGCAGCCTCACATTTCTGTCAAATCAAACTGATATATAAGCTGCACGAAAACGTTTGCGAAATAATATTTTAAGGAAATTTAACACCATTCCCTTACCAAATTTTGCAAATCAAATTTAATAAAGCAACAGCCAAAGAAATAATATTGCAACCATTGTTTTAATTATCTTAGATTGACTCGCTGCAGTCCAAATTTCGTAGTCCTGCATGGCGTATGAGTAACTTTTTTACTTTGACACAACGAATTTTTTGCATTTTACATTACCAAACCTCGGATTTAATACGATTCCCTTACCAAATTTTGCAAATCAAATTTAATAAAGCAACAGCCAAAGAAATAATATTGCAACAATTGTTTTAATTATTTTAGATTGACTCGCTGGAGTCCAAATTTCGTAGTAATGCATGGCGTATGAGTAACTTTTTTACTTTGAAACAATGCATTTTTTGCATTTTACATGACCAAACTTCGGATTTGAATTCGTTTCAGGCTAGTTTTAAGAAAATTAAAGAATTTATGGTTCTAAAATAGTATTGGAGAGACCATGCATAGTAATGAGATTAAATTGGCCTGATTGCTGTAAAATTTAGTAATATACTCGTAGAATATTATATTAAAATTAAAAACCTTAAGCTTGGGAATGTTTCCAAGAAGAACTGAAAAGAGTAAGTATCATTGTCGATATTAAGTAAATTATATGCTAAAACAATTTTAATTTTTATTTCTTTATGAGTCAAAAAAATGAATTACATTAAAAAATTACTTTCATGACGAGGCTATAACTGCCTGAAGTCATAGTACGCAATATAAATCAATTTCAGGTGCCATCTCGTGTCACTAATGATTTATTGACAATGTATTAATTAGCCACTTCCTAGTGTATATGATAAAAATTTCCTAATCTGCGACATAATCATTTAGAAAAAATTCCCCCGCCTCTGATGACCTCGAGTAAAACTTAATTTAAGCCTCTAATCTCATTTTAATTGTTTCAATTTTTTCCTGAATACTTTTTTCCAGACATGTAAATATTTTTTAAGCTAGACATAATGCAAGAGAAAAGTGGAAGAGGTAATATTGCAGCTGAAAAAATTTGAAGTAATAAAAATAAAAATACAAAAACCTGAAGAAGTTAAATTCAGATTCATAAAAGAAGGGGCACTGAAATTAAGTTAGTCTCATCACTATGCTAGTATCAGAGAAATTTGTATTAGTTCTGTATACAGCCGGGTGTTGAACACTGCAGGCAGTGAATTGATGGAATTTTTCCATTTCTTTTCTTCGTAGATAAATATATAAAATAAAACTCTAAAAACTTTTATACAGTTACACATGCACTTGTTTATGTTTATCTACCCTCATGGTGGTGGTGGTAAGCCACATTCTCATACATAACTTACTCCAAAAGATGAATGGTTTTATGAAAAATATCCTCTCTTTATAGAAGTGAGAAAATGCAAATTTTTTCTCTTAATAGTTTTCTCTTGCGTGTAATTTTCCCAAGTATGGGTTTAAGAGCATAAGAGAGCCTAGTCAAATTTCACCTTTTCTTTTTGGGAATTTATGAAATTGAACTGAGAAAAAAGTATGAAAGTAATAACTTTGCTTTGTTTATATTTTCTATTCTTTATAATGAAAATTTTTACCGAGTTTTGTTAATTTTTATTATTATTAATACTATTTATTTGGGTACATGGAAATATATGAAGATACTCCGGTTTCTGCTGGAATTAAAAAGATATATTTTCACACTGAAATTGCAAATCACACGAAATGCGATGAACCTCACTAGATTTTATGCAGGTTCGAA